AGCATAAGAAAATGTCTTCTTAAAGGCAACACCATCAACTAGAAATGAATCGCGCATATTACCACCTGGAACCTGTAACATAAAGACATATATAAACACAACGAGGAGCCGGAGCGAAATATAGAGACAGAAAAATAATGGTTTAAATTCAATCCTGAACCACAGCAATAATACAAGCCTGATATGCAGCAATGCCTAACGAAAAGTTGGCTATTCCACATCACTTGGTAGTCAAAAAAAGCCAACACATTCGTTGAATTTGAACCATGTATGATTCTTGTATAACATTTCAGCTTGTAAGACAGGGGAAGAGAATAAGTAACCCAGATCCACAAGAAGAATTCCCTTGATGCATAGGTCACAGATTTCACATCATATAATGAACCCTCATAAAATTTGCAGAACCACACATATTTCTCCATTTTCTTCTCTTTATATATCGTATATAGATGGAAGGGGATAGACTTCAGCAGTCAGCTACAGGCTGTATCATAAAACTAGTATGAGATTTATAGCAGATAACAGCTATTCAGTTAAACATCATCTTTATATAGGATCTTTTCAGTGTTCCTCTTCACTCTGTGCTCGTGGTATAGAACACAATAATTCATTTGCATTACAAACTCATCAAGGTAAGTCAAGCCCAGCACTTACCTTCTTAATTCCTATCATATTTAGCCTATCATCAGTTCCAATTGCAATGACAGCATTCACAACCATCGTTGCAAAGAATTCTTTCTCTCCACCTATGAGCTTCGAATTCAGTGTTGTTTGTGCGCATTTGGAAAGTAAGCTTTTCTTTTCTTCCAGACTCTTCCCTTCTATGCTGGTTGCTAAACCTTTGACCTTGTCAATGGCCTAGCATTTTAAACAGCTAAGTGAGTTGGGTATACAAAGATTAGAATCAACAGGTTGGTAGAAGATACAAGAATATTTGATATCACGCACCAAATTGCAGGCAATTCTATAACTACGTATCAGATTTTGTGGGTGGACTCCATCTTCGATAAAAGGTTTGGCCTCCCTTAAAAATTCAGCAGCTAAAAGAACCACTGTTGTGGTCCCGTCACCAACCTGGAGCACAAAGAAATAAAAAGGAACAGAAAAGTTATCAGTTGAAACATCGACGGCCACATTAGCTGGACACAAAAGCTTGTTCTGCTACTAAGCTCGGCAAAGCCAACACCAAATTGGTCTGTACTTTTCCATGGAAGATAAAAGCTCATCAATCTATATACGCAAATTTTGGCAAAAGATTGCCTCACAGATCATGCAGTCAAGCCCTGTAATAGAAATATAATTAACTTGCTCCAGCTATCACTATTAGCCGCACCTGAAACCATTGCACCCAGAGTACACCGAATCACTAACAGAAACCCTCAGGCCAAAAGATACAAGATTGACGCATTCTATAGAGAGAGAAAGTATACCCACCTCATCTGCCTATACATAAGACCATTCAGAGGAACAGGGAGAAAAATCTTACAACGAGCACTCTCAATATATCTATCATAAGCTTAAGATTCATTCCCTGTTTTCGCCACTAGGAAAGCCACCGAAACACATAAACCACCATGTCTACACCTTCTCTAATCCGTGATTCAAATCCCTCAAAACAACAATGTCGCATCAGTTCAAAGTATTTCATGTTCTAACACTACCTAAACTTGCACAAAGGGAGCAAATTTAATGTCCAGCTCTTCTTCCATACAGCATCGTAACAACTCTATTCGCATTGTAACATGACATAGTTTCGCATCTCAACCCAAAAAAAGAAGGAAAAAAAGAGAAAGCAAAGCAAAAAGAGCACCTCGGAATCCTGGGACTTGGCGATGTCGACGAGGATCTTAGCAGCGGGATGGACGATATCAAGCAGCTTCATGATAGTAGCTCCATCGTTCGAGATGGTGACGCTCCCATTGGCATCGTGGATCAACTTGTCCATCCCTCTGGGGCCGAGGGTCGTCCTGACTACATCGGCGACCGCGGTGCAGGCGTTGATGTTGCTGACGAGCTGCGCCTTCCCTTGGGAAGTGTCCGTGCCTTCCTTCAAGAGTATGATCTGCGGTTGCTGCTCGTCGCCATTTCACACAAAACGGAGATGCAGAGGGAACAGTGTCAGTAAGCTCGGCGGTGCGAAGATTTGGGGGGGAATACGAGAAGTTGAGAATGGGAAGGAGATGCTTACCATCATGGACGCCATTGCTGGCGCTGACTAGGGTTGCGATGAACGGAACTGGAGACCGCGAATGAAGTGTGGGAAAGGCGAGGAAGACAGTACGGAGGAAGAAATGGCTAGTTTTAGGGTTTTCGCGCTGCCGCGTGCTCTGCTCAGTGAGTTTTGGTTCGTTCTACTTCTTTCGACTTGTTTAGTGGTTGTGTCGTCTTGGTAAATCGGATTAAACTCTTGTTTATACAGTTTCGAGTCTCAAATTTTCTGATTAGATGATACTTTTCGTATTAAACAAATACATTATGTATTAAAATCTTTTAAAAGTGATGAATAAATACACTCGTATTAATATTAAACACATATTAATAATTGATATAGTTGATGTGAATTTTACTATTGACATAAAGTTGGACATGGTTCGTCCTGGTCTATAATTGAACACGATAGAACAAATAATTAAGGAAAATTGAGACCTAGATTTGACCAAAAGTACATCTACAATGGTACGGTTTAAGTGCAAACATCAACTCGGTCCAATTTTCCTAAAAAACCTCATAATTGAAACTCAGTTGAACTGTATTTGATTCGATCATATTCAATCTCAATATCGATTTGATCTGACTTGACTTAGTATCGGCCTAATTGTTGGCCAATCTAAGTTGGTAGAAAGACTATTTGGACCGAGACAATTTAAACATATAGAACCAAATGGAAATAGATATTAGATCGTATCAACGCTTTTGTTTCGAATTCGAAGCCATTTTTGTCGATCCAATTTAATCCGAATGTGTGATTAGTTAGTTTGTACAAGTTACATTGACACTAACATATCAACTAGTTCAGATTTCTGTACACAATCACGAAAACGATGTAACTTGTATCCACGTCGAGAAGATACAAAGAGGCAACCATAGGATCTTATGTTGCAGACAAGTAGAGCTTCTCGTCCAGATCATCAAACGAGAAGGAAACTGCCGGCGGCCGCCGCATGGCCGTGGCTTGCTCGAAGGCGTAAGCAACCTCGATGAGCTTCGGCTCCGTGCCTTTCAGCCCTCCAAACACAACCCCAAATGGCTTCCCATTGCTATCATACCCAGCCGGCACAGAGATCCCAGGGTACCCTCCGATTGCCAGCACTGCAGTCACATAGGAGCCGAATGTAACCATGGCGTCCAGCTCGTTTCGCCGCATCAGTTCTTCAAAGCCTCGCCGCGACAGGTCCTCCATCAGCTGCACCGCCTCCATCTCCTTCTGCCCCATCCCGTTCGTCTTCTCCGCTTCGATGAACATGTCCTGGCCGTACTCCTTCATGTGTTCCTGTCCATGTAAAGCGAACTGCATAAGCTTCATTCCTAACAATTTAGGGGGTAGAGAAAAGGGCAACATACCAAAGCCGAATTGTTGACATTGAAGGCAATAACATCTGCTAGAGACCTCACAGGCGACTTGACAAGTTCTTGGAGGTACTGATTGACTGCAACTTTAAACTCTGCCATCATCACCTTGATTTCCCCGGTTTCGAATGGTTGCAGGATCGAATCCACATTAGCAATCTCCAGATTGTCTACCACCGTTGCACCTCCTTGCCTGAACACTTCCAAGTGGCTGTTGAAGGTCGTTAAGACGGTAGAATCATCGACAGAGTCCATGAATGGAGTTCTCACAATGCCTAGCCTCTTCCCTCTCAACCCATCCACTCTCAAGAACTGTTTGTACCCACCAGAGGGTATGAACTCGGATGCTTCCTTCGTTGCTTGGTAGTCTCTAGGATCCACTCCAACGATTGCATCAAGAACATACACTGCATCAGACACTGTCCTGCATATCGGCCTGCAATTTCTTCCTGTGAATTATCTTCAAAAGAAACACTAAAGCAGAGATTTGGGATGGAGGGGTTTTTTCAATTTTTACCCGATGGTGTCCCAACGAGGCGAGACCGGTACCACGCCGGCCCGGCTGGTGAGCCCGACGGTGGGTTTGAACCCAACGACGGAGTTGTGATCGGATGGGCAGAGGATGGAAGAATGAGTCTCCGTCCCAATCGCCACAGCCACCATGTTCGCCGCCACTGAGATCGCCGGCCCGCTGCTCGACCCACATGGATCCGCCCCTTTCACATAGGGATTCTGCGGAAGGCCGCCTCTGGCGCACCAGCCGTTGGGCATTCGGAAGGATCGAAACCGGTACCACTCGCTCATGCTCGCCTTCCCCAAGATCACCGCTCCGGCGTTTCTCAGCCGGTCGACGACTCCGGCGTCACGCGCTACCTCCGAACCCAGCAGCGCGTAAGACCCACACGTCGTGTTCAGCTTGTCCTTCGTCCCTATCCCGTCCTTGAGCAGAATCGGAATCCCGTGGAGACCTCCCAATCGTCCCTGATTCTCCGATCTCTCCAGATCGGCCTTCGCTGCTTGATCCAGCGCGTCGGGATTCACTTCCAGTACGCTCCGGAGGGAAGGATTCAGCTCGGCGATTCGATCCAAGTAGAAGCTGACCAGGTCTTTCGAGGTGAGCTGGTTTCCGGCGAATGCTGCCTGGATCTGGTCGATGGTGGCTTCCTCCATCGAGAAATTCCCGCCGCCGTCGTCGATTGCATTGGAGACGACCGCCGCGACGGATATGAGCAGCAAAGCAATTGCTCTCGTTGCCGTCGCCGTCGCCGTCGCCATTGATGGTTGCTTGGAAGTTCGGAGGTCAACTCTCCGTCCGGGGGGAAATGGCGCCGTTAGAATGACACCATTTAATTAGTTTTCGGGCCGGGGCAAAGAGAAGTTGCTTAGACGTTAAACCTAACGTGGCGTTTAGAGTTACCGTCATTTTAACAAATAAGTACCTATAGTATTTTTTTTGACAGAACAAGCCCACATACAATGTCACCATTGACAAACTAGTCCTTCCATTCATAATTCTGTCAGCCCGTTCCAATAATAGTTAACAAAGCAGCAGAAAAGCCAATGAATAAAGCACATAACCACACAAGAATCACGCAGAAAAACCTGCAGAAAACATCCAGAAATTTGGCAGCAGGATTTCATTGATGGATCAAGCGGACACAGCAAATCTACCCCTATATAGATCCTACTGTGCCTATATACCCATGAACTATACTATAAGTGAAGCCATGTTGACTTCCCAATACATCCAATCATAACATCGTAACAGAACTTGTAACTTACAAATCAGAAAATGAGTGCATAAAAAACAAGGTAATGCCTAAAAATGGTCTCAATGAACTTTCTGTAGCATCAGACCAGAGAGCTGGTCTAAGCCTTCAGCTTCCCGCTCACCCCACGCTTACTATGCCACACACCATTGCGATCTGCATTCACCGAGTTCTTGCTAGCCGCAACTAAACACTGACCAGCTCGACCACTCTTACTCCCCATCTCGGCCTGGATCTTGCGACGATGCATCCTTTGCTCAGACCGCATCCCTCTCAGGGCACGGACCCTCCGTTCTTTCTCCAGTGCTTCGGAGAAGTTCCAGATCCTGACCACACCCTCTTCTCCTCCGCAGACAATGCGGTCAGCACCAATGTCAACTGAAAACAGGTCCGGCCCAAATCCGTGCAACATCCTCTGTGGAGGCTCCACAATGCTGCTCTCCACCATCTTTCTCGCCCTTGAAGAGCATTTGGCCCGTTTCGCCAGTCTCAGCAGTTTCCTCACGTCGATGAGCGCCATTTTCCCATCACCAGAAGATGAGACGAGCCAAGGGAACTCGAATGCCAGAGAGTAAACCGGACCAGAGTGAGCAACCCATGAAGCGATTTTGGACGAGTCGGTATTACCCATCTCGAACATGTGTATTGCCCCATCTTCTCCTCCGGTGAAAAGAAGGTCCCCCGTGTGACTTCGAGCTAGAGCATAAACATTCCCAGCATGAGCCTGAGCAATAACATTTAATAAAGTCCCTCGACGAGCATCCCATACATATACATCTGAACCGGATGCAGCTGCAATTGTGGTACCTTGAGGAACAAGGCTCCAAACCCAGTCTCCATGACTCAAGACCTGCAAGCATTTCAGGGAAGATCGATCCCATACACGAATGGTCATGTCCCATGAACCGCTATAGATTTTTGTAGGGTCCAAAGCGAGACAAGTAATGGGACCGACATGCTCCCAAAGCCTGAACTCAGATGTGGAATCCTTGAGGTCGAACAAGTGTGGGAGACCTTCAACTGCCCTCCAGCACTGGATGAATCCATCAGTACCACCAGCAACCAGTAGTTTCGAATCAGCCGAAACTGCTCGAATGGTGCATCCAAGGGAGCGGGATGAAGCGATTGACAGGCCGCTCTCCATGGCCCACATCTGTACAACTGAGTCATAGCCAGAGGTGAAAATGAGCTTGGCGGAAGCCAACAGGAAAACTGTCCTAACAGCTTCCTTGTGACCGTACAGAACATCGATGCTATAACGCCCCAAGAACGTTCTACTCCTAAACTCCCTCTCCACAAAGAGCTCCTTCCAGTTCTTCTCATCGGAAAGCGCTACTACACCAGCAGGTGGATGGAGGACTAAAGGAAGTCCCCATCTTTCACAGTATACTTCCTTCCAAACAGGATTCTCAGCAGCTAGCCTGTTCAATACCGTCGAGACGCAGGAAACCACGCCAAGCTCCTTAGGGTCCAAGCAGTTCAGGATTTCAGATATCAATGCAGGAGGAAGGTCGATGATTGAGCGACGAAAACCGTGCAGAACATCATCATCGCCACAAGGCAACTCTTGTGCAACAACGCTGCTTAATATCTCGCCTGGAGAAGAGAAATCGAACTTGTGCTTTGAAACCACTATATCCTTATGAACAGAATTTTCTATGCGAGCTTGATTTTCTGTAACGTCAATGCTTGCTTGGCATTCAAATTCCATAAAAAGAATAGCTTCAACCTTGAAAACAGAGAATCGAAAGGGCAAGCAAACGAACCCCAAACCCGCGAAACTAGAAACTGGAAGGAAATCCACAAACCCCAGGCGAGATTCGTAGCCAAAGCTTCAAACTTTTGCCGAGATTTGAACGAACCGAACAACAATGGGAAGCCAAACACCCTGAAAACAAAGACCCAGATGTGATTAAAACACAGGAAATCAATTTAGGCGAAACTGAACGAAACTTTGAAACAGAGAAAATTCGGAATTCAACAGAAAGGCAGAGACTTTTTGCAACGAACCTTCACAGATCAATGAGCGATCGTCGATCCACAATTGAATGGAGAGAGAGAACGGAGTACGTAGAACGATTGGGAGAGGGAAAGAGAGAGAGAGAGTATTTGAGGTCCAATCCTTTGCACGCTCCGCTGCGTTTGCCGGTGATTCTGGCGAACCGGGCCTGTTCTCCACTGATCGGTGGCCAATCAAATCGGACGGTGCAGATGAAGCTCTCGCGGTTCAATAGTACGGTTGCAGCCGTAGGATTTAGCCTTATTTTTATTTCTGGTAGGTATATTCTTTATGGGCCGCCCGCAATAGGCCCAATTAGACCTAAACTTGGACTTTATGTATATCCAAATGTGGGTTTAGGGTGTTAAGAAAAGGGTATTATCAAAGCCAAGGAAATTAATTTGAGATTGAAGAAAGACAAAGTGATAAATCTCTTACTTTTCATACAAGATTTTATAATTTTATGTAAGCTATGTAAGTAGACGCATAGCAATAAATCTAAATTATTGCAAATTCAAAAAGCAATTAGAACATCATAATATTTTAGTCTCGCATGAAGCCATGAACTGTAAATGTATGCGAACAAGAACTCGATCTAGTGGTATTATCAATTTATCAATGATTTTTCAACGTGGAATATCAAGATTGAATTGTTTAGGTAACACCTAATTAAAAGAAAAAGCAAACTTATGTCACCCTTATAACGAAAATGGCAGCTATTTTGAAAAGACAATGAAATCGGTGATGTGTTGAAAGTCGATATCTCTACTTCTGGGGTTGTTGCTTCACTAGGTGGCATATGCAACCTTGGTATATATTTAAAGACTCTTGCTATTGCTTGCTTGCATTATAAGTAAATGAAAGTTCTAAAAAAAATAGAAGTAAAGGAAAAGACTATGATATATCTAACTTATACCTCCATTTTTATTTTTTATTGATATATTTGAATGAATGATGAACACCAACTATCAAAGTTAGATTATTGTTATCCTCATTAGAGTTGCATTTACATATAATCTATAATTTTAATTAGTCGATCTATTTTTACTCGGAAATTTGTCATTGTAATCCTCATTAAAGTTTTCTTTATTTGTATTCGAAATTATTTAAATTTTTTCCATATATAAGTAGATGATAAATTATTTTTTCTAGAAAATTATCATGATCTCTTGATATTGTTATAAAACTCCATAATATGAACATTTTAAGACCTAATAATCATAATTTTGATGTCCATGGACCTATATATAGTTTTATAGATCCTAATTTGCCTCCTTAATCATCTCCTCTCCCTCATTTTCTCCCCTTTCTTATTCATACCAACCCCACAAAATAGCCAATAAAAAAAAATATAGAAAAGCCACCAAAACCAAACGTATAATCTCTTTTCCGTAACGTTTGGATCATCAAACACCCACCAAGAGAACCAACAATCAACAATGTCGGATTCCTCGCCGGACGCCGCCGCCTCAACCTCTTCCTCCGCCACCGGCGTCGTCCCGTCCCACTCCCCATCAAGCTCCCTCTCAAAAATCCAAGCCTCCATCCAAACCCTCTCCGCCATCGTCCCATCCATCCCACCGTCCCTCCTCACCTCCGAGAACCCGGCCCTCTACCTCCTCCACGACCCTGACGTCTCCGCCACCATCTCCTCCCTCCTCCGCCGCCCCGACTCCGGCTCCGGCGACAACAACCTCTGCCGCTGGCTCTACGACACGTTCCAGTCCACCGACCCCCAGCTCCAGCTCGTCGTCGTCCGCTTCCTCCCCGTCATCGCCGGCTCCTACCTTTCACGCGCCGCCTCCTCCGGCCTACGCGCCGGCAAGACCCTTGCCGGCTTCGAGGCCGTCCTCCTCGCTCTCTACGCCCACGAGACGACGGCGCGCGACGGAAACTCCGTCACCATCAACATCCCGGACATCTCCCACCCGTCCATCTACCACGAGTCCAAGATCCCTCCGTCGAAAAACAACGCCACCGTCCTCAACATCGCCGTCATGTCGCCGGCGCTCGAGCCCCACGGCACTGTGCGGTCCACGCGCCGCGGGAGGATCGTGGGCGTGGCGCTCGAGCTCTATTACAGCAGGATCTCCCAGATGCCCAAGGACTCCAAGATGGAGTTCTGCGAGTTCTCTGAGAAGTGGGCCGGAATCTCGCGGCCCAAATCCAGTGGGTCGGATGGAAAGGCCCGCGAGGAGGGAGAGGGAGGAGGTGGGAGGATACCTCTGCCGTGGGAGGTGATGCAGCCCGCGCTGAGGATATTGGGCCACTGCATAATGGGGCCCAGTAAGGATGTGCAGCTGTACGACGCGGCATGTGGGGCCTGCCGGAGCTTCCACGCTCGGGCTTTACAGGATATGGACGCGAAGGCGATTCTGGCGACCGGAAGTCTTCTCAGGGTGGCGGAGATGTCGGTGGATCCCAAGAATAATGTTGATCATACGGAGATTAAATTTACGGAAAGTATTACCGTTTGAATAAATGAAGGTTTATTTTTATTATTCTATTTATTGTTGTATTTAATGATACTTAGATTAGGTGGATTAATTTGTAATGTTTTGAACATCAAGTTACTCAAGTGGTAAGATATGTGATGACACCATGCTACGGTTCAGGCGGTCGGGTTTGGTTTTGATCCGGAAATAGTTAATCTTAGAATTTCGTTCGAGTCGATATCTCAAATTGTGAATTATGTCCCTAGTCGAGTTTCTTTGTTTTAGAGCGCTGGCCTGGATGTGATCGATGTTTTTATCTGTTTGGAAAACCCACTATTTTGTTGTTTGTACGATGTAATTTTTTAGACTTTCTGGTTAATTATTCCATTACGATTTACAAGAATACAAATAGTACATCAGATCGAGAGTTCTTGCGATGGTAAAGAGAAGTCACCCACGAAGGGGGAAAAATGGAATCGTGAGAACTTTCCTAGCTAGAAGAATTATAGATTGTGGAGAGCTAGCTAGGTGATGCATTGTACACTAGTAGCATACAAAATCAAATCATAAATGTGAATTAGTGAAGAAGCCAAAAGTAAACTCGTGGAAAGTTTGGGTAGTGAAAAATAGCTAGAAGACGATTTGATGACTTGGTCCAAACATATATAGGTGAGATTATAGAGAAAAGACATATAGGTGAGATTAAACATTCATCATGCTAAAACTCTACTCTTTTGACATTCATTTAGAATGAGCTTTGCTCTTGTAATGTCAATTGTTTATGACGAGTGATGATGTTTATTTGCAAATTTCTCACCTCGTATAAAAGAAAGGGTAAAATCACTTCAATGTGTGATTCAACAACTTCCATTTAGACGCGGTGGCATCGCTATCACTATCCTACTAAACTTCATCAGTCGCCATATGATTTCTGTGCTTCTGCTAGACTCTGTTCTCCCCGAAATTACCGAAGCTTCCAGTTCTCTGTGGCAAAGATGTCTTTGGATTCTAAGAATAATGTTGAATGTACGGGGATTAAATCTACCGAGAGTATCATCATTCGAAATTATCGACGGTAACAAAGTTTGTCCGTGTTGGGACGATCATTTTGAGGAGGCATACAGCTTGAGGAACGATTCTTGAAAAAGAATCGACTTCGGTTATGTTTCTTCCGAGAGTTGTTTCCTTATCATTGGTTTGATAATTTTTTGCATATAAAGACACAAATGTATCTACATAGGAATTCGTTGAATCACACACCACATTAACGCACACGTAATTCAGTAACATTTCGTTCGGTCGATTTCCAATAACAAAAGAACACATTCGAGAGTTCATGTAATGGAAAAGAAAAAGTCACATAGGGATTGAATCATGAGAACTTTCCTAGAAGAATTATTGATGGAGAGAAACCAACATATGTCACCGATGAAAGAGAGGTCACAAACTCACAATATAATAATGATACAAATGATCAAATCGTAAGAGTAATGGAGCAAAAAGTAAACTCGTGGAAAGTTTGGGTACGTGGTGGAAAATAGAAGACGACGACTTGGGTCAATGGGAACTTCACCAACCACTAGGGTTGGAGCCGAAAGGTCATCATCATCAGTTGCTGTGGAAGAAGGACGTGGAAAGTAGGAGGAACAAAGTTGTGGTGGTGAATAGTAAATGTGTGGAAAGTCCGGGACTGGCTGTTGGTGAGCCATGGCCTGATGGTCCAGTTCCCGTGCCGCCGTTCTCGCCGCTCGACGGCGAAGGTCCCATCATCGGTCCTCCGGCAGGTGAGTCCGCGGTGGCTCCTCCTCCTCCTCCCTGGCTCGGCGATGGCGCCCCCATCGGGCTTCCGCCAAGTCCTGCTCAGAGAAGTTTAACTTGGTAAAAATTGGTGACCAATTTGTAACTATTTCAAAATTTTTGGGATAGGACTAGATAATTGGAATTTACCACCCAAGTGGGTACTATGCAACAGCTCATCTAGCAGAGGAATGGGCAAGCAATGCATTGAAAGAAACAAAGGCATGTGATGGTTATGCCAACTACCAACTTTTTTGTGTATAGACCACAATGTGTCATAAATTTTGAGACTCCTAATTTGGTGTAGCTTGCAGTGACCATTTATTCATCTGAGATGAGAACTTTGATTGCTTTAGGTTTGATCAATATTATGGATAAGACAATTAAGTCTATGCTAATCACATGATGGTTATAGTGATTAAATTCCATCCAATGTGACAGCAAAGTATAAGTAATCAACCCTTTAGTTAATGAACTTGTGAGCAAACCTTGTCCTTTGAGGTAAGGATTCTTTCCATCAAATTGGATAAGCTCGATTTTCAGTTTCATGGAACGTTTTTTTTTTCTAAAAACGCAGGAGAAGATGGAGTATCGAAACAAAATCGAACAACATCTATAATAATAATAATCTAGATTTAACTCTCGTATTAAATTTTCTTTATCTCACCTCTAATCCTATTATACAATTTAATTATAATCTAGACCCGAAGATAACATTCCTGAATTCACATTAGTCACACATTTATTTCTAAAGACTGTATTCTTCCTCATGGGTACGCAGTTGACTTCACCAAGTCAATGTGAATGCATCTCAAATTTCCACACACACACACACCAAAACCCATAATGGGAAAAATGAAAGACTTTTCCCAAATTCCAGTCCATCGAAATAAATGTAAACTCTGACCATTACTACTAAGTGACATTTCCCAGAAAACAACGATGAAATTTGGACATAGAATTCCAAAGGCAATACCTACCTTCCAAAAAGACCTTTAATTGCACGTACATGTTCTCTCCCGTGAGCTAGTACAATTTTAGTTTTCTTTCTTCCTTTTCCATTTCCATTATTATTGATGGATCCAAAAATAAATGCACCGATCCACAACCACTCATTAACCGGTGGCCGCCGGTCCACGCAATTAATTACTGACCACCCAACCCCTAGCCCCCTAGCCAGCTGCCATTTTGGACCCATTGCTAAATGCAACATATAACATAATGGTGGTAATACGAAGATGAGAACATTGACCGACTTCGTTTTAATTTACTAAGTACTACGAAACCAATCACACTCCGAGTTCGAACCTAATCGATTGGATCGTGAGTACGTACCTGGACAGAGGCTAACGGGAGGAGTGGAGACGGAGCAGACGGAAGGCAGCCCGAAGGCTCTCGTCCTGTCGATGTCGAACCCGTAGTCGGAGGCGTTGAGGGTGAGCAGCGTGCAGAGGCAGATCGGGTTGCTGTCGACCAGCCCGGCCAGCTCCGGGCAGCAAGGTTTGTCCGGTTTGGTCAGGTTGCTCCCGGTTGTCACGTACGACAGGCAGTCCGACAGGTTGAATAGCTGCGTCATGCAGTCCACGGCCGGCGCCGGCGCTACTCCTCCTCCGCTACTGCCACCGCTTGATGACGGTGGAGACATCGATGGGGCGGTGGGGTTGTAGTAGGGAGCTGGGCCGGGGGACATGGTCTGGGCCGAGACGGCGGAGATGATTAGGAGGATCGCCGCGGCGGCGGCGGCGGGGAGGTGGCGGAACATTGTGGAAGGGATGTGTTTGGGAGGAGGAACTTGAATCTTGTTTTTTTTTTTTTTTTGGGATGTGGGAAATGTATTGTGCTTTGTGTAAAGAGAGGCTGTAAGGGTAAAGCTTGTATTGGGTTTTATTTTGGATGGGTGCAATAAATGTAGGGAACTACCAACAAGATGTCCTAACTTCATTATGATCTTTTTATATTGTGTTGCTCTGGTTAGAGAGGTTGGATTGGTTGATTCGGTACTGTCTAGAATCGGATCGAAACCGGATAAGAAAAATAAAGTAAAAACGAGGATTAGTGTCAGACCGAAAGCATGTTCGTTTCATTTGGTTATGTCCAAATTCAAGTTTGACTGACCCATCTTTTTCATACTTAAAATAATTCATAGGATCAAAATCGAATCAAAATATATACTATCCGATTTGATTCGATTCTAGCCGATGTGGACTGGATCGTTGCCCAGTCCTAGCTGATAGTGGAATGTGAATGTGTGCTGGTTTCTACTTTCTAGTAAATGCTTGCTTGCCCAACTTGTTCAAACTTCTATTGTAGCCCCCTACTACTCGATCTACCATATTTATTCAAGGGTATTAAAGGCTTCTTGGTAGGCTGATTGTCCCAAACGTTGGAAATGTCATGTGAGCCTTAGGGGTGGCAGTTCGGTTACCGGTTATCGGTTAACCGGCCGGTTATCCAGTAACCGATAACTGAAGTAACCAAACTTCGGTCGGTTATCGGAGGCTGGACGAAATAGTTTTTGGTCTTAAAAGTGGTTCGGTTAACCGATAACCGAGAGACCGAAACCTATTTCGGGCGGTTTTCGGTAGGGGGATTGGTTATTTCGGTTAACCGATAACCGGCCGATCGGTTACCGGTTATAACCGAAATAACCGAAATGCCACCCCTAGGTATGATATGGTTGTGTGCGGGAAAATGAGGAAAAAAGTTGAGTTGTTGTGTTGTAACAAAATGGGGAAGAAAATGTCATACATATGGAATTGGGGTGCATGGACTATATATGTGTTTAGAGAAGGTAATTAATGAAACTACTTAGTTACCATGGAAAGTTTTCTTTGTTTTGATACTTAGCTCGATTTATTACTAATTGTAACCATTCAATTCTGTGATGTTAGACAAATTATTATACCTTTTATATTCTTAAACTCCGTTCAATTATAAATACGAATTAGTATGTTCTTCGACGTCATGCATTTCTACTAAAGAAAAAGTGAATTAGAAGTTGTGGATAACCTGCACTTAAAAAAGTTTTTGAAGAAGGCATATACTTGTGAAGGAAGTGTTAAATGGGACGTACCCAACAACCTAACTTTTGGAAATCACAAGAAAGAAAACCTTTGGCTTGGGCAACGGATTGCCTACCTTTCTCTTCATTCTCATCTTTTCCTTTTTCCCTTAATTAGCAGATGACCATGAACAACATTTAAGTGATGATATAACATGTGAATTTTTGTTACCAAGATTAAGCCCAGAAGCAAGTAAAACAATAATTAGCATGTGATGCCTAAGCCACGTATATGTTTTCCTCTTTGTGACGGTTGTGCTTGTTTGTAACTTTTTGTACGTTATTTTATCGAAATCTATCATCATTAAAGATGAATTCGTGCGAAACTAATACAAAAGTGTACAATATCGTGTTAATATGTTCAACCCAACCTTCAGTCTGTATTTAAAGATTAACGTCCATCTATTATCAATCCCGACGTTGAATGTAAGACAAGACCACCCTTTAGTTGTACAACCATCAAGCCGAGACGGCCAGCTTTAACGCCAACTATGAGAAAACCAACCATCACGCCCCGAGCCAAACTAGTCCACCAAAAATAAATAAATCCGTGCGAGCTCGACTCGAATGACAATCTCAAACTAAGCCCGATTTCACCAAAATATTGCACTGTGGGCTCTCTGACCAAATCCCCAAATCCCAGCCCCCACTACTAAAATCTGTTCCAACGTCCACCAAGCTACCCAAAGCATCACTGGGCCTCCACTCTTATTCTCGAGCCCAAGTGATCAACTAGCTAACAATCGTTAAAAAACAGAATGCTGATCTCAGAAAGACGTTTGCATGGGTACTGTTTATGCCCCACAACCCTCCTCTTCACATCACGCGCCTCTCTTCATGTCACGCGCCTCGCTTCCTACTGCACTTCCCTCACGCGCGCTTTCGTCTGCACACACAACCGCCTAGCGGACCATATAGATCCGTTAGCACTCCGACGCCCAAGTGAGAATTCTAACTCTAGAGAGAGAAGTGAAGAACAGTTCTAGTAAGAGAAGCAAAAACTGAGTAAATGAGGTTTACCTACTTCACTATTTATACCCGAGGCGACATCGACCGGAATCCGTCGCTCTAGCCTCGTGTCAGGTCCGCCATAAATGCGCCTTACAATCCTTGCGCATGCGCCTCGACCACCTGACACTTTCGTCAGAAGTTTGAGGTGCATGACATCATGTGGCCAGCTTTTCGTACACTTCCGACCGTTGGGTGTCTTTTGTCCTATTGCGCCTCTTGCCAGGTGTCTGGTCCCACCTATCTCACGCGCCACCTTGGCCATTTGAGCCCTTCACCACGCGCGCCTTCCGGCCCAAGGCTCTTGCCCCCCATGGGCTTCTTTGGATTTCTCCGGCTGGGCCCTGGACGGCCCACGCCCGTGAATTTCCAGCAATCTTCCTTGGGCACTCCCCATTGGGTTGCTCCTTGGCCCATACTTATTCCCCAACAAGCCCACTTTGATCTTTCCAATCATAGTAATTGCAGACAAGCTGACCTTTCGGCAGTACATTGCATTATTGTTAACCAACCTGGAATGGAACGAAGAGGTTCGATTTTGGGGTTCAGTTTTGGAGCTCTCTATGATACGCGTTACGTTAATTACCATATTCGATCTGTATTTGCCTTTGGGATTTGGATCATTAAGCTCATAATATATGCGTACGTCCAAGGCAACTAGAGTTTGTGTAACAGATAATGCAATGAACTGACAACTAGAGTTTGTCTTACCGGCCGGCCGGCCGGCCGTTGTACGAATCAAGAGTAGAAAACGAAGTCAGGAATATAATAAGCCGGCGGAGCAATAAGATTTATATATAATGATGAGGGAGCTTCGATCCTTCTTCAAGATGTTTAATAATTATAGATTGCACAAAATGAGTTCAAGTTTGGTTCATGAGCTTGCCTTTGTCATCGTTCTGGTAGTCGTTCTTCTCATATCTTGTGCTATGGCAGCAGGGATAGCCAAATTAAAGGTAGGTATACCAGCAAATTCAATTTGTTTTTTTTTTTTTTTGTATTTACATATATGTGACACCTTTCTGAAGCATATCGTATTCGGTTGTATTTCATCAAATCAGAATTGTCGATTTTTATTTGTTATTACACTGATTTTTCGGGTGTAGAGATTTAGAGGATTATGGGTTGGGTTTATTCATTAGAAGTAGTTAAATTATAGTATCATATAATTAACAACTATCGTGAATATGTACATGTGCACTGCGTCGTGAAGAGCAAAGGAAGAAATTGCTGCCACTGTTGTACGACTGCCAAGACGTCCAAAAGTGTTGTGTGAGCGATTTGTGGCTTGGGCACTGGGTTCGAGCATTGTACTGAACTGCTGATACCGCGATGCCTTCTTTAGATAATTGCTAGGGCTAGACCCGATGAATTTTGTACTTTTTTTATATTACCAAATCAATTCTTTGAGATTGATATTGATTCGAATTATTGAAATTAACTGAATATTCCTATCTAAGAGTCAAAAGGATTACGTATTTATATCATCATCACCTCTAAAATTAACTTGTTGATTTACGAACATTATATGGCAGATGTATACAAACTTTTGATTTATGAATTTGATTTTTTTTCCCTTCTATATATCGTAACCGAACCAACCCGAATTAGCATGAAATGCGCCGATCCAAACCGAGCCATGCATGCAAGAATTGTGATATCGTACCCTTCAAATTATCCAACACGAACCGGCAAAGCTAGTCGGAAAATGCCCAACCGGCGCTCGACGAAGGAAACGAGAAAAATCAAACAATGAAATATTAATTGCCGGAGCTACAGGATTTTTCAATGCTATGGGAACTTCCTTCGTCAAGAGTCTTGAAAGGACCGGCACGTGATTGGGGTGGTTAATTTAATTATGATCATTATACTTGCAAATGGTCATTGAAACTTTGAGCTAGTTTGAAAAATGACCTCTAAATTTTAAGATTTTTTTAATCAAACTTATCACTAATATTCGTATCGCACTGGTCTAATTGTCTTGTGATTTCACATCAATATCCATCTTCACACAAATGTTTATTAGATTTTGTATATAAATTAAATATCATGATTAATCAATATGTAGTATGATGCCAGGATATATGTCAAAATGGGGATAAAACTAAGAAGACCATGTCTTCTGATCCACAAAATAACGCGTGTGAAATGTCATATATATGATTACTTTGAGGAAGCTTTACATGCACGATGATGACTTGATATGACCACAACATTTTACATAAAGAAAACAAAGTCGAATGCAAATAGATTGAATAACTAGCTACCACTGTACACTTACATTAGTTAATCTAATCATGTCGACTGACGGCGAATCTTATTGTTAATTATAGGAGTTAAAAGTTACAACAATGCGCTTGTTATTTACCTCAAAGTTCAGTGACCATTTGTGCTAATTGTATTATAAACTATACATAAAGGAATCAAACGCCGGATTATATGTTGACTTGTGTATACATACGAAACATCTATATATATATATAGCTAAGGCATTCCTCAAAGAAGAACAAACGCTTTTATGTCGAATAAAGCAGAAGAAGAAAATCAAACAAAGAACATATAGATTACAGACTGCTGTAAGCTTTGGTTGCCTGCAACAAAAATGAAGTCAAATAGTCTTGTTCGTAAGCTTGCCTTGATCGTCGTCCTGGTAGTGGCCATTCTCAGCTCTTGTGGCATGGCAGCAAGGATGACCAAAGGTAAAAATATATGTTCCCTTAACCTCGTTTTGACAATCATTATGGTTAAGTAATTATGATTAGATGCGGCATCTCTAACTATTTATTACCGTACGTGCCATATGTTATTTGCCTTGATTCCATCATATCATCAAACCCTAATTACGTATTTGGAAAAAGAGCAAGGGAAGAAACAGACACAGTCGTTTGGCTGCTCGGGCGACCGGGACTGTTGTGTCCCTGAACCGGGCTGGGGCACCGGCTGTGAAAGTTGCGCGAATCCCGACTGCGATTTCCATTATCTGGCCGGTAGCCCGGCTCGTAATAATCAGCCCTAGCTAGCTAATGCTATGACGATGAAGGCTGAAGTGGTGCGAAGAAGTCGGTTCGATTTGGATATGACCAAGGTTACGACGGTTCGTGTTTGGGTCCTTTAAGTTACGACCGTGCTCGTGAAGAGTACTGTTGGGCTTGGATTTGTATCGTTCTTTCCTTCGATGTTGTTCTTTCTCTTTGAAGTGTAACTTTGATGTTGTTTTCTTCGTTGAATAAGATAATGCGAGGTGTTTTAATTTTTTTCACAAAAAAAAAAAAAATTCATTGCGTAAAAAAGAAGTTATGTTTCTTCATTACACGCCACGCGCGTCGTATTCCGACTCAACAGAAACTAGCAAAAGAACTAATTATTATTTATTACGATAACCTCCTCGTCTATAGGAACTAAACAAAATTATTGTAACCTTCATTGCTATACCTTAATTATGATGATATAATCCTTGTCTCATTGAAGTTAATTACTTTGTGAAGTGCTATATGGTGGAGAGGATTATGGAGTAAGATGTTGGTAAAAGAGAGCAAGATTATGAGGACCATTCTGAAATTCGATAGAAATCGATGTAGTGCATATCCTAATGGTAAAGCTATTGGTTTAGAAAGAGAAGATTCATGGTTCAGAATTGACATTCCACCTTGAAAAGTCGCGATATTTTAAATGTGTACTCTTTTTCTAATAGTGGGGTACATGTACCCCGCAACTCTCCATGTAGCACCACCGGTGGAAAACATATATCAATGAATAGTTTTCTTTTTTTAATAGAGAAGATTATCGATTGAATATTTTTTAGAGCGAAAGGGGAAAAAAATGGATGAAAAGTAGTAATAATTATCTTGAATCGAATATATGATTTCATTTGGGGAGTTTGGTTGCACGATTTGGGTAAAAAATAGGAAGAAAAGAAGAGCAAATCAGAAACTAGATCAGAGTGAGGATTGAAATTCGTAAGAGGGACGAAGGAAGTCGCATAATCTGTTTTTCACTTTTCATGTCATGATCGGACCCTGAAATCCGCTCATCACCCACCCACAAATCGTCGGAGTGCCTCTAGACTTCACCCCTGACCCAAGAATGTCGTTCTCGATTAAAAACATTAGTTAATGTCATTATTTATTAACATAACAAGTCCCTAGAACTCTATATACTAACCCTCAATTTTGTCCTCAAAGTTCATCAACTATGCGCTTTGTGCGATAACTGATAACTCCAACCTAATAATCCAGGAGCTAGATTACAGAGAGGTTTTATGTGTTTAGAGTTTATCAAACACTCTTCTCCGATCAAATACTTCATTAGTACATAACTTAAATGGGGTTTTGTCAGATTGTTAATTAACTCTTTAACAAAATTAGCATCAGTTCGCTGATTATGAGTCCAATGGAGCCTGAATTCTCTTCAAGTTTGTTACGTACGTATATGAAACACATGATTACTTGATTAAGTATCGTCCTCGGTCGCCGGCAAACTTTGTCACCTTTTATCGAGCCTTTTTCCTCTCTAGTCATATATATATATTTAAGAGAGAAGAAGAGAGATCGAAATCAAAGACAAGGTGTAAAAGGGAGAAGAACATACATCTTGTTTGCCTGCGACAAAATGTATTCGAATCTGGTTCGCAAGCTTGCCATTGCTCTACTTCTGGTTGCAGCTTTTCTCGTCTCTTGTGCCATGGCATCAAGGATGGCCGAAGGTATGTTTGATCGATTATTGTTCTACGTTTTTTGAAGCTACGAGACAAAGGAATGTTAGTAAATGATATATGATTTATAGTTGAAGTTCTTTCAAATAACTCAAGTCAATTGGTTTTTGATATGGTACAGAGTTTAACGTGACTAAAAGGTCTTCTATGTGAATAAGCATACGGTATTCGGAAATGTGTGCAAACTATATATGAGTAGCTTTTTGTTTGTCGCGGGTGTGTTAGTAAATTAATGATGTATTGCCCAACAACTCGAGTTATGAAGATGAATCGATTCTTTTTCGTGTAACGTGTTTGAATCGTTTCCGGTGTTTGTATGTAGTGCAACACAACAAGAAGAAGAAACATCCATGCGGGGATCTATTTTGCTGTGGTCCGAAAATGTCTTGCTCGTCCTGCTGTAGAAGTGGCGCCCGCCGGTGATGCAAGAAAAGAAAACACGAGAGTGGATGATGATTGCCGCCGGTTTGGTTATACGACGTGTTTACTTTCCTCGTACACTGCAATCGCCTTGTATACGTACGTGCGTTACCAGTTTGAGTTAATAAAAGAACTGTCTTGGTAAGCTCTCGTCGTTCATCAATGGAAAGAAACAAAAAAACGCGGATTCAGTCCCAGCCATGCGAACGTACGTTGCATGCATGCATGGACTACATAATCGGACGTAAGAAATAATCAACTGAGGACTAAACGTTGTCGGTTTTAGGAGCTTCTTCCTCCGTCGTCTGTGTTGCTCGCGCGGCCGGGGAACACTACTTGACTTCTTCCATCGCCGAACTCCGTCGTCTTGATAACTTATAAATGGGCCCAGGCCGACCGGACCGAAGTTGATGCATGGGTTTGATTTAGTGATGGGCTGGAGACTTAAGAGAGTGAAATATAACAGCCCAGAAAAGTTTTGATAAATCTGTGGGCTTTAATGAGAACGGGCCCAGATTACTTTGCCCAATATACCTATAGATCAAAACAGAGGAAGTAAATACTTCAAAACCACAAATCAGATTGACAAACCTAAATATACAAATCATTCTCAAAATATATAAAAACAAATGATGGTGTGGTGCTATTGTTAACACTCATGCAAAACAAATAATAAAAAAAAGGTTGCGAGTATAATAACAACGTACTAGAAAAATGTTGTGTCGAAAAAGCAATTAACAGACTAAACCAACAAACTGAAACGAATGATGAATAAGCAACTCATAAACATACTACAAGTAATTATAAAAAAAATATAAAAATAAACATACTACAAGCAGCAAAATGAACTTGGTATGAATTGTCAAATAATGAAGGAATGAGCTATGTATAATTAAGTGACCACCTTGAGTCCTTGACAGTTGATGGTCTGGTAGTAGTGAGAGAGAACTCTAGTTGAGAAAGATAAAATACACACTACCTTATATTTCGCTACTAATCGATCGATATTTCATTTTGAACAATTCTAATTATATATATAAAAAAATCTTTTGCAGTTATAATAGTGAATGATAGTTAATTTGTTTTAAAGCATTATATTCTTAGTTTGCTTTTATTTGTGTCTTTCCGCAATAATTATAATATTATATGAAAGTTACTCCTCTCCTCCCAATACTCAAATTTTTGCTTCGCCTCTCCAACTCCTATAATAATCATAATACTAATACAAAATTTACCTAACTTCTACAACTCTAATAAAGAATATAATTATGTTCAATTACATAACAATACTCGCAGTATTACTCGTACGTACCAGTACCACTCATACTTTAATAATGATATTATGTTCTCATGTCTTAAAAAAAAAAAAATTCTACAATACTAATACTATCCTTCAAATTCAACAATCAAACTACCCTTAAATCTTTTCTCATTTTGATGTTGTGTGTAGTATGTAGACCACCATATTTAATTTAATACTGTGTATATCTTTGGCTCATCACCAAAACATGTCCTCGTGACTCCCCAGGCAACTAGTTTTTGTAAATTACAATACAACACGAAAGCTAGCCAAGAAAATGCTCAACCGGCGCTCGACGTAGGGAATGAGAAAATCAACAAGGAATTATTGCCGGGCGACACCGGATTTATAACGGCGGCTAAGGGATCTCCCCGTCGTCAATTAGAGACTTGAAAGGACTTGAAAAACCTATCTTGTGTTTGCCTACGAAAAATGAATTCAAATCTGGTTCGCAAGCCTGCTATTGCTCTACTTCTGGTAGCAGCTTTTCTCATGATCTCTTGTGCAAATGCATCAAGGATGGTCGAAGGTATGTTGATGGTTGATCATTATCAAGCTTGGTTTTGATTGTATGTATTGGCTTTGATCGATTGTTCTATGTTCTTAGAGGGATACGGCGAGAAATATTTGTAAGCAGTATATAAATATACAATTGAACTTTTTTTTCAATAACTCATACGTTTTGTGATGTATACGGTGTTCATGAAATTAATCCGCCAATTCTAGAATTCATCAGAATAGTCTACAAGGTAAAAATCAATTTCCTCTATTTTCGATCCATCTCGCCGCATTGTCATTGTGCCCAACAGGTTCTTGAATCTGTGCAAACTAATATGAGTGGTTTTCGTAGTATGTTCCGTGATTCATAATTGAATATCTCTCCGATTTTTTTTTTTTGTGTTCGGATGTAGTGCAACACAAGAGGAGGAAGAAGAAGAATCTATGCGATGATCTAACTCACTGTGGTCCGCACCTCACTTGCTCGGTATGCTGCAGCAGTTACAATGGTCAGAACTTCGCTTGCTCGTTCTGCTGTAAATAAAAGTGGCGCCCGGTGAAAGAAGAAAAGAAAACACGAGAGTCGATTCATTCCCGGTTTGGGTATGTTCCTGTGTGCGTGTTTAATTTCTTCGTATACTGCAATCGTCCTCTGTTCTTCATCAAACCCAGAAATGGCAGCAAAACTTAGTGTAATCAAAGAGCAAGTAATTTAATTATCTGGAAACAACTACGGCCAAGCCAGCTGCATTTGAAATGAATATCAATTGAGTTGCAAAAGGGGGAAGAAGATCAAAACTTGATCAGAACAGGTCGACGATTACAATAAGAAAACTAGCAGAGGAAAGACATTCACACAGTGAAGGTCCCCGAAACGTTTCGTGGGCGGATTCTAGATCGAACCCCCAAGACACGATCCGCTGCATTCGTCCTCCCCGTTTCTGGACGAGGCCGTAGGAGTTCCAGTCGGAAAAGAGAGACGACGATGGCTTTGTTGCTGTCAACAAACAGTCCGTCTCTCGTTGAAGCTTGGAAGCTGAGAATCCATGGGGGGAGAAAACAGGGGAGAAAGGGAAGCGCAGGATTCTAGAATCAGGCCTCGGTGAACAGATGGGCTTCAGCTTTGACAAAGGCCCAAAAAGATTCTTCTCTATATAATCGAAAGCCCAAAGGACTGGAAATCCGGCGGCGTTTATCGAGGGAGGCAGGCCCACGGCCGACGAAAACTGGAAACCCGACCCAATTGGAGAAACGGGCGAAACGCGAAACGGCCGAGAAAGATTCTTTATTTAATTGAAGCCCCAAAGGAAGAAGAACGCGACAGCGTTTTGGGAAAGAGGAAGGGGGTATGCCTGGGAAAGTTGGGCCAGCCTTTCACAGAGGGCCCAAATGGGCCTCTGCTTCATTTAATCGAAGGCCCAAAAAACAAGAAATGCAGCGCCGTTTCGGAAGACTGGTCGGCCTACGGCCGGCGAAAACTGGAAACTCTTGCAAATTGGAGAAACGGGCGAAACGCGAAACGGCCGAGAAAGCTTCTTTAATAAATTGAAGCCCCAAAGGAAGAATAATGCGGCAGCGTTTTGGAAAGAGGACGGGGGTATGGCTTCGAAAGTTGGGCTTTCCATTTACAAAGGGCCCAAATGGCCTGTGCTCCATTTCATTGAAGGCCCAAAAAACTGGAAATGCAGCGCCGTTTCGGGAGACCGGTCGGCCTTAGGACGGCGAAACCTGAGAACCCCCACATAATGGTGAAACGTGCGTCAGAAACGGACGAAACGCGAAACGTTTCGGCTCCTCAAAACCAAAATCGAAACGCGATAAATTGACGAGAAATTGAAATTGACGATATTTTGGGAGATAATAAAATATCGCGATATTTACTCGATATTTTGACTTTTGTGCGATATATTGGCCTGGCGCTGAACTTGCCAGTCGAGTACTGGAAAAAACACAGAAATACATGGAAGAATCGGATCAAAATACAGGGGAAACAACACCGAAAAGACTCCGTTTCATGAACGGCGCCAAGATTCCTGCATCCCATTCCATAATGGGTTCTTTGGCCACTGATGAGACTTACGATCTTGTGAACTTGCGGAGAATCCGACGTTTCTGGTTCTCTTGTGCGATATCGACGATGACTGGATCTATGGTGGAAGCAGAATTAATTCCCATTGAAGTTCACAGGACCTTCAAGAGTTGCACAGCAAATATGGGAGGCCTCCTTGGCATGAGCCAATAGGGGCGAAGTCGAAGACCAAACTGCAGCAACTGTTTAGACAGAAGAACATGGCCAATAGTTAACCTGATATTTTTTATACATCGTTTTCCAAGAAACCCAAAATGCAGCAAGGCTCTAGGAACTAGCTAGCTAACCTGGATCGGTTTCAAGCTTCTTGTCGACATTACCAAACAGATGGCGGTATTAGAGCTCTTCTCTTGCCAACAACAGCTTGCAGAAAAATAGAGATCATCAAACACAGTTGTTTTGAATAGAAATACCCCAGCACTGCATGGTTTCTATTTCCAGAATACACACCACTTCCAACATTCATCCCAACTAGAATCTCCTTCAAGCCCTTGTTATAATCTGCCAATTGTAGTGGCCAAACTTATTAATGGAAGCATAGAATTATTGTAAAGCAATATGCATGGATATTAAGATGCAAGCTAGTTATGAAGGTAGTTCCTATGAGGCGTGCAATATCTCAAGAATTAGTGTCCGACTTTGATAGCTCGTGGATAACGAGGTGAAACCATGTGAAATTCTGCTTGAGAAATTTAACGAAACACGAATCATTAAAAACATTCATGGATTTAGAATGGAACTATTACCAATTTAGTATCGGACATTCACAGCTTGACAGTTGAGATGTATACCACTGAGGCATGAACATGTTAACAGCAGTCGTGCAGATATGTGCAGGGCATGGAGGTTGATTCTTGATACACATAATGTCAGCAGAAGGAACTCATGTTTTCCCCTCCGATTCTTGGACAGCAGTATCCCTCTCTTCTTTTTCACCCGTCGACTGGTGTCTCCATATTCCAAGTGTCTTGTAATCCCAAACAACCTCAGATATCTGATCTTGAGGCAAAATCAAGCCCTTCTGACGTTTTATTGACAAATGCAAATCACAAAAGAACTCTGGATCTTCCAAATTGATATACTCCCTCAAAATCTGTTCATGATCAGGAATCCAGTTCCTGGGAAATGGAGTATAATCACAGAATGGGATCAGAGACATATGCGAGAACTGAACACCTTGAATAACTAACATCAACCAGTCCCATCCTCAGTAGATCAGAATACTCAGGGAGCTGAATTATTACTAAACTCCCTCAATGGCTTGCTAAGATTCCTCGAAGCAATCTTGTATACCTTAGTACCTTAGTTCGTGATTTCAGCCTATACCTAGCAGCATAAAGTTTAGCCAAAGAGCTGCGTATCACATATGCACAAAACCCAACAAACTTCTTCCTATTATCAGCATGCCTATACCAGTCAGCCATGGTCTCAAGAAACTTATTCATCTGATTCTTGGACAGTATCCGTCCTCTCTTGTTTTTCACCGGACGACTGGTGCCTCCATATCCCAAGTGTCTTGTAATCCCAAACAACCTCAGATATCTGATCCTGAGGCAAACTCAAGCCCTTTTGACGTTTTATTGACAAATGCAAGTCACAAAAGAACTCCGGATTGTCTAACTTGATATACTCCCTCAAAATCTGTTCATGATCAGGAATCCAGCTCCTGGGGAATGGAGTATAATCACAGAACGGGATCAGAGACATATGCGAGAACTGAACACCTTGAATTACATCAACAAGTCCCATCCTCAGAAGATCAGAATACTCGGGAGCTGAATTATTACTAAACTCCCTCAATGGCCTGCTAAGATTCCTTGAAGCAATCTTGTATACCTTAGCTCGTGATTTCAGCCTATACCTAGCAGCATAAAGTTTAGCCAAAGAGCTGCGTATCACATATGCACAAAACCCAACAACCTTCTTCCTGTTATCAGCATACCTATACCAGTCAGCCATGGTCTCAAGAAATTTATTCATCTGAGCATTAGTATGAGCCTGACCCGAGTACAGCATAGGCGTACAAGGCAAAGGCTCAGGGTCCTTATCACCTTTAACAAAGGAAAGCCGCCTGAATTGGCGAATGCATTGCTGCAAACTAGCTGTAACTGATAGCAAAGTTCCCACACCCTTTGAACTCACAATTTGTCCTCCACTTGCAGTGTAACGAAGCGTAGGGTATATCACTCTACGGCAGATTATATGATCGAGGAACTGAATTCCTCTGCTGATGTGCTGAATCTCAACTTTGGAGTTATCTAACCTTATCCCATACTTAGTATCACAGAAGTCAATAAGCTGCTTTCTAATCCGCACTGCTTCTTCTCTTGGCCCTCGAATGCCAATCAAGAAATGACCACCATACCGAATGTAATCCATCTTCCTAGTCTTTTCTCTGCCACTGGAAGGTACAAACTCTGGCCATGAGGGGTTGTGGCAGCCATCATCGATCGAATCTTTCCAGATGGAGTCGAGCTTGTTGGGCTTAAAGAAAGCAACTATCATCTCTTCCATGGTTTGATCAAGCTCATTAAGACACACATTTGCAAGCAATGGACTCAGAATCCCACAGGCACCATAGTTAGGTACCTTCGCTGCTTCCTCGGGAGCGAAATTGTAGAACGTTCTCAACCAGTAGGGATCAGGTTTAGGCTCACCTTCCCTCAAGATTTTCTTCTTCGTTTCCTTCTTTTTCTTCCTTTTAGGGTCTTCGTTGCCACTGTTTCGAGAATGCTGGCTCACAAACGGTGATCTCAGCCCGTTTCTTACCAAATTCAATACTTTCCTGTCCTTGATAACCTTTGCCACCGATTCCATCACAACACTAGGATCAACTTGAGAGAAAATTTCACTCACATCACCTTTTAAGAACCATAGATAACCAGCGAAATTGCTTCTGATGGTCCTGATTGCCGTATGGGCGTTCCTTCCCGGACGAAAAGCATGCGACTTGGTCGAAAATCGAGCTTCGAAGAAAGGCTCCAGCACCATGAGCAGCACCTCCTGGACCACCCTGTCCTGGAAACAAGGACCAGGGGAATCAAGCATCGCTTTGAGCTTCCTATTGGAGATGAGCTTGGTGTGCGGCTTCTCGTTGGGGCTGCGGATGATCTGGTGCGCCTTGTCGCTCCATTTGAAGCGGCTGTGAACCACAGCATCCCGAAGGGACAGTAAGGAATGGAGGGTGTAGGAGTGGATGGCGTTGCGAGGAGGGAAAGTGCCGGTCACATGGGCGCAGGAGCGCTGATAAGCGAGAACCCACAGGTCGAGCTTTGAGAGGAAGCCGGTGAGGTTGCGAAACGTGGCGTCCGGCGGGGACGAGAAGGACTTGACCCAGAGGGAACTGCAGATTTGAACTGGGTCTTCCTTGAGAAGAGAGTTGGGGTCTTGTTGAGTGGTGGCGAGGGAGCAGAGAGAGCGGAGGGAAGGGAGGAATCTCGACCTGGATGCTGCACTGAACGGAAGGTGTTTGATGATTTTCCTCAACGACATTCTTTTTACCCAAACACTCCTGTTTGGGGACCTTAATACAACAATCGCAACGGAAACGAAGAAGCTCGAGGGGGTGGTGTCCCCGGCGGCGGGATGGACAGGCTGACCTGAGGTCGAAATGGAGGCTCGAAGATTATTGTTCTTCTAGCTGCCATTTGTTAACGAAGGCTAGGTGTTCGACGAAAATCCCGCCGGGACCCGGTAGTTGTACTTCAAGCGAATTAGAGAGGAGATGAAAATATTACCTTCTAAGCCCCGAACTTATACGAGTTTCCTTCTAAGGTCCTTTAACTTTAACAGTTATCAGCTCAAGACCCTGAACTTGACAAGAGTCTTATTGGTACCATTTTCTGTTCATTATCATCTATTATAGAATCTATTACTCTCATATTGCCTTATGACTAGCAATAAGCCAAATAGCAAATAGTATCCTTGCTAAGTGATCGATACAACAAATTGAAAGTTGATCTCCATATGCATCAATTGTTGATGAAGAACAAGAACAAAAATTAAACAAGTAATCACCAAGTTATCACACAACATATAGATGACCGAGACGAAAGGACAAGGAGTTTAGTAAAACAGGTTGTCACCCAAACCATTTTCGAAATCAAGATATTTAAGGGCCTGTTTACTTTCACTTCTGTTTCCTGTTTTTTAGAAAACAGATGTTGAAAACAGGTGAAAACAACATTTTGTCGTTTCCGAAAACAGCAAGAGGTTGCCACTTTCTGTTTTCATAGTTGGAAACGAATAGAAAACAAAATGAAAAGTAAACAAGTTTTCTCATTTCGGTTGCCAAATTTATGACATGAAAACAGAAAACAGGAAACGAAAATGGAAGTGAACAAGAGATTGATATTCAGCCTCCAAGGAAGAACAAACGTGGCCAAAATGGCATGTTTAGTCTACATGAATACCAACCCTCAAAATTTCAAGATTCTAGATAAGCAACACAAAGATGAGTTCTCTAACTAATGAAACATGATCATACAACTTGTTTTCAGGGAATAAGATCTTGGACATCGAGAATATCAGCAAGAACACCTGCTGCAGTTGTGTCGTTGCCCGCACCAGCACCTTGGATGACCAGCGGCTCTGTATTGTAACACCGGGTGTATATCTCCACCTGCGAAACAACACTCTTTCGATGCAATCAAATGGCGATTTGTCCGGAAGGTTATATATACAGCGAGTTCAGACTTACCAGATTGTCACTTCCTCTCAATCTTCCCAAGGGAGAACTCTTGGGAACCTCTCGGATCCCAACTTTACACCTGACAATGAAGTGACATAAAATATGGTAAGCAGTAGCTAGTAGGTAACTTGATGGTATCGACAAACTATAGGATAATCTACTGGAGAGAACTTGGCAACATGAATTATCTGATACATTGATGGACTAAAAATTCGCAGGTCATGTAATGCATGTGAATAGAGTGGTACTTATTTTGGTCGATCACACAAACATATCGGAGCACCATTGCGAAAGTGGAGGCACTTGCAGCTCTTTCTTGAATTTTTTTATCAAGCAAAACAATGCCCTTGCTCAAGAATTCCTCAACAGACATCACATCAGGCCCCATTTCAGGGGGGTAAAGGCTCTCAACCTGACCAAAAGAACAAGATATGGCAAAGGGAGAGGAGTTACTGCAGATATTCTTCTTTTTTTTTTTTTTTTGGGGAACTGCAGACATTCTGATTTATCCATGTAACAGAAACAATGAAAGGGAAAGAAACAAACTTCAATGCTATCCATAGTGATCCGCCTCCCAAGTAGCCGAGCAAGGATCAAAGCCTGTATTCATTAGCGATAACTATAAGTAATCATCAGAGTTTAGCCATGTTTTCAGCAATCACAAGCAAAAAGAACAGACATTTTCAGCAAATATAAGGGAAAACAAAAAAGATATGGATTCAATCCACGTTTTATCAGGCAAGCCAATTGATGTTTTTCCTTCTGCAACTTATTCATGTCTTCTTTGAACGAAAGAGGAGTCTCATTAGTTGATGTAGTCCACTGTTAATACTGAATACTACCAGTCAAATCGCAAGAGAACTGGCAGGATTCTTTTGAATGCAAATATAAATTGTCATATTGATCATCAATAGTTTTATCTGTAGCTGATATGTATTCTTGGTATGGGTAAATTTTGCAAAGGAGCATCGCGAGTGAACAAATAGTATATCATCACATCATATGCACATACGAGACCTAACCTTCCTGGCGACATCCATCCCGCTGAGGTCATCACGTGGATCTACAAAACTGCTGCTAAGTTAATGACCATGCCAGAGAAAACTCCGAGACATTTGGAAAATATTCTAACGCAGGTGAAGTTCAACAAGGCACCATAAGAGCTTAAGGAAGGACAAAAGAAGCTCAATTTACATTTGACGTATAAAATCTAACTGCAAAACCGAGATAGAACGACCGGTTCAATCATTTTCAATTGAAGGATCAATTTAGCTGCAAAACCGAGAAAGAAGACCTGGTTCAGTGTATCCTAGACTCTTAGCTGCTTTAACAACTTCACTTAGTGGCTTTCCATCTTCAATCCCACTCATTACGTATCCCAGTGTGCCTGTTGGAAACCAAAATTACAGAACGCAACTCACATGTCTCAGAAAATTATGATACTCAAAACATGAACATTATTTAGAAATTGCTCAAATTCTCACCACTCAAACTTCCAGTTATGTGATTCACGGGGTCTCCAGATGAAATTACACGGTTCAAGGATACTATGACAGGAAGGCCAGCACCAACCTATGAACAAAAACCAGGTTAGTGGTTTATGAACTCCAATTTGTTCTCCTTTATACACAAATTATAGCAAACACCACAATTTATACATCATGAAAATTCAAAACAAAAAAGCAAACGGTCCTGCTTCTCTGGAGCTAATGGAGCGAATATCGCTATAATCATTATCATGCTTGAACAAGTGATGAACCCATGTATGAGTATGTTACAACTGACAAGCTAGTTCTACGACTTAGAATGGAGATCATAAGGAGTAGCCTGGCCAAAGAGACAAGATACATAAACATGAAGAAGCATTTACTTACAGTGGATTCATGGCGAATACGACGAGGAAATGACATCAATTTATCATAAGATTCCTGCAAGATGTAACCAAAGATATACTCATTTGAATCACACAGGTGATTATATATGGAGGTGTCAACTATCATCGATGGAATAAGAAATGCAGGCCACTAGACAATGCCAAATGCTATATACTCCACATATTAATAAATTATTAACATGTTCTTGTGCCCCAATGTGCTATGATGAGACGAGCAGATAGGTAATATCACAGAAATAATCACTATTACGTTATTCAATGTCATAATAGCATTATGCAAGGATTTTCATTCAAACATAACCAAGTATTGCACCTTTCACTATTTTAACACCACAGATCATCACAAAATACATTAGTTATGGACTGAATGAAAATAAGGATGGTTAGCAAAGTTCAATACCAGTGAAGACGTAAGAGGTTTCTTGTTTGCTAGGACAATGCAACATCCTAGATCAACCACTTGGGTCAGTATGTTTACAGTCTCCGAACTGGCAGAGCAATCTACCACCACCAGACCTAAGCACAATACCTCTCATAAGTGGAAATGATAGAGACACACCACCAGCTTCTAGGTAAGCAAAGTGGATAAGGTAAGGAATGCACAATTGCACGCTTTTACTGCATAAAAGACCTTTACTGTAACATGCTAAAGTGCACTACCTGTCGATTTACCCAGAAGAGCTGCAATCTCCATCATTTTACTTGTCGATTCAGCACCCAGGTAGGCACGGCTTTCGCCTTTCATTACCAGACCAACAAAAAGAAATAAGCAAGAAAAGAAATGCAATATGCCAGAAAAAATGGGGATCAGACTGTTGGATAGATGAACTAACCCAAACCCGGAAGGTCTGAAAGGGAGAAACCGGAGTCGGACTTGAGCCGGCAGACCTCAGACAATAATTCATCACTAAGTTCTCCTGTTGACACATTCGATGGAACAACTAACGATCTGCTATCAGCGATACCCACAACTCTCAAGTGAATCCCCTGCGATCCAAAACCAAATACAAACACCCCCCCACCATACCAGGGTTCATCATTCCTTCATTCATTATGACCAGATAGTGAAAACGAGGAAATGGGCATTTTGAGATCAAATCATTCACAGGGCAACAGTAGAGGAAACCGGGTTTGGTTTCGCAAATTAGGGCGGGAACTTCAACTGGAACACCAACCTGTTTGGCATGAAGGGATCGGCAGGAGGCAATGTGGCGGAGGAGCTGGCGGCCGACTCCTCCACATCCCATCAACAGCAAAGGAATCGCCTTCATCGTAGTTCTTACTGAGTGTCAGACGATCACTCTACTCAGTTTGCCGCTTCTCACTCTTTTTATCCTTGTGTTGTCGCGAGATTATAATTTATACTGGTTTTCAGTTTGGGTTCAATTCAACACCGTGATTAACGATTAGAGTGGTAATTTACCGAAGTTTTCACATAGTTTTTGACCAATAACGAAGTGGTAACAAAATTTCAAAACCATAAAAAGATTATGTTTGTACCACAAGATAACAAAATTTACTATGATAAATATTACCGTATGATCATTGTTAACAACTACAATAATCTACAAAGAAGATGTTGGTATATTGTGGTGGCCGACCTTCAATGCAATTATCCTCTTCTAAGTCGTTAAAATTGAGATATGACAAGTAACTTTTCAATAAACTTGATTCAATTCAGTGATAAAGTATTGTCTGTGCATCACAGTTTCGGTTTATATAGTATTCTTAAAATAATTTTGCAAGTGGCCCCCTAATACAAGCAAGGGTTATTAGATTTAGAGGTTTGGGTTATTACCCTAAAACACCTAAATTTTTTATTGTTTGTCTCACAATGCATTTATCTTGCATGGTCAAAATAAAATAAAAAGAATTTAGTACTAAAAGGGAAATTAGTTCTCTTTCTTAGTAGTAAAAGGAAATTTAAATAAAGGCTATTGGGCTATGGTTCCTAAGTCGGGTCGATTCACAGGCCAGCCCAATCAGCCCATCGCCGCCGCCCTCCGGCGACCTGCGGCGGGGTGGGTTGTTCGTAAATTTCTCTGAAAGTTTCATTTCCCATTCCCACTTCTTAAATTTCCGTTTCTAATTAACAGGTAAAAAGGATTTAGGGTTTTCACTTTTCAGTTTCGTTCTGTTTTCACTCCCCAAATCTTTTCTTTCTTCCACCAGAAATCAAATAAAAATATTGATCAAAGAACGAACTTTCATCACACGCTCGTTGGCGTCAGGCACTCTTCTCTCTCACTTGGCTTCCCATTTAACCATTTTGCCCGAAAAGGCTTCCCCGATTCCTTTCACGTAATCCCCCATTATTCTGGGATGCTGCGCTGCTCAGTCTCGTGCGATTCTCATTCAAGTTCCTTCCTCCCCAGATACGAGGTTCCATCTTTGTCTCTTTTTTCCATTTTGGGTATATTCATTATTATGCATATATCGTTCATGGTCGTTGGGGAGATCACATAAGTTGAAAAGCTACGAGCTTTCTGCTCAGCTACCCTGAAACTGTTACGAGTTGTAGTTCACTGGGTCAGTCTTTGTTGGTATCTTCCAATTTCTATTGAGAAGCTGAATTTCCTTCATTTGGTTGGTTCATCTCTGGCGCATTGATGTTTGTGGTGAAGTTTGTCTGAAATGGCTGATAATCTGGGTTAGTTAGTTAGTATGTGTATGAAGTCTTTTTTCTTTTTGGTTTGTGCTTCACTTGTAGGGTGTGTGTATAGGTCTAGTGTGGTTAATATGAACAGCTTTATTAGTTAGGTTAAATGCGAGCTGGTAGGAAATAGTTAGCAATTCTGTTTTACGGGCTCCTGCTAGTTAGTTTTTCTATGAATTGATAGGAGGAGATTTTATTGAAAGGGGACTCCAAACATTTAGGTTACAGACTGTTACAGTTTGAATCACATGCGAGGTTTTCAGGCTTAGTTTCATGTTATTTTAACGCTTGTTGTTGTATAACTATTATATGCTGATGGAATTGCTTGCAGATTTGAATAAGATTGTTGCTTTGATTGGGAAAGCAACATGCTTTTGATGGCTACGTAGTTTCTCCCCTAGAGTCTTACGTCTGCTTAGTTCATTGGTATGGACGTTCATGTGATCGAAGAAGGAATGGGTCAGCGAACGATGGCCAGCGATGGAGATGCCGAAAGCAATGACTGTGCAGAAGCAAACAACAACATGGTGCAACGTGACAATGGAACTGCTGCTGAGCCGCACATAGGTATGGAGTTCCCTACTGATGAAGCTGCCAAAACTTTCTATGAAGAGTACACTAGGCGTCTAGGGTTCAACTCCAAGGATGGTCAGTTGGTTCGTTCCGAAACTGATGGGACAATTGTTGCTCGGGAATTTGTGTGTGGTAAAGAAGGACCGAAGCGACGGTCTACTGATACTTGTGATGCAATGTTTAGGATAGCACTAAAGAGTGAGGATAAGTGGGTGGTCACAAAGTTCGTGAAAGTTCATACTCATTCCTCTGATAACGGTCGCACCAGGCTTCAGTCGACGAATAGCGGTCCCAGCAAACACCAGTCATCTAATAATGGTGCCACCAAACTTCAGTACCTCAGGCCGAAAAGGCATTTTGCTGGTGCTGCAAAACCCGTCTCGACTGAAACCAACCACCGGGTGGTGGGCAAGGTTCCCAGTGGTGTAATGTATGTTTCCATGGATGGAAACCGACCCCCACAAGAGAATCGTGGGATTAGGAACTCTGTTGGTGAACCAAATCGAGTTACGAAGATCCATCCAGTAGCAATAAATTCTACCATTCGGCCAAATATGCACAAGAGGACACTAGGAAGGGATGCACATAATCTTTTGGAGTATTTCAAGAAGATGCAGGCTGAGAACCCTGGTTTCTTTTATGCAATACAGCTCGATGACGATAACCGTGTGTCGAATGTTTTCTGGGCTGATGCTAGGTCAAGGGTAGCTTATAGTCATTTTGGGGATGCCATCACGTTTGACACAAACTATAGAGTCCACCAATATAGGGTACCATTTGCTCCATTTACAGGGGTGAACCATCATGGACAGATGATTTTGTTTGGTTGTGCTATACTACTGGATGAGTCTGAAGCTTCTTTTCTTTGGCTTTTCAAGACATTTCTTACGGCGATGAACGATCGGCATCCTGCATCAATTATCACTGATCTTGATAAGGCCATACAAGTTGCAGTCTCACAAGTCTTTCCTGAAACAAGACATTGTTTGAATAAGTGGAATGTCTTAAGGGCAGGGCAGGAAAAGTTGGCTCATATATGCCTTGCACACCCCAGTTTCCAGGTGGAGTTGTACAATTGTATCAACTTGACTGAAACTATTGAGGAATTTGAATTCTCGTGGAGTTCATTAGTTGATAAATATGATTTGAAGGGGCAAGAATGGCTCCAGTCTTTGTATGACTCTCGTGCTCAATGGGTACCAGTATACTTCCGAGATTCTTTCTTCGCTGTAATATCTCCAAATCATGCATTTGATGCTTCTTTTTTTGATGGTTACGTTAACCAACAAACCACTTTACCAATGTTCTTTAGGCAGTATGAAAGAGCTTTAGAGGTTTCGTTTCAAAGGGAGCTAGAAGCTGATTTCGACACGATTTGTACAACACCGGTCCTAAGGACACCTTCCCCTATGGAGAAACAGGCAGCAGATCTATATACAAAGAAAGTATTTACAAAGTTTCAGGAAGAGCTGGTTGAAACTTTTGTATATACTGCTAACAGAATCGAGGGTGATGCAACTGTCAGCACATTCAGGGTTGCTAAGTTTGAAGATGATGACAAGGAATATACTGTTACATTGAACTATGGAGATATGATAGCCAACTGCAGCTGCCAAATGTTTGAGTATTCAGGCGTACTGTGCAGACATGTTTTGACAGTGTTCACTGTGACAAATGTTCTTACTTTGCCACCTCATTATATCTTGGGGCGATGGACAGTAAAGGCCAAAGCTGGTCATGGGATTGCTGGACCTAGTACTGAGTCATCATCCAAACCAGAAATTCTTACATCTCGATACAACAATCTCTGTCGAGAAGCTATCAAATATGCTGAGGAGGGGGCAGTAGCTTCAGAGACTTATACTGCAGCATTGGCTGCCCTTAGAGAGGGTATAAAGAAGGTTGCAGCTGCCAAGAGAAATGTTGCCAAAGTTTCACCAACAAACTCACAAGTTAGCGGGACTGCTGCTCAGGATGGCAAAAAGGCATCTGCACCAGCATCAGATGCAGCCTCTCTGTTGTGGCCTGATCAAGATGAAGTTATTCGTAATTTTAATCTAAATGATAATGGTGCGTCAACTCAGTCTGTTGCTGACCTAAATCTTCCCAGAATGTTCCCTGTATCCGTGCAGAGAGATGATGGTCCTCCTGGCAACCTGGTAATCCTGAATAATGTTTTCTCTGTGAAGTTTATGCATGGTTTTTCTTAGTTAAGTGAGTGGTTTTGTTTCATAAAACTGATGATATACTTCTCGCTGTTACTTACCCGCTGGTTTTGTTCGGCAGGTAGTTCTCCCTTGTCTTAAATCAATGACCTGGGTGATGGAAAACAAGAATTCTACAACTGGAAACCGAGGCGGCGTTATCAACCTAAGGGTTTGTTTCCGGTCTCTATTCTATACTGGTTGCCTGATTTTGGGAGGGATTTATTTGATGTGTATTACCGTTGCAAATGCTTGCAGTTGCAAGATTACAGCAAGACTCCGTCATCAGAGTTTGAGGTTAAGTTTAATGTTTCAAGAGTCTCATTAGAGCCTATGCTGAAGTCAATGGCATATATCAGTGACCAGCTTGCCGCACCACCTAACACTTTCGCTGTGATCAACTTGAAGGTATGAACCCTCTACATTCCAAGTCTTTCTCCTACAAGTGGGTGGAAGAAAAGGGAGAAAAGTCTGAGAGTAGTTGGTTATTGTTTCTCCAAACAACCTTCAATTCTCTGGCCACTGATAGTCGTTTTCCCCCATTTTCTCCCACACTGGTTCAAGAAATATGGTTATGGAAAGAGGTCTGCTTAAGAATTTTGCTTCCACCATGGTGTCTGCCTATCTTCCAAAAAGCTATTTGGGTGCTGTTACCTATTTATAGAGAAAGAGAGAGCGAAGTAGCATACTTATAACCATATAGTTGGAGCGGTTTGAATCAACTCTTTATATGCATTCCATTGACAACAACCATCCTCCCTTTACCGGTATAGGATCAAGTCATCTAGGTCAAGAACTAGAAAATCTCTACTTTCAGATGCCTTTAATGTTATGACTTTTCCCCCTTTTTTGGCAATTCAAGCATGTTGGTGTATATGTTCCAGCTCCCTGTCCTTAATTTTGCTCTTGGTTTTTTATGGTTTCAGCTTAATGATACTGAAACTACTTCTCAAGAGTCGGAGGTTAAATTCCGGATCTCCCGAGATACCCTTGGTGCCATGTTAAGATCGATGGCCTACATACATGAGCAGCTTGCAAACACTGTAAGTTTGGTCTCACTATGCATAGCCGGTTTTTAATACTTCGCTAAGTGTGTGTGACCGTGGAACTTTTTTTTTACTTGTTCCATTTCTACCTGTGGTCGACAACTATCTGCCTCCCGGAGTCCTGGTGCCAATCCTGAACTTGCATGATTTCTTCTCGTAACCGTGCCAGATTTCTGTTATATTTCTACGTGAAAAACAACCTGTTGGAGTAGCTTTAGTAAAATGCACGGCCAAAGAATGAACATTATCGAACTTTAGCAACTTGCCTATCGTGTTGTACTCTTACTACCATCATTTGATGGAACCGCGGATTTATTAGGCCAAGTTCGAACGACTTATGAACCACATAACTAATTAACATCTTCTCTTGAATTCAGGTGGAGCCATCGGTGGAACCTCAACAAAAGAAGCAACGGAAGTGAAAGAAGATTAGTCGTTTACTCTACGAGGTGTGTGTAACCAATCAGACCACGTTTTGTACATGTTGAGTGATTTAGGGAACATCCATTCCTCCCAATTTTTTCCATATTTCTCAGATTTCATCCCTGGTAGGACTTCTGATATTTGTTGTTCCCCAGACTCCCTTTGTAGGCAACTTTGTGTAACTGTGTAAGCTCTAGCGAGCTTGGCGTGTAAAATATGTTGTACATGTGGGTGAGAGCCAATTCGAAATCAAGCAACTCTTCTTCATTGCACTCTCATCTAGTAACAGAATGAATAATAGCATGTCAGAGCAGATCTTCATTTCTTTGCTGAAAGGATTTCAGTTTCTACCATTCGGATGAGCATTTTGTATCAAGTCCAGCAATTGTCAATATGCTTTAAGCGAGAACCATTTAACAAATTTCTGTCCCAGTTTTCACAAAATCACATTACGTTACGTCAACCTTCAATTGGTTTCGTCATGGCTCTAGATTACAGACAAACACAAATGAAAGCAAGAAACTCAAGCATATTGAGTTGGACGAGAGACAAAAATCCTGCACTATGTCACTTCCAGTCGCTTTCCCGTACATCCTACAGTAAATAAGACCGCCACGGCTAACATTAGCCCAGCGACCATCCATCTGACACAAAAGAAGGTCCTCGATAGCTAATAAAACTCCCGAGGGTAGGCTACTGGAAGTCTATTTTCGCAGTATGTTGCTCGAGTAAAGCTAATGTCTCGGCAACCAGAAAAAGAAAGGTCCTTGCTGAGAGATCTCTCTGCACCCGATACGCAAGCCTCTACAAACTCCTGTAGTCTATCACAGTAACTTCATCTTCTGGTGCATCTAGGTCTTGGTAACTACACAAGAGAGAGAAAAAAAAAAATATTCAGATGACATGAGGATGGCAATAAGCCATAACCAAGTAATAGCCAGTCATTTGTAAGAAATGTTGGGAAAGACGAGAGAAATAAAGCCACAAGATTAGCTACTATGGGACTTCAGCTTCATCCAGAAAAAAGGTGCAAGAAGTTTGATACCTGCGAATACGCCTTGGATCCTGCCGAAAGGCTGAAGATAGAAGTATAGGAGCTTGCCCCCCTAATTGAGGCCCAGGTCTTGCATTCCTACCGCCACCACCACCTTCAAATGGAGGAGGACCACCTTGTTCTCTGAACATTCGCATGGCAACCTCAGGAGGTGCAGGTACAAAAGGACCCAGAGGACTGCATATACAATTTTTCAGTAAATATCAGATGACTACCATAGCGAAGCGCAAGAGATAATCAATCTGATTAGTCTTGAGTGTCTCGACAGCTTACCCAGCACCAGGAACAGGCATCAAGACGGGTGGTGGGGGGATGTCGGAGGGGAATGGATGAATCCCTCCACCTTGTGCACCAAAACTATCATACATCTGTTCATCGCCATTCCCACCATCAGGACCATCGTTGTTATTGGACTGGAACTCCCCTGATTGTGGGTTTTCAGGTCGATCATATCTATCACCACCATTTGCTTGATTGTCAAGTTCTCTCCTGTTCCCACGGTCGTCCTTCAATCGGCTTTGAATACCTAACCTCTTCCGCATTGGTCGGTCTCTCTGCAATAAAATTGAATATTACTAGGACGCACTAAATAGGAATGATCAGCAGTATAAACATCATCAGACTGAAAATGGTAATACTACATTGCAACAAATACACTTCTACATATAAGAGGTGGCTCTGCAACATCGAAATTTGTTCAAAGTCCCCACTATTGAGTAGGAGGCCCAGTTTCTAGTTCGTCCACATTTTGGAAACTAGACAGAATGTAAGGGGTGATAGGTAAACGTTCAGGATCTTGGAACTTTATCAAATGAGGATATCAATTATGTAGCCTAAACTAGAAGGGAGACAAGAAACTGCTTCTAAATTGCTAGGTCAAGAGCCCAGATTTGCAGCCTCAGGGGAACCAAATGGAAGTACTAAATACTTTACCAAGGAGGAACACTTGCTTATAACAAGCAGGAAAAGGAGGTATCAAATACTGACTATGCTATTTTAAAAGGAAGGATATACTGACTTCTCTCGAGCATTTTCGTACAACGAAGTGTGTACAATCTTGCCGCATGATAAAACGAGGATATCCATAGTGCAACGGAAACTAGAAGTGACAAAGAACGATTACTAAATTGCTAAGCCAAGAGCCCAAACGTGCTGTCTACTAGGTAGCCAAATGGAAGTATGATATCATTTTCAAAAGGATGTATACTTGCTTTTAAGAAGCAGGAAGGAGGTATGGCATGAGCAATAAGTCTCAGAACCAAACATGTAGACCTATAAAAGCCACTTAGTAGAACTGATTTCATGCGGGATTACCAGTTGAGGCCGTTGCATAACAGGAGTGCCACCGGGTGCATTTGGATCACTGTATACAGAAACCAAATAATCATCAAGAGAATACAAAACTAAAACCAGAGAGAAAAATAATACAAACATGAAGGTGCTTACTTCATGTAGTTTTCGAAATAAAGCTCCTCCCTAACTTTGGATGTCAGCTCTAAGATAACTTCCGTATGCTTAAGTTTCAGATGCTTGTGCACAAATTCAGCAGCGTGAAATAGTTTTGTGCAACCCTTTGCTCCGCAACCATATTTCCATCCATACTTCTCATCCCTGATTTTCCTCACATAAGGATCCAAATTTTCAACAGCTGCAGCATCGATCTTCTCCTTCGCTGTCATTGTTTCCAGCGGATCCTGTCCCCTGAGCCTTTCTTGCCAACGGGAATCAAGCTTCTTCTCCCACTCAGGTCCTCCACTTTCAGAATCAGAAGTTTTTCCCTCTGCCCTAATGTGCCTTAGACCTTTAGGTTCACTTGTTTCAAGCATCCCATAGTAGTCCACACCATGAATCCGCCAAAGATAAGTCAGAAGAGTGTCCAATAGTTCAGTCCCCTCTAATCCCTTAACAGAGGCCAACCCTCGTATAATGATAACAGGGCCAGTGGAGCCGCCATGAGATTTCTCTCGGTTTGTTTTATCACTCTCAGAACCAGCTAAAACATTCTCAGCAACTCCCTTTTCAGAATCAAGCTTGCGAACAAGAGCTTGTGCTTGTTCAACATCAACCTGAATTCTTCTGGGATCCGAACTAATTGAGTGGGCCTTCGGAGCAGCTGAAAGTACATCAGATTCTTTTCCAGGTGCCCTTCCATTTCGCTTTCTTTTGCCCCCAATATCTCCTTCGTCATCAGAATTTGGGTTGCTGGTGGTTTGTCCAGTCTTACTTGGGGGCGAAGCACTTACACCAGGACCTCTGTCATATTAAAATCAAAATTCAGACTTCACATACGACCACATATATCTACACCTAGCTATAGCAAACATACAGAATATGCAAGTACATGTCCCAGACAGTCTATCTTACATGTCCAATGTCCCACTTTGCAGATCAAGCAAAAATTCCTTGGCAGCTTTGCGGACAAGTTCATTCCTCCTGCAACAATCACGGATATAAAAACAAAAATAAAAACCAACAGAGGAACAACAAATCCAAATCACATCTTAACTACAACAAGAAATCAGACAAATAGGGTACTGAATTGAGACAATGTAATCTTATAAGCTACAATCATGTGTTCATCATAGTTGGGCATCCTAACTTCCGCCTTCACTAAAACCATACAAACGTAATGCCCGTAGGGGACAAACCGAAATAAGAAACAACTCATCCTTGCATACATGTCATTAGTAAATACCTTTCAATGACTGTCACAAGATTCGTGGGATGGTATTTATCTTTTAACCTGCACCAATAAAGCATCAATGAGAACAAAACTAGTACAAATTCATCTGAGAATTACTCAAGTGAAGACTTACCATTCCTCATCTTTGTGCGCATCAAAAAATACTCTTTTCTGAGTTGATATGTACTCTGACTTGTATTCTTGATATCTGAGCAATCAAACATTCCTGCTACTTCAGAATTTCGGAACAAAGAATCAAACTCATGAGTAACCAGAAATGTGATCTCTGTATACCTGCGTTCAGCTTCAGCAGGAAGTATGTCATCTTCAAGCTCCTGAATGAATTGTTTGTATGACATCAAACCTTCTCTGGAGAGGAAAGGAATTGCCACGTTAAATACCGACTGAAAAAACATAACCAGAATAGTATGAAGACACTGCGTCATCAAACATATGCAGGTCTTTTTTTATGAATAATAAAAGCAGGTCCCTCAACAACAGCATCATAGCACACAGTGGAAAAATGCATTTTTTTATGAATAATAAAGCAGGCCCCTAAACAACAGTATCATAGCACATAGTGGATAAAAGCATCCAGGAAGCATCTGTTGAGTTGAACCATATTTACAATCAATCAGAATGAGCTTCCAGAAGTATGAAGTAAACAGCATCACAAAGAAAACAAACATTACAAGCTAATACAAGAGCCCATTCCACTACAACTAAAACTAACCTTTGAGTAGACCCAGCATTGGAAGCATCACCGAAACCACCCCGACCTGCATCCCAGTCTGCATAATAAACCGTACGTCAAGTGTTAAATAACAACATGTGAAGACACTAGAATATACTAGTCATAGTTGACTTGAAGCATGGATCCAAACTGCAATCCACTGGACTTCAGAATATTAAACAAAGAACATTATTTCCCCGCCAAAGACACTAGATATCTTGGCCCTCAAACATCAACATTATAAGGTCCAACCATGATTTCATCAGAAATCACAAATGCATTACAAATTTACAGGCAGAAGGATATGTATATATGAGGTACCACATTCATATTATATGACCAAAGAGAACATCGATACGGGATAACCAAATGAATATACTTGGAACCCACTAATTATGAAGTGAAGACCTAGTAAACATAAATGAAAACAATTTAGTCAACCATTATATTCTCTCCAAGTCCGTTCCACCGGCACACCACAAGACCTCTCATGAACACTTTCATCCCATTCCCGGTTCTCACCCACATAGCAATAACCTCCTTCAAGAAGTTTAAGCTGAGAAAATGAGATATCACAGGGAATAGAGTCGCTTTCACCTACACCATCGGCAGCTAAGTTTTTACAGCACTCAAAGGGAAAAGAATGCGCTAGAACCTTCTACAAAAGAAATAGCAGCTGAAAGCATGCTTCAGAGGAGTCTGAATTCACATTGCCCTGAGAGAAGCACATAAGCAGCCTGCTTGATGAGTTCCAGGGGCAATGAGCCTACTTTTATCACTTGCGAAGTTATTGCACCAGAAGGACCACGCTCTAAAGACAAATGCCAATGCAACTTTTAAGATTTGGGAAGACAAGTAAATCCTCCTGGACTTTGTAACTCGTCCACATAATATGAAAGAAAAACCACTAAAAGAGTATTCTATTAGAATTCAGGATTATAACAAAACAGTTGGAGCTGGATTATGAGACATTTCAGATTTGGTTTTCCAAAAGTAACTAACTACCTTGATATCCACCACGACCACCCATGTACCGACCATGAGGCCGCTCATCACCGTACCCAGGCCTTCCACCCATCTCTCGGTCATATCCACCACCAAATTCATAACCAGGCCTGCAGGGGAATGAACAAGTATGCCTTTATCTAGGTTGAAACACAAATTGTCGAAATACATTGCACAGTTGTTAACAGATTACTAAAAAGCTATAGCCTACAGCATGCCAAGGCTTGCCCCAAGTATCCATAGATAGAGAAGCATTTGTTACACAAGGGAGTTAGCTTCTGTGCTGGAATTTTCATTCCATTACAAGACAAAAGAAGGAATGCATAGATACAGGCTACATCCAGATGGCCTACAAGAACAAGTGAAGACTGAACTCTAAGAGCAACCATATTGTAGAAACGGTATATCTACTTGCCATCAGCTCAATGTCACAGTTCTAATCGCACTCTCTACCAGTGACACAGTTTCGAACAAACCGGATATCTATGTGTTATCAGCTCGAATTCTCAGCAAGTTGGATGAATTCCTCGATGGAAAACCATATCACCATCAATGGATCACGGACTAATTACACTCACCTTCCGCCTCTCCTCCCGTTGTAACCGCCATCCTCCCTTCTCGTCCTCTTGTACGGCGGAGACCTACGCGGCGGCGGGGAATGCCTCCTATCCCGATACGGAACCGGCGGGGGGCTCAAACTGTTCCTCCTCTTGTAATCTCTCTCCCTGTCCCTAGGCGGAGGCGGAGGTGACCGATTCCGGTCGTAATAATCGCCGCCTCCTCCTCGTCGATTGGGAGGGCGGTCGATGTCCCTGTCGTCCCGGCGCTCGCGGGAGTCGCTGTCACGACGACGCGGAGGCATATGAGGAGGAGGGGGCGGGGGCGACGATTGGGGATCCTCGTCGCCTGACTTCTCCTTGCCGCCGTCCCGGCGGTCGACGGAATCGACGGGCATGTTAATGACTTCGGCCATGACTGGGCTTCCGGCCGATTCCAAAGATTTCCTGAAACCCTAAATTGGGGGAAGCAAGGAAGACGAAAGGGGAGAAAATGTGAATTGTAGCGTTGTTTGTGTCGGTCCTTTTTTTGTTCCCGTTTCAGGCTAATTTACAACCTCGGTCGGGTCTTGGGCACAAAATTACCGAAACCATCACCAAAACTTTGGTAATGGTCTACTTCGATTCGATACAGATTTTTTTTATTTTATAAGAGATTCGATACAAAATTTAGTACAAGAGTTGGGAGTGAATTAGCTGTGAAGAAGGAAAAATGAGAACTAGAGTTGGATATGAAATGTATTATGTTGGGTCGACTTCTATGGTTACGGATGTTTAAAGTAAATTTATGTTAGGTTCGATATAATATTTCGACGGTATAATATCAGTGAAATCTTGTCACATTTTTGTGCAGTGTAGGTTTACATATATCTAGCATTTTTATGCTCCGTGTATCAAAGAGGTTTAATTGTTACCTACTCCTCTAAACTCTCTTACATTCAAGAAGATTCACATCATCGTGTATTTTTTTTTTTTTTTTTTACAAACGTGTCACTCCAAAGAGATGTTACGACCCATACATTCAACCATATAACGCATCTCTTTGCCAACCAAAATTCCCTTCATTGACTGACATCTCATCCTTGTCCATTGGTGCCAGGAGCCCATGACAACGATCTAGCTCAAATCTTATATCAACATCATACACTTCTCCTAATCGCGTTCTTTTTGTTTTAGCATCATTCACAAATGCCAAACTCCTATCAATACAAAATATATGCTATTGGCATTCACCATATTTTGTTATTAAACATCATCTCACAATATCTATATTATCTCTCGGATTTCAGCCACAATATGACTACTTATTTCGCTTGATTATGTAATGATATATTTCACTATGAATATATTTTACAACGATTTTAATTCAAGTACTTCCTTCGATTTGATACACCTGGTTTATAATAAAACTTTCACCTTCATCGGAATTTTAATTGGAGGACTCAAACTGGTAGATTAGAAGGATTTGAGCACCGAAGCGTCAATTTGTCGAGGATCTATTGTCGTTTTCGAGACCAGGCTTGAAAATAAGTTACAAATGAAAAAGGGAAACGTGAAAATCGAAAAAACGAGGAAAGCGAAGATCGGGATCAGCACGCTCAGTCCTATTTCTGCTCGCCGGAACTCTTCCTATCGCCGCCACTACTGCCGGTCATTCTTCACCACGTACTGAGAGAAAGAAAAGAGGAAGGAAGGGAGGAGAGCTAGATGACGGCCTAAGAACAAGAATACAAGAGAGAAGCAGCTGGGCGCGGAGATATAAGAGGAAGGGAGAAAGAGAGAGAGAGAGACAGCCGCGCCGGAGAGAGGTGTTCCAGGCAACAGGTGCTGCTCTTCCAGCTATAAATCCCTCATCCTTAGGTAATGTTTCAATTCCAGCCTTCAATGAGCTCTCCCTCCCACTTGAACTGAATGGTAGTATATGAGATCGGAATAGTTAGGATCAGAATGCGCTGTCTGCTGGTTCCGTGTGGATCTTTCCTGCGGAATTGAGATATCTATGCGAGATTTATCGCCACTTCCTTGATGAATTTACGCTCTATTCTTATGCGGTGATGCTTGATTGTTGGAGAACTTGTAGCAGGTTGTTGATTCTGTTGCTAGCTTGGTTATACACTGAATGGTATCCCAGCTCAATGTGAATGTGACCGACATTGATGGTCTTTTCATGGTTTCAGTTGTACTCTGTGGTGGCTGTCTGGTTGAAAAGCCTGGTCTTGTTGTTTCTACAGGACACTGCTGAGGAAAATCTGACTTGATGATGGTTTGGTGATAGATATACCCCTGGAGAAAATGAATGGCCAAAGGGGTTATGTACCACCGAACTATATTCCACTGGGACAATCAGATTCTGAACCAGAGCACGTTTCACCAGCCAAGGAAGAAAGTCGTGCTCCTCGTTCTCAATTCGTGGGTGGTGAACCGGCACAGTGGTCATCTGGAATCTGTGCCTGCTGTGATGATACGCCGAGCTGTATGCCACTTTCTTTCGTGGGGTGCAAATGTTATCTTGTTCTCTTTTTGGTCTTAATCACTAGCTTCAATTAGACGTGTAAGGAAAGTAATGGGATGGAGATGGAAGCTCCAGGATCCTGAATAACCACTTGTTTTTATTGTCTTAATTAATCAAACATAGGAAAGTTATTGAAGCTTGCTAGTTGGTTTTGCAATTGTTGGTATGATGAAGACCCGAGAATATATGCTGCAAATACTCTTGGTTACTGTTTATCACTACACTTTGAAATTGTCAGATTATGTGGTCTGGTCCAAAATATCAGCATCTATTGTGTGCAACTTGTCTGCAAGTGCAGGCACGGTATATTGCTTTGCTCTTGGAAAAAGTACATGACATTCTAAACTCACTTTTGACTCACAAAAACCGAAACTTATTTCAGTTGAGTTTGGGGTATAGGAAGTGATTTGCTTTTATGTATATTTCTTGTTTTGACATGGTCGTAGTTTCTCTCTCTATCTATCTGTGGTCTCTGATGTAAATGTTTCCCATTTTTGCATAGGACCAGCAACTGTTGAGGTAAGTGTGATAATTTGCCAAATATGCCTGTTCCATGTATATGATGCTGACTTGTCGAGGCATTGCTAAAGAGAACTGGAATGTTGTCTTGTGTAGCCAAAAACTTCTGTATTTAATCACTTGCTAGTAGCTTGTTCTTTTAATTCATGGTGACCATAAGCAACATCTGTTTTTGTATGTGTCTTGTTAGCATATTTAGTATTGTATACCTCTGAAACAATATATTCATCCTTTCTTTACATTTGTTACCAGGTTTGATTGGCTGTTTATGCCCGTGCTACTTGTTTGCCAAGAACGCAGAGTTCTTGGGATCCGGAACACTGGTCGGATCATGTGTGACCCACTTCATTCTCTGGTCGCTCGTCAACACCATTTGTTGCTGCATGACAGACGGCATCTTATTGGGAATCCCTGGATGTTTCGTTGCTTGTTACACTTGTTCCTATCGCAGAACTCTCCGTGAGAAGTACAAACTCGAGGTCTGGGTTTCCGTTCATTGACCTCCAATCTTTGTGCTCAACAAAACCCGAGGGAGCCATCTTCAACCGTTATTTAAACATAGTTTCTCTCTTTTTTCGCAGGAAGCCCCCTGCAATGATTTCATCACCCACTTCTTCTGCCATTTGTGTGCTAACTGCCAAGAGTACCGAGAGATTCGAGAAAGGTCCGGCAACTCTAACCCACATGACCTCGGTGGAGCTGCAGTAGCTGTCTCTGCTCCACCTGCGCAGGTAATGGAGGCAGGTCTGACGGAGTAGCTTTGGTTGTTGTTGCTGTTATAGTTATTGTATAGAGAAGCTCCCGTGCTGTGCAGGTGACTACTTCCTTTTGCTCTCATGTATCACAAAGAAAAACTCTTGTTGTTGTTGTATGTTTGTCTCCTGGAAAAAAGGTCTTATTTGAATGAATGTTGCCATATAGTAGTAGTCTCTCGCTCGCTCCGGTGGTTAGCTCTTGTGACTTGGAGGTTTGGCTAGTTAATTTAATGGAGCTTTAATAGTTAATCTACTGCGAAATGAAGACGCTATCCTCAGTGCAAAGGATGGTCTGCAAATGGGAAGAAGATATACGAAGAGCATGCTGTTGGAATTGGACAATGGCTGTGGTGTGTACTGACTACTGAGCCAGGTTATAGTTGTCTTTGTACTGTATATTTTAGAAGAGCACAGGCGACTTGAGATTCTGTGGATGCATGAAATTTGAGATATTTGGTCTATTTCTCAGTGGGATGGCATCTTTGTTTGAAGTAGAGATTGCCATTTTCTCCGCTTCCATCCTTCTCGTGTTGACATTTTTTTCCCTCGCAATGAAGGTGAATTCTTTACATAGATGCTGAATTCAATCTCATATGAAACCAACATTCCAAATCAATGGTTGTTGATACACTACTAAGGTAGGTAACATTGTCTTATTAGGTCACACATTGTGGCTCAAAATTATATTAGACGAGACTTCATGAAGATTAGTTGAGTTCAAACTATGTCCTCATTGAAGTGTGACCCTGTATCATTGACATAAATCGATGCATTGTGACTTGAGATTGTTAATGAGTCTAGTTTTGTCTTGTTCAGATTGAGTTCGTTTATAAATGAGTTGAATCGAGTAGAGTTAGAATCGCCTCATTACACTTGCTCGTCAATAAGATCATGAGATCAGCTCGAGCTCAAGTCAGTTATTATATATAGTTGAACCCTCAAACTAAGCTATAATTTATGAATTAAATACACTAATATTTGTATGTCATTTGTAATACATGTGATTACTAATTCCATGTTTATATACTCTATTGGTATCGTATTATTTAGTTCATAACTTCATATAATGTGGGGTCGTTTGGATGGATTCGGAACGAGTCAATTAAAATGAGCCAATTTGAATTACATGCCCCGCCCCTAACAATTGAAATTGACTCAAAACGGATAAATTTGAAATTATCCAGGTAAGTTGATTTATCCAAATCTTCTTCTGGAAAACGAGTCAATTTGGTCCAATTGTCTCGTTAAATCCATTACAATTCATAATCTAAAATACCCCGTAATTTCATAGCAATTAGTATTTAAGCAATTTATGATACGTAATGTCATAATCTCTATTTGGATTTATAACCGAAACATATTTGCTCACATTCTCAAAGTCTTAAATATCATATAAGGTGAGATATACAATTTAACAAACCTATAAATTATCAAGAAACTAACTCATAAGATATTTATAAGTTTGTTCATAAGACTGAACCATTCGAACCTAAAGAAGATACCGAAGGTAAGGGGTCGGGGAATTTTTCGCCCATTCATAGATCAGAAAATCCTGGGGATATTTTCATTCTTTGTCCATTCTTTCCAGTATTTTCTATACCACAGAAATTAGGAATAGGGAGTCTCAATTCATTCTATTTCATCAGATCCGGGATGTGATATGGTTTTGAAGGATGAACTGGATATGGACAATTCCAATAAGATTTCTTTCTTGAACAAAAACCCATTTTTTAATTTCTTTCATCTATTCCATGATGTTCAATCATTTTGTATCCCTAAAATCACTTAGGGGTCGTTTGGATTGAGTATTTGGGGGTGTTATTTGAGGTCAAATAACACAAAATCTGTTATTTAACCCCAAATAACATGTTTGACTGACAAAAAGTGGGATGTGTTATTTGGATGTAGTGTTTTGCCAAATAACAGGTTTGAGACCAAATAACACAAAAAGTGTTGTTTGCCAAATACTTGGGAGGGGGCAGGTATTTCCCAATAACAAGTTTGAGACCAAATATCACATACCAAATAACAAGTTTTATATTATGTGGTATTTGTGTGGTAATTGGCCCCAAACAACAAGTTTATCAAATACTACCCCTTACAGTTTGACGTCTACTCGTCTAGTATTCGTTGTCTCGGGTGCGACATGCTGATACGGTGTTTAAAACATTGGAAAATACCAATAAACCAAAGAAAAATTTACATTAATCAAACTCGTCACTATAAATATTAGTTGTGCTTGTTCAGTTCCCAATTCTACCGGCGAAAAGCTTCGCATTTCTTACCGAACTCTCCTTCCTTTCTTCCGCCAAACCTAACAGAAAGACTCCCCTCCTTCCGCTGGAAACGTAATCGAGGTGCGTGACTGTAATGTAGCAGATTGCCGCAGAGATCATTTCCCCGTCGCAGTTCTTGTTCTTTCTGCTGCTGCTTCGCGATTCATCTGGAGGAAGAAGAGCTCGGACGATTATCACATATCGAAGAAGAAATTCTCCAGCCAGAGAGTTGTGCTTGTCCTCGCAGATGGATAGCTTCACCGCCGAAGATCTATCCACGATCGGGGGAATCGCCACCGTCTCGCTTCTTCACTCCTTTATCCCCACCCACTGGCTGCCTTTCTCCATCGTCGGCCGCGCTCAGAAATGGACTCTCTCCAGAACCCTCCTCGTCAGTATGTCCTCTCCCTCACTCTCTCTCTCTCCCGCAATCTCTTTGGTTTCACTCAGTCGGCTGCATCGTATTGTTAAGTTCAGATCTGCTTCATTTCTGCCGCTCGGTACATCATTTTGGCGCCATTTCATTCCGTGTTTGGTTTATCTTGATTCGGATCGGTAATTAGGGCCGTAGCTCTGCAAGTCTTCAATTCCCTTCCGAAGTGTGCGTCGAGGTTTGCCCATGAATTCGTCAATTTGAGTGAGATTTACTGTTAGGTTATGGCAGCCTGTTGATCTATAGCAGGCTTGGCCATGGAGGTATTTCCCTCATTACTCGTTGGTTACATTTTGGCAGCTGGACTGTGTGGGCTGTGTTTCATGTTATGCCTTCTTGGTTTTCTAAAGCTTCATTCTAGTTTATCCTTGAATTCATCGTCTTTCTAGCTCAGTTCTTAGAAGCTGAAATGGATATGGATGCATTAGGTTTATAGTACAATGGCCTCTGGATTTTTCAGCAATGAGTTGTAGGATTTTGGTACTATCCAGTGGCCTTGGGTAGTACAGCCGCTTTTCCCTCATGCTGTCTGGTTAATTAGTTCAAGTTGAAGTTTCTCCATCCAGGACATGCTTTGTTCAACTTGTTTCATCAATTGAGTTTCTCAATTCATCACTGCTTTAGTGGCTATCTCTGATATGACGATTCGACTGATTCCTGTTGCCCATTTTTTCGATACTGGCATAGCTAGTTACTATAGCACGCTTCTGCCAGTATGTTCGTTTCCCTTGTTTACATGGACTGGTCTTAGTTCATCTTTCAGGAAACATATACATGTTAACCAACTTCAGTTCACCTTCAAGAATCATAGTTTTAGTGTCAGTGCCCTTCATAGAATAATCTAGTGATTAGTTGTTTCAATGGTTGTTTATGCACTGATCAGGGAATTTTGTTTCTCCCTGCAGCTGCTTTTGGGGCTGTCTTGCATGTTATCTCAACTTCGCTCCTTGGCATCACGGCAATCACAATGGCAAACACAATTGCTGGTGAAGAAACAGTTCACAAGCTAGCGTCATTGCTTCTCGTAATTCTTGGTGGTAGTTACGTGTTGCTGTTTCTCTCTGGAAAAGGTGGACACAGTCACTCTCACAACCAACCGATGGAGAAAATGGCTGTTGCAGGGCTTGTTCTTGTTCCTGCATTATCTCCTTGTGCGACTACACTTCCAGTGTTCCTTGCAGTTGGTAATTCATCCTCTATGATGGTGCTTGCTATCATCGTGCTGCTAATCAGGTATGCCATCATCTTATTGTTGCATTTCCTATTTCCTTCATACACAACAAATTTCATCGAACATTTACATTTTGGCCGAAGACGTGCAATGTAATTGGATGTAAACTTCTTAACAACATAGTACAAGAAACGAAGTATGGTCATTACCATCAGATGTATGCATACACTTAATGATTAGCCAGCACTGAAGTTGAACACTCTGCTATTATGTGTTATTGGCAGCACGATAACTGTGATGACGTCACTGGTGGCTCTGTCATTCTACGGTGCAAGTCAGATCAAGTTCCACTGGGTGGAGCGCTACGACAAACTTCTTGTGGGTTCCGTTCTATGTCTGGTGGGAATCTTGACGCTCATCTTCCACGATCATGATCATGGTCATGGCCACCAACACGGAGAGGGAACTTTCTCAGCTCAGCAACTGCCAAGAAAAATCATTCTCCCTTGACCATTTCCCCGGGAGACAAAAAAAAAGATGTAAAGTGTTAAAGCTGTACTAGGTATGCTTCTTCTTGTTCTTCATCGAGGCACAGGATAGACTCTGTACTGGCAGAACTACGAGGTGCGTGTAGTGCGAGACGTTGCCGCTCGAGAATTGCCAAATGTTTTTGTTTAGGTTGCATACTCCTACTTGTGTAATCCAAATACTCTGGCCGGTGATCGAAGGACAACAAGTGGTTTGTCTTTGTTCTTTTTGTAGCTGCATCCATGGATGCGTTTGCCAATGTAATTCACAGTTATAGAATGCTGGTTCATGCAGATGTCATTTCCCAGTGCATGAAGGTTATTGCATATATATTGGTAGCTACCAATATATGGTCCCTCAAATCTATTTCTCAATATGTTGGTAGTCTTTTATGATAAAAATGTAAAATGCGACGACGTTTGAATCAGACTCATTTTGATAGTCCGAAATCATATTTGAGTGAAATAAGGCTAATTCAGGCGCCAACATTCTCGAGATTGGCTTAGTCAGTTCCGAAATCATATTTGAGTGAAATAAGGCTAGTTCCGAAATCATATTTGAGTGAAATAAGGCTACTTCAGGCGCCAACATTCTCGAGATTGGCTTAGTCAGTTTCGTTGGCGTGGAACACACTCCTCAAATCAAATTTAAGCGAAATGAAGCTAATTCTTTATATAATAATAACCTGTTACAACGTGTTCTAGCACCTATGGATCCAACACTCCTCAAATCAATTCTTGTTAATGAATAGATCCGATCCCAACTTCGAATATTGAATTGAAAGGGATCCAACACTCCTCAAATCAAATTTAAGCGAAATGAAGCTAATTCTTTATATAATAATAACCTGTTACAACGTGCTACTAGAGGGGAAGGAAAATTGCCGTTATTGGGAAACAAACGCACAACCTTACAATAAAAAGTGTGTCGACTTATCAGTGAGTTTTGTTAGTTCGTCGATACATCGTAATAAAAGAAAAAATATGTAAGAAAAATTTGACGAAGAAAAAGTGAAAGAATCATGTTTTTTACCAAAAAAAAAAAAAGAATCATGTTTAGTTGGGCTTATAAAAGATCAGTGCTACTTGGGCTTCTACCGCTTTATTCCATCTTGGCCCGGCCCGTTCACAAACAATTTGAAACGGTGGGTTTCAAAGCGAGGGCTTAATTTTCAGCTCCCGCCAAGAAAGAGAGGTGAACTTCACAGACGAAATCAGATTCTAGTTTGGCAGGCACAAGACAAGCGCGAGCTTCGTAATTTCCCGCTCTCTATCAGTCTCTTCCTCGAGCGAAATCTTTTCAGGGGAGAAATCCAGTGCAGCGGCCGCTTCTCAATCCAAGTAAAACTAGCTGAAGTTTCTGCCGGCCCATTACAAACCTACTACACCGCAGAATTCTAGGGTTTCAAGCCGAACAGAATGGCGGTGCTCAGTTGGAAGCACCACACCGTCATCCAAGCTCTGATGGCGCGTGGGCCGCTCCTGGAGGACGAGTTCCGTAAAATCTACGCCGACGTTACTGGAAAAAACCATAGTACGTCTTGCTCCTTTAATCCTTCCCCATATATTTTTGTGTGTGTGGAGAATGGATCGTCTTAAGACTTTTAATTGGCCGCCTTGGCAATGTTCTGGGCTCGAAATTTTAGGTTCTCGATATTGTTATGAACTGGGAGATATGGATTCGCTTAGTCAATTTTATGCATGTAGGTTTAGGATTCTTCTTCTTAGGGCATTTGGTTATGTGTTTTGCTGATGCAGGTGCGAACCAAAAGGATTTCAATGATTTCACGCTGAAAATAAATAAGGAGCTTTCGTTTGTCCAGATGGAGTTGAGGTGCTGTCGGAACCAAAACGATGGCCGAGTCTGTTATGGATTGGTCAACAATATTGCTGATGAGCAATCCAAGCTTGGGACGAAGTACTCTATTCCACAGATTGCTTTGTTTAAGGGAATCGTAAGTTCCTTAGAAAGCTGAATTGCCGTTGTACCTGTGGGTTTGAGTGAGTCTGTCCTCATCTTGACTGTTCGGAGTTGTCATGGAGCTGGAGTACTTAAATACCTGCTATTCTGGCGGTATCTAATCATGGTTGATAAACTTCCCGCATGGGATCAAGAAGTCATGTTTCTAACTTGCATTAAGCTGCCTGAACGGAGTATGCGAAGGAGATAGATGGGTTCCCACCTGATTGAAAATTGAATGCATACGCTTTGATGCAGCTTATGCTACCTTGAGGAGTTCGTTATGTATCTGAAATAGTTTGTCAGTCTTTTTGTTTATTGCATCTGATTTTGTTTTGCTGATCTGGATTGTTTATTCGAACTCTGGATAGTTCTGTGTGTTGTATGCATTTTACATGAATGCAATTCCTTCGCTGCATTAACTGAACATGTCTGCTACATTCATTTGCTATTAGCTACTAGTTGATCATCCTTTTGTGAGCATTTGTTTTCTGGTCCGATTGGTACGTGATTTAAATGTAGTTGGAGGTTTTCTATATATATTTTTGTTCCTTCCTGATTTTATAGTATCATTCAGGTAGAAGCGATAGTACAAGATGAAGCAGCTCATGGTTGCATTTCCACCATTACAGCTCTCAACATACGACTGGAGAATCAGGTTTTCATAACATATTCTGCCGTGCAAATAGCTTACATAACACATAAAGTTGTTTGTTCAAGTTTCTGTAAAATATATTTGATCTTCAAGTCTAAAGAGTTCGTATGTAACCTGCGGAAGATAAAAACCAACTGATTATGCAACTAGGCATGCATAACTCCAGTAGCACACCAATTTTTCAGCTTTTGTCTGGCAGATTAGTAGTATGGGCTTCTCATACTAATCTGTCTCCTTAACCTCATAATGTGAAAGAAGGAATTACCTCTGTTATCCATCAACTCTAACTAGTTGTACTCAAAATGCCTGCTAACTGCTGAGTTCAGGCACGTGGAAAACTGAATTAGGAGTATATGTAAAAGTGCTGATTCTGGAGTTTAGTTGTTTACCATTCATTAAAAGTTATATCAACTGGTCTTTGATATAAATGTCAACCATCAGAGAGGCAGAACCCAATATGTTTGGTACAGAAGTTGGGAAGAATGTATAGTTGTGGAAGCACAAATTGATTTAAGTAGAAAATGCATGGAAGCATTTGTACAGTGAAACAAAACCAAAAGAAGTGAACTTGTGGTAGCTGTATTTTAGAGAGAGAGAAAAGCGAGCAAAGATATTATTGACACAGAATAACTTCAGTTGAATGACCATACCCCTTGATTAATCATTGCCATCTGGTCACCAAGCTCATGAACAACGTTAGTAATGACTAACAGGAATTCATATTGTATGTTTCGGCTGTAAGCTGAGTTGTACTGTAGTGGTGTATGCTCTACATTTCATAGAAAAAATATGATGGAGACTCAGAGCTCAGATTTGTGATTGAATATTTTACCTCGGAGGTAATTGATGTCTGACCAGTAATGATCCATATCATGGACTGAAGCTACTAAATCATCTTTAATATCCATTTTGCTGTTCACTTAATAGTAGCATAGATCATAGACACTGTAAGCCATAATTTCTTCTAAACTCAATGGAATTCTGCTTATCATAAGCTTTTTTCAGGTCAAGTTTGAGAGTCCGCATCTTACATATATTCACAAGCTTGTCATGCCTTTTACACCGTTGTAAGCATATGACAGTCTTCATGGTATTTCTGCAGGTCCAGTTGGCAGCAGGTTCCCAATCACAAGATAGCCCACCTGAAATCCCGGCTGCAATAAGGAATTTCTCAATGTCCCAAAAGGACAGAACAATCGATGAACTCATACGAGACAAGTGGCTTTCTCAAACTACTGACGGTGATGTTGCCCTAGGGTTCAGATCCTACCTTGATCTGAGGAGCTTATTCCATAACATGGGCATTCCTCCTTGTGAAGTCTGCAACGAAAGCGGCGTCAATGTCTGCTATTACATACATGGAACTATATATATAACTCTAATAAGTTATCTACTTCCTGTGCATTTTAGATAATTATTCAACCTTTTTTTGGCAGGCTAAAGTGTGCCCAACTGAAGGCTGCAATGTCCGAATTCATGAGTACTGCTTGAGAAAGAAACTCCAACGCAAAAAGGTAATAGCTTATCATTTTTATCATAATGGTTTGTTCCCACCGTCAAGGGGCTTTCTCACAGCCCGTGTAAGGTAAAATGACTGTGTTGCTTGCAGGACAAGATAGTATGTTCGAGTTGTGGCATTAATTGGCCATTTGCAGCACCAAAGAGTGAACCTGTGGAGGAAGAAGAGGATGAACAGCCAACTCAGACGCAAATGCAAACTCAAACTCAAACGCAGCAGCCATCATCGAGTGGATCCAAAAGGAAGCGATATCGATTCTCGGTTGATGTAGAACCCGACTCTGCCTCTGTGAGAAGAAGCACCCGGTTTTCTACACGACGAAGGTAATATCGGAACTCGTCGTGCTTGCGACTCTCTCATCCAGCATTTTTCTTCCATATATCTTGTGCCGATGAATGTGAGGCAAGTATTTTTGTTGACTACAAAACAACTGAAGTGAATCTAAAAGTGGGGCTCCTCCACAGTTTCAATGTCAAGAAACTAAGGGTTTCACAGTAGCTGTATATTTGGCAGTTGGCACTTTGTTAGCATCCTGAACTTGTATAGTTGGTAGGAGGTGAAGAACACATGACTTGGTTAGCTGCTCCTCTTGTAAATCATTTCCAAGACAAGTTAACCTTCTCTTTGGAGAGCAGATACTACTCACAAGACAAGTTAAGTATATTTTTGTTTTGTGTGGATGAACACACCCTTTATGTCCATCATACTATTATGTTTTTCTATCGTAGATCTTACTTACAACCATGTTCCATGTTTTGTGGATTACGACCTTGACCTTTGATCGCTCCATCTATCCATGTTGTCGGGCTGGATTAGTAATGGGCTTTGGCTGAAATTCAAGATGGCCCAATCGATCCAACTTGATAAACATAATACTTCTAAATTTGGCTGCTCCACAGCCCACTCTCGATCAAGCTCGCAATTGCTCTGCATTTTTTCCCCTTCTGATTGAGGGTGGTTCGTTCAGGGCAAGAATCAGCAGCAAATACAGATGAATGTGTGGAGCTAATTTAGGTCTCTTGCGCTCGACTCAGATCAGAACTCTCTCTAGTCTCTACCTCTTCTCCTTTTTGCATGCAATGGGATGCCCACAAACGAACCAATTCCCACCCATTATCTCTCATCTTCTCTCCTTCATCAATCATCATCTCAATGGCGATGCCCGTCCCGTTTAGTTACCGTTGGTTGTTGCTATCAGAGTATTAATTTAATTATCACTTTGACTGCTCGGAAAGCCATACTTGAATCTTGATATACTAGTCCTTTATTCTCTCTCTTTCCCGCTTTTTTATTCTCTGCCGACTTTCTTCTTCTTCCCCGAAGTTCATTCCTTTCTCGAATTTGAATCAAAACCCAGGTCAGGGTTCTCCTCTCCTTTGCTCCAATCCCACCTGGGTCGGTCTCGGCATTGCCTGATTTGCTTTCCCTCCCCTGCCTCCCTCCATTTTCTCCGGTGAGCTGTCACAGAGGAGGAAAAAAGAGTTTTTGTTTAGCTGTTTCTATCTTCTGATTCTTTCTTTTGGTTGTTAGTTTGCTCTCGCGTTTGGTATGCGTGTCTATATTTAGATTCTTGGCTTGCTAGCCCTGGTTTTGGATTCCCTTATTTTCTGGACTTCGCTTTGCCCGCACTCTAATTCTTTATTATTTTTTTCCATTCCCGTCCCACTAGGGCGATTTTCCGGCTAAGTTCTTACCGACGATGATGGCGGAGGATTTCGCGAGATCAGTTGAGGACGGGCTGAAGCTGTCGAAGCGGATATACTTCGGCAAGGACAGAGCCGTAGCTCCTCCCAACATTCCGGTGATGATGGACAAATCCCTAATGGAAGCTCTCCTCCCGAAGTCGCCCATGGTCTACGCCGTTATCTCCAACCCTGGTATCGTCGATAACCCTGACATACCTAGCTACCAGCCTCACGTGCATGGTAGGTGCGATCCCCCAGCTCTCATCCCGCTCCAGATGAATCGGATCGAACTTCAGGCTGATTGCTTCTTCGACAATGTCTTCGTCCAAATAATCGGATCCTGGCGGGTTCATTGTATCATGGGAAGCAAGAGCTGCGATTGCCGTATTGCCCTTCCTATGGGCGAACAGGTCGGTTCTTTGTTTATTTGTGCCCCTCAAGTTGTTTCCTACAAGGGAAGTGGGCTTTAATTTCAATGTCTTGATTCTGCTTCTTCTTCTTTCTCAAGTAATATTATTAACATTTGGCTAACAGGGTTCAATTCTAGGTGTCGAGGTGGAGGTTCATATGAAGTCATATTCTACTGAGATAATTGCAGCGGAAGACAACAAGGATGGGGATAAAGAAGTCCGCCCTGAAAATGGCAGCTATCTCAAACCCAACATATTTACACTCACAATCCCAAAGGTAAGTAGGAGGAGCTTCTTTCTTGTCAACTGTGTTCTGGGGTAAAAATGTTTTGTTTCATCGTGGCATGTTTTGTTGTATAGAACTTGATTTTTATACCTGTCTAGGTTGATGGGGGTGCCATACTTTCAGTTAGAGCTAGTTGGATGCAGAAATCAGTATTCAAGAATGGAGAATTTTGGATAGGAGTTCCATTTAGCTTCCCAGAGTATGTCACTCCATTTGCAAAGAAGCTACCCAAGAAGGAGAAGATACTCTTGAATGTGAACTCTGGTTCTGGAACTGAGATTGTATGCAAATATACCAGTCATCCTTTGAAGGTTGTACCCTTAACCGGCCTTCTTTAAGTGAACTTAACTTGGACTGGGTAATTGGTATCGATTTTTTTAATTTTATTTTATGTTCCAAGCTTCAGGAAGTCAGAAGAGAATCTGGGAAGTTGTCTTTCGCTTATGAAACTGAAGTTCTCATTTGGACGCACAATGATTTCAATTTCTCGTATGCGGTAAGCTTCACTTTATAGGACATGAAACTGATAACTGCTAGAAAAAAAATTGCTTAATATTTAGTATTCATAGTGAAGTTTGCTTAAGGTGGCTGTTTCTATTACTTGATATTTCAATCCCTTGTTATGTTAGGTCTCGTCAAGCCATATATTTGGTGGTTTGCTTTTGCAATCACCATCTGTGCATGATGCTGATCAAAGAGAGATGTTCTCTGTGTACCTCTTTCCTGGAAGCAGGCAGAGCATGAAGGTCAGTTTGACTTGATCGTAATCTGATAAATGACTGTGAGGCTTAACATTTCTTTCTAGTGGTGTGTGCTCATTTCCCTCAATTTGACAGGTCTTCAGAAGAGAGGTCGTATTTGTTATTGATATAAGTGGAAGCATGGAAGGAAAGCCAATTCAGGCTACGAAGAATGCAATTTGTACTGCCCTCAACAAGCTTGAACCTAAGGATTCATTCAATATAATAGCTTTCAATGGAGAAAGTTATGTCTTTTCATCACTCTTGGAAGCTGCAACTGAAAACACAATCGAGAAGGCTTGCCAATGGATTAATTCAAACTTTTTAGCCGGTGGGAGTACAAATATTTCACAAGCCCTAGATAAGGTGATTTGTCCTTCTTATTCCAAGCATTGTGGTGTTTCTATGTATGTTGATACCCTTTTTGTTAATTGTTGTTTGCAATGTGTTCAAGATGGTATATGGTTTAACAGTAATATCGATTTCTTTCATGCTCTCAGGCAATAGAGATGGTCTCCAACAGTAGTGGTGCAATCCCTCTCATATTCCTTGTGACTGATGGGACTGTTGAAGATGAAAGACACATTTGTGAAGTAATTAAAAGTCGACAAACTTTTGGGGGAACGATATCTCCACGGATACACACTTTTGGCATTGGTAAACTCTTATTTTGTACTCCTATTCCCCTTTCCTTGTCGTTTCTTTCATTGAAGAGAAGCTTCTTTTTTGTGATGTTTAAGTTGTTTAAGTCAGCCTTCATATTTTCACTTCAGTTTTATAATCTGTAACTTTCGTGCACCACATGTTCCAGGGTTGTACTGCAATCATCATTTTCTGAGGATGCTTGCAATCCTTGGCAGAGGAGGAAATGATGCTGCTTATGAAGTAGGTGAGTCCAAGGTTCTTACTTCTTATTACTGTTTCTCACTCTCACTAAGTAGCTGCAATTTGGTACTTCTTGCTACATATTATCTTCAAAGTTTATGGTTGGAGGTAGTATGGCAGTGTAATCTTGACTATGTACTTGCGTCATGAAACATGGTCTTGACTCCAGGGGTTCTTTCATTGCATATTGAATTTCTTTAAGACATATGTTTGAATTCTAAGTTGTAGTTTCTTACTGTTATCGATAATTGTAATTTTTTTTTTATGATCTTTGATCAGATTCCATCGAGACTAGACTGCAAAGTTTCTTCAGCAGAGGTTTGTCTACTGTTCTTGCCAATATATCACTGGAGGCAGTGGATAATGAAGTTGAGGTATGATTGAAGCTAATCCACCTTATCATGAAAATGTAGTGGTTTCACCCACCCTTATATTTTCCCGATAGATCAGCGTCTGTGCTTCGGGAATCTATAAGTTTTATCTTTTCTGCATTCGCAGTAGCCTTTAGTTGTACAACTGATGATGCCTTGGTGGATCCTAGACTTTTCTCATGTGTCGCCTGTGTTAGCTTGTTTGTTACCCCCTTTTGATTTAGGTGGTTTTGTTATTGTCAACAAATGCAGGGTAGTATCTATTGGGGGGAAAAATGAACTTGGTGGATTGGCAACGTTGGTCCATTTATTATTTATGCATTATTCATCGACTTTGAAAACTCTGTCTGCTTGTTTTCAATATGAAAAACATCCTTAGTTATTGTTTTCTTTGTATTGCATGTAGCTTTTTAGCAATCATTTTATGGTTCTCCCATCTTCTTGCAACAGACATATCCTTCCCGACTCCGAGATCTTTCATGTGAAGAACTGTGGACCATATCTGGTAGGTATGTTGGAAATTTACCGGAGTTCGTGAGAGTTGAAGGTGTTTTAGGGGACTTCAGTAAATTTGTTGTGGACTTGAAGACACGTACTGCGAAGGACGTTCCTTTGGACAAGGTAAAGAAAATAACTCACCCTTGTATATTTTGTTCAGCTCTATTTGCAACATATTGTGAACTTTGGTGCATCTCCTCAAGTTCTTAATGCTGTAATATGGTTATCGTACGTTAGAGGGCTGTTAGAGCCTACAGGTGTCAAGTAGCTTTGCATGGGTGAGTTGTTTTCTTTTAAAATCCTTTAGCCTGAAGGGAAAGCTTTAGCCATCATAAAGCTAATTGACTATTGGCAACTCATGCATACAATTCGTTCTAGATGATCGATAAAATTGTTAGTCAAGGACGTGATTCTTATTTAGGTTCTTTTATCTTGTATTTCGTATGCATTCTCTAATCAAGCAAGAGAAGATTGTGGCTTTGTTTGTACTGGTGTTGGAGGTGCTTTATGTTTCCATTTTCCCACTCTGGATTGAGATGGATGAAATGTACATCTGGAAACAGCTCCAAAAGTTCGGCTAGTTGCATTTGATTGACGCTTAATGATTTTGGCCTGCTATAGGTATTTGCAAAGCAGCAGATTGATATACTAACGGCCCAGGCATGGTTTTCAACAAGTAAACAGCTAGAGGAGAAGGTATAAGCTATGTTTCATCATCCTTGATATGCATACTACTATCCTAGTGATGGTGAACTCTAATGGTACCTGGCACTGACAGGTTTCCCAAATCAGCATACAAACAGGAGTTGCATCTGAATACACACGCATGTCGATATTGGAAACGCAGAGAGTGTACCAATCCTCCGAACCGCCTGCTGGGCGCAAGGTAATAATCAATACCATCTTTGACACCGTAAGTACAGCTGTTCTATCTCCAGTCGCTAAGATTAATGACCACCAAAACAGGGTTCAAAGAAAGCCAACGCGGAGAAGGAAGAAACAAAGACTCAGAGGAGAGTAATGCTGCCAAGCCTGGGGATCGGGTTCGGAAGCTTGACAGCAACCATGGAGAACATACCACCAGGGACCGAGGAACCGAGGTTGCCAGAGGCAGCCGAGATGATGATAAAGGCGGCCTCGAACTGCTGCGAGAGGTTGTACGGCCACTGCTGCTGCATGTGCTGCGTCCAGTGCTGTTCCAGAATGAACAACCAATGTGCAGTAGCCTTGACCCAGCTCTGCATGGCTCTATCGTGTTTCGGCTGCTTCGAGTGCTGCGCCGCGATATGTTGCCCCGCGGAACAGTGATTGATTAAGCCAGTTGGTATTTGTTCTGTTTTTTCCATCTTCTTCTGTTTGTGCAGTCAGTGAGCAAACTAGAGAAAAACAGAACCCTCCACCTCATTTTACTGTATATTGGTGCTGTTGGTGGCTGTTCTCTGTCGAGGATGGACCTTGTTGAAGACGCGCGGTGTATAGTAGAGGGGCAAGTGATTAGTGAAAGGGAGAAAGCCTATGATTATTTGTCAAAATATCAACTTGTTTATGCGTCATAAACAATGCACTCAAAAGCGTGATTCTACTTAGAAGCGGTGGGTGACCTAGAAGCGTAAAATCATAAGCTTTTAAGTTTTAAAGCGTAGATGTAGAATCGTTTTGGTGACCTAAAACGCTTTTAAATTTTAAATTGCGATTTTGACTGCATTGGTCATAAAGCAAATAGGAGTAGAATAGGGCCAAATTTGCATGTCGACTGCCACTGACAAATGTGCTTTGTGGCCAATATAAAGTCTATAACCTGATTAAAACTGTGGAAAGGGGATAGGGAGAATGTTCATACTGACCTGGATCCCACTTTGAGGTTTGATTTATGTCCTCTTCCTATCCTTTTTCTTATGATCTTCTTTCCCTAACTTTTACTTATTTTTATGTGTTATTTCTTCTCTTCATATCATAACCTACTTGTTCACGATCATCACCTACTTGTTATTTCTTTTGTTCATACAAAGAAAAAAAAAGTTGTGTTCTCTCACCAGAAATTTTAAGTGTTTGATCTCTTTTCATACGAATCGAATTCGATGTGATCGCTCACAAGTCACAACAACAACAACGGAAACTTACAATTTTGGGAGAATCTCACATCCTATGGCTTATAGTTATTGTCATGACTTCATGTGCTGTTTCCTTTTCCCCACGAAAGGAAATGGCTTCAGCCATGGCTGTATAGGGCAAGTCTTGCTTCTCTTGGAAAAGCAAATACTCAGCACGACAAGTTAGGCATATTTTTCTTTCTGCCTTAGGTTATACAATGACAACTGCCCAAAAATAATCTCAAGGGTGTAGGTATCTTTCAATCTCTGCCTCTCCTTTGGATTAGCATAGCTCACTGGAGCCACTCACTTCTACTTGAATCCAAATATAACTAAGGCCATCCATCCACCGTCATCGTTGGGTCTCTTCCATTAATTCGTATTATTAGGACCAGATAGGTTACAAAATATCATGCTTTGGGTTACTTTTTATGAGAATGTTATGACGAGAATTTGAAAAACAAGTTTGCCGAATAACTCAAATTATCGATAAGTTTTCAAATTATGACGAGAACGTTATCGAGCGCATGTGATTGATGGCGACTAACTAGGGTATAAAATGTCAGATTTTAATTAGTGCATTTTGAATAACGCTTTTGTTATGCTAGCTCGCGGCAATGATAACACTGATGATCATCTTTCTTCTAACTATGATGGTCACCGATTAATCTTCGCAATCAATTAAGCAAGCATGATTATTTTGGAAGGAAACAAACTTCTCAACAATGTGGGGAAAAAAACAATATCCTATAACTAACTAATGTTAATGTTTTATAGAGCACAATAGTCTGACTTTAGCTACTCAATCCACCCAAAATCCATCATGATTCATGCAAATATATTTAAATCACATTCGTTACGTATCCCAATCCCTACCGAATCATGTTAATTAAGTTAAAGTTTGAAGTATACGTCAATCTTGCAAGCAATTTATGTAGAATTATTGAAGCTGACTTTCATAGGAATAGATATCTTCCACCAGATCACAAATACATAGTCAAATTAAAGAATAAATGAAAATCGTGAAATTCTAACCAAACCTTCTTAATTCATTCTCATAGTTTTTAAGCTTCCAATTATATGAAACTTGGAAAACAAGTTTTTTTCTGACTTTACTTATAAAATAAAATTGTACAAACACGCCCTTAAATTATGTTCAATTACGTACATATTTACTCTACTTTAGTTTTATAATTATGATGTACATAAGATGTTAGGCTTTCTCCATCAAGGAAAGAAAAAAAGGAACATGCTCTAACATACCACCATGTTCCATGGATTGTAAAGGCTAGCTTTTGTGGATTATGATCATAGTCTTTAATGGTTTCATTCATGTAGTCTTTATAGCCCTTTCGATAGAAGGAAAAAGGGGTGTTTATTTTTGTTAACCGATAACCGGCCAACCAGTTATCGGTTATAATCGAAATAATCGAATTGCTAGCCCTAATCATCAAGGTCAAACAGATTTTTTTTTCTAGTCCCTCATGTTAACATAATCATTCAATGGTGTCCTCAAGTCTGGCATAATAAATATAACTCTATTACAAGCACTAGCTCAAATCAATGACAATCGATCCTTCAAAGATCTAACCCTTAAGTTCTTAAGAGTTCGAAATTGACTCGTCAATCTAAATGCATGTGGGTTAATCCATCTATAAATTTTAACCGAAATCCGTGGGTTGAACCCATCGGCCGGACCGCCTGCTAGTTGACTTGAGCATAAGTTGGACGGCACTTCCAATTTTGGCGGGCGGTGGCGGTTCCTCTTTTTGGATCACTGAAAGCAATTGAGCAAACGGCGGAATGCGGTGGCGCAAATTGTTCGTCGCCTCCGCATTAACCGTCTCGCGATATACAGCTGAGTTAGAGCGGGAGATCGTGGGGAGACGGTGGCGGGGACCCACTTTCCCAGAAAATCCTGTCCTTTTTTTTCCCTCTCAAAATAAACTTTTCTTTTGCCTTTTTCTTGCATGGAATGGAACTGGATGCACATCCAGCAGATTCCCCAAACGAACAAATTTCCACCATCTCTCTCTCCGTCTTCTCTTCCTTCATCATCATCTCATTCTCATTGGCGTTTCTCCATCCCATTTATTATTATCGGAATATTAATTTATTATCACTTTTGACTGCTCACAGAACCACACTTGATACTTAGTCCATCTCCCTCTCTCTCTCTCTCTCTCTCTCTGCCTCTCGCTTTCATTCTCTGCCGGCTTTCTTCTTCCCGAAGTTCATTCCTTTCTCGAATTTCAATCAAGACCCAAGTCAAGGGGGATCGGTGCTTCTCGTCTCCTTGCTCTAATCTCAACTGGGTCGGTCTCGGAATCGCTTGATTTGCTTTTCCCCTGCCTCCAATTTCTCAGGTGAGCTGTCACAGAAAGATGAAAAGGGTTTCTGTTCTGCTGTTGCTCTCTCTTTCTGATTCTTCTTTTGGTTAGTTTGCTCTCGCGTTTGGTATGTGTGGATTTTTCATCTCTTTCCGTATGAATTTGGAAGAGCTGGGGGTTTAGTTTTGTCTCACTTGGTGGTTGGTGATTCCGGATTGGGTAGTGAATGATTTGGGCGTTTTGTGATTCTTCTGGACTTCGCTTTGCATAAGAGTTTTCCAAAAAAAAAAAAATCTGGGACTATTGAGATTTTAGGCTTCTCCCAGTCTATAGTTTAGTAAATCATATAAGGAATTGAAGTATGAATATTTTGTTCTCCTCTGGACTGTTGCTGGTTCTTGTTTTCCCTTGTTGTCTAATATTCGGTTTGTGAAAGTTAGCAACTTTCTAGTTTCTGTCGACAACCGAATTGAACTTGGATATGCATTCTTTTTGGTCCAAGGAACTTGACTTCAGAGCTAGCTTGTACAGAATTTCAGAATTAAGGTCAAAGTTCGAGGCTTTATTATTCTATATAGCAGTTCCAAATTTATTACATTCTCTGGTTAGGGATCCTCTCAGTATTGACAGCTTGAGAAAGATGAATTTGAGCTCTGCCGAACTTGCTTGGTAGAAGACTAGAAGCTACTCTTGTTCGGCATCATTTCTCTTCCATAATGTGTTTCCTTAGCCTTGCTTGATATCTTGGGATTGTGTTATTTTACTCATAACTTCTTTCTCAACGTTTGATCTGGTTTGTCAATTTATGTCTGTATTCTCTGTCTGGGGTGATTGATCTTTTGATATTAGATGTTCTGGTTCTTGTTTGGCAAACCATTTCTACATGGTTTCATTCATGGGAATGTTCTTTTTGTTTTTTTCAGGGAAAACATATGAACTGAGTATTTGGGCATCCGGGAAATGGGGGCTTCAAACTCTAAAGTAGAAGAAGATAAAGCTCTACAGCTTTGTCGCGCAAGAAAGAAATTCGTCAGGCAAGCACTTGATGGTAGATGCTCGCTTGCTGCTGCTCATATTGCATACATTCAGTCCCTAAAAACTACAGGAATTGCATTAAGAAGATTCGTTGAACCAGATCTTCTTCCAACTGAATCATCACTCTACACCTCGACGAGTGCAACGCCGGAGCCACATGTTGTAACCGAGAAGTCCTACTCACACTTCTCCCTCTCTTCACCATCTCTATCACATCCTGGGGATGGAACAAATGAAAACCTCTCTAGATCCCCCACTCCCCCTAGCTCTCGTAGGTTTCAGGTTCACCATATGAAGTTCAAAGGTTTTCCTTCTAGAAAGGTGGAAGAGAAGCCTCCTGTTGCCGTCACAGCCACAGTGACCTCTTCAAGCACCCCACTGGATGCAACACCACCACGGTCCGCTGAAAAGCCAGAAGCATCACCGCCCTTCGAACCTCCCCCATCTGTTACGCCTGGAACTCCGCAATGGGATTACTTTCAGCTTTTTCATCCAATCGACAATGAGTTCTCTTCCCAAGATGGGAAGGAAAATGGAAATAGCCATGGCTTTGAGCGTGGTGATGACATGGCACGGCTTAGGGAGGAGGAGGGGATTCCTGAGCTGGAAGATGAGGAAGAAAATAAGGCTTCGTTTCGTGAGAGTGATGATGGATATGATGACTCTGAAGATGGATTTGATGATGACCCTCCTCCCACCGAGAGACTTGTGCGGAGTTATCAGAACGTCAACAGGATGCATGATCATGTCAGTGCTTCGCCTACCGTGCCTTCTGCAGGAAGTGTAGCTTCCGAAGGAGAGTTGTTGAATGGGGAGAAGAGTAACTCGCCTTATTTATCCCCACTAAGAACTCCTTCCTCAGCTGTTGCTGTTTCAGCTGAGAAAAAGAAAACACATGTGAAAGAAGATCAGAATGAGAACAAGGTTGCTCCTAAAGACTTCTTTTCGAGCATGAGGGATATCGAGTATCTGTTTATAAAGGCTTCTGAGTCCGGGAAAGAAGTTCCAAGGATGCTCGAAGCAAATAAATTTCACTTCCGTCCCATAGCTGCAACAAAAGATAGTATGATTTCTGTTCTCTGTTTTTGTTTGTTTAGATGAAGTGAGAAATATTATGACCTTGAAAAACTAGTTGACTTCCATTTCTTGGATTCCAGTGTTGAAAGCCTCTTAACTAACAATATTCTGCATTGACACAGATGGGTCAGTGGCTTCCACTTTTCTGAAGTCATGTTTCTCTTGTGGGGATGATCCTACACATGTGCCAGAAGGTTAGCTTTTTTATTTTTGGTGTAAATCATGTTTCTGCAATATGTTATGGGGATATTATCGGGTTCTTCATGGCAAAGTAGCGACCTTCTGATTTGATAGTTGACATTTTGCTGTTTGGGTGGTTGGCTTCTCTTTAGAAGAAAAGGTAGTTTAATTCGTTTTTTGCATGCTTTCCATGGTTACTGGCTAAATTTTTCCTGATGGCTTCTATAGAACCCGTTCAAGATGCTGTAAAGTACTTGACTTGGCATAGGACAACTTCATCACGATCATCATCATCTAGAAATCCTCTTGGAGTGAATTCTAAAGATGATGGAGAGGATCTTGCTGGTAATCTCTTTGAAAATTTCTGTATGATCTCTGGCAGTCATGCTTCAACGTTGGATAGACTGCACGCTTGGGAGAGAAAACTTTATGATGAAGTAAAGGTAGGGCCGGTCTTATGCATTTTATTTATGTCTGTCTATATCACTTGGTGGAAGTTGTTTAGAAATTATAGGAAAATGAAATGTTGTAATCCACATTTCAGGCCAGCGAAATGGTGAGGAGGGAATATGACGCTAAATGCAGGTTCTTAAGACAGCTGGAATCAAAAAATGAAAGTTCGTATAGAATCGATAAAACCCGTGCCAATGTTAAGGATCTACATTCGAGGATCATAGTAGCTATTCAAAGAATCGATTCCATTTCAAAGAGGATTGAGGAATTGCGTGACAAAGAGCTTCAACCACAACTCGAGGAGTTGATTCAGGGGTATGTATCAGATTTCGAATTCATCTTGAGAACTATTGTTCTGACATTAGGTTGCTGCAGTATCATGTGTACATGGTTTTCAATGCTGTCCAAGTGTCCATGTTTTATGTTCTATCTTCTGCTTGTCATATTGAATCGTATTTACTCGCAGGCTAAGTCGAATGTGGGAAGTGATGTTCGAATGCCACAAACTGCAGTACACAATCATCACCATAGCAAACACGAACGCCAAAATCTCCCTGCAGTCCGAGTCTCGCCGCCAGATCACTCTCCACCTAGAAACCGAGCTCAGCTCACTGTCATCGACATTCACAAAGTGGACGAATACCCAAAAATCCTACCTCAAGTCCATCAATGACTGGTTATTCACATGCGTGGTGCTTCCAGAGAAAAACTCCCGGCGTAATAAGCGAGCCCCAAACCCTTCCTCCACATTGAGACACTTTGGCGCCCCAATCTACGCCACATGTGGGGTATGGCTTGACAAGCTCGAGTCTTTACCAGCCAAAGAAGTAGCCGACTCGATAAAAGGTCTGACCACCGAGACAAGCCGGTTCATACCTCACCACGAGAGGAAGCAAGGGAAGAAGATGACCACAAGAACCGATTTACCACCATCGTGGAAGGGCGACAACGACAACAGGAGTGATGACGTGGCAGCAGATGATGATGGCGGTCCTCGTGGTTCTGAGCGATTCAGGTCGAGCTTGGAGGGGTTCATCGGCCACCTCAGCAAGTTTGCAGAATTGTCGGCGAACATGTATAAAGAGGTCGAGAAGGCGATCCAGAATGCAAAGCATCAGTTCGAGGTGAACTCGCAAATGCAGACTCAAACTGGGTAGTCTCCTGGCTGGGTGAGGATTCAGAAAGGTACAGAAGTTTGTGAGTTGGATGTGGGATCTTGTTGTACATGGTGAAAAAGGTGATAATAAAAAGGGTACATGGAGGCAGAGAGAGAATAGTAGTGGTAGTGAATTTGAGAGGGGGAGAATAATACTAATGGACAAGGTGAAGATGAACACAATTTTGGATATCAAAGGGAGGGAAAGAGGGGATTTTTTGATGGGTTTGTGAAGTGATTCTATTTATTGGCTGATGGTGGTGGAATATATACAGAACAGAATTGAAAGTAACAGGGAGCCAACTGTATAGTTATTTCTTCTCCCTCCCTCCCACTTCAGGATAGAAACTATATGGCCAATTCATCCCTTTTAGTTTATGTTTGAGTTCAAGAGAACCATTTTTGTTTGTCCTAATTCAGTTAGACTCTCATCACAGTAGAGTAGACAGATCGTGGGTTCTGGTTTTGGTATGACATCAAGAACAAGGGTCAGGGCAATTGTCCCATGTGACTCTGAATGCATGGTTTTGTACAATAAAAACATCGTCTTGTTGTCTCGTTCCGATACGAAATCCATGTACTTCAGAATCCAAGGATTATGTAGGATCTCAATCGTTATGTAAAGTTTAACTATCTATCTACGTTAATTAGCTGGTGAAGATTACATGGAGTCTCAACCAAAGCAGCAATATCATAATCAATCAATCAATCACCCAACCCAGCAGTGAGCAGACCCTCAAAGATCAGTACTTTGTACAAAAATTGTTACTTAACTTCTAGATACATGCTCATCAAACATCATCAAATAGCAGTAAGACATGACGAGAAAAGCGCATAATGTCAGATAGTTAGGCGGCTAAGATCGTTGCTAATCGAAGCAGCAGCTGCTTCGTTCCGAATCGCATCCACCTGTTTCCGCAGCTCCATGAGTTCAGCTTGAAGCACTTCTGAATGGGCAACCTTAGCATCATCAGCTGCTGCTGCTGCTGCTTGGTTCAGAATTGCATCGATTTCGCGAAAGATGACATCTTTCACGGGGGCAAACCTGGCAATGATGGCACCATCGAGATCCGCAAGCTCCTGAGCAAGCTGCTGCTGCCTGATGACCAACTCATGAACCCTAGGGTCGGCCTCGTCCACGCCCAGTAGCTGTTTCGCATCATGCTCGAGGAAAAGACGTTTCAGGGCGATCAGATCATACTTCTGAGTGAATTCCCCGTTAAATACCTCGAGAAACTTCACACGAAGCTCTTGATACTTCGCCTCAACCTGCCGCTTTATAATCTCCATCTGTTTCTTCTGTCACAAGGAACTGTTTTGGTGATCTCGATCTCTCCCTTGGGAACTTTTTGGTTCTTCGTGTTGATAGCTAGCTCGCTAGCTGTGTACAGCATTTATAGAGAAGGATCGACATTCCGGCTCATTTTGGGACAACGTAACCCAATCCTGAAGTGAATCGGATTAATCAATTTGAAACATTTAGAACGGTTGAGGAAACTATAGCTTGGGCGCAAGGTCAAAACTCATCCAATCGATCGGCCCATGTACGTTCCGAACCGAGACGAGGATGGTTGCGACTATTATATGTGTTTGAAATATTTGACGATGGAATATTTTGGACTCGAACGGCTGGTTGTTATTTTGTGGAATCACTTTATTTCCAGAACCAATATTTTGTTACCTCTTTCGCTAAGATATTGCAATCATACGTGTGGATAGTATAATGCTTATAATATATATGTTTTTGTCGTGTAGCATCCAATATGGTTCGATTTCGACTAAAAACATAAAAGTTTATACACCGGTTGGCATCTTGTCTTCTGATAATGAGAATATTCGAGCTCGCGTGGCCAAAACATGGAAACTAGTACTTATGCAAAAACAATTACTCAACATCAAAATAGATAGAGACCACCAGTTAAACATCATAAAATGACGGGAAAATAAAAACTTTGCAATACTCGACATCCAAAACGTATCATTTACAATTACATCATCAATTGTACACATCTCATCTTGTTGTAATCAATCCAGAAACAAAACTTAACTCCGGGATTACATTTCAATATTTGAATTTTTCACTTCCTACTCACAAAAACAAAGACCAAAAGTAAAAGAAAATAAACAAAAATAAAGAATATGTATTAAGGGGGGAAAAAATGGAGAATGAGAGAGGAAAATTAATCAATTAAACCCATCCTCCTAAATTAATTTTATGTCTAATTTTCTACAACCAAACCCTCTTTTTCCTCTTTTTTTTTTCTCGTTTGGTAACGTCTACCAGATTTTGGCGCTGGAATCACATTTCTGTGAGACGATCTTCGCGTTCGCCGTTAACATATCCACCGTCAACTCACAGTCAACGTTCGCGATAACCGTCCACGACTTCACGGCCCCTAATCTAAACTTCACCAGCGCCGTCGCCGTCAGCCGAAACGGCACGGCGCCTCTGTTCTCGCCGTCACTCAATGACCTCCTGACGGCGCTCGTCAGCACGATCCCCTCCCCTTTTAACGCCGTCTTAAAACTCGTCAGCTCGTCCTTCCCCTGTTCGAAAGCCGGGATCGAGCCGGCCGCCAGCTCGATGCCGTTGTAGTACACGGCGGCGGAGCTACCCGGCCGGTAAAGCACGCCCATCTTCTTGTTCCGATTGTGAGCCGCGACGGCGAGCTCAAATCTTGGGGAGATCGGTCCAGATGAGTTAAACCCCTCGATCGACGCCGATTGGATCACGAATCGAGGGGATTCCGGCCGGACGACGAGGTAGAAGACTCCGACGCCGGTGGCGATGAGGAATAGGAAGGCGGCGAAGAAGGAAATTGACGCCCAGAGCCAGAGGCGGGCGCCGCCGCCACAGCATCGGCGGCTGCGGCCGCCGCCGGGGTTTTTATTTGTCAGCTGCTCGAATCGCTTGGCGTTCTCCGGCGGCGGGATCTTGTAGATGGTGTCCTTGGGGATCTGGATGACGTAGGTTCCCGGCCGCGCCGGGAGGGCGGCTTTGAGGAGCTTGGTCGTCGGAGAGCCGGGATCCGTCGTGACGGTCGTGGTGGTGGTCTGGGTGGAGCAGCTTGTGGTGCGGGAGGTGGTGCGTGTCTCCTCGGTGGAAGTTGAGCATCGCGGCGGAGCTCCCTCGGCGTCCTCCATTGTTGGTCGGCGACGGAGAGAGGAAAGGAGAAGGGGAAAAGGAGTGAAGTCTGGTAAAGAATTGAAATGAGGATTAAGAAATGATTAATTAAAAGTAAGAAAAACAGTAGAAAGTGTCTTTTGCGTGTAATAGTGAATTTTTTTGGTATATTGGCCAACTGGAATCATGATAAGAAATGGGATTTTTGTAACTTTTAGGTTGGGAGTTAATATTATTAAAAACTAATTACGATGCTTGTTTTAAGAATATTAACCTTACTAATCTTAGGAATATTTTTAGTATACAAAATAAAATAATGAGTCTAATTGTTATTTTTTCTTCAAATTATTGACGATTTCATATGGTTTGATATCATATTAATAAGCGAGTAGCTGATATTATCATCTCAAAACTGGCACAAGGTCTTCTAATTTTATCATCAACAATAATTAAAAATTAATTTGGAGAGAAATGGATTGTTTCTCATCAATTCCCTATAATAAAAAAATCAAGAAAGAAAAACAGTCCTTTGATTTGCTCAATTAGTAATGGAAATCACGTTGTCGTCAAAGTAGGTGGTTGTTATTATTATCATATGAAAATTTGTAACTAAACAAGAACCAAACCCTAATTAAAAATAACCCATGAAAATCGAAGACCCGTTGTGGATGGAGAAACGGTCATTTCCTTTCTTTCTCAAATCTCAATATTGGAACTAATCCACAAGGAATTATATTAGAGCCATCAAGCAACGTAGAGATAGTGGTATTTGATGCTATGCTGCAAGCAAAGCTGGCTGCCTAATACCAACAAATCTCAGAATCCTAAGCACTAAATTAAAACTACAAAATATGGAATCGTTGGTAATCGTATAACTAAAATTTCTTTTGATGCAAAGTCATTTTGTTTCGACCTATATCCTTTAGTGACGGCGGACAGATATTGTGACGGTCCCGAGCAAAAATTGTTTAGCCGTGAAAACTGAAAACCCCTGTTTTTTTACTCTAAAGAAACAGAGTCTAGCCCAGTAGTATTGATAAAAACCATTCGATCAACATTTCGATTAATTTCAATCAATCGACATGAGTCGAATTAACATCCCCAAGACTAATTAGTTCAAACCCACGTAAGAAATCAAGCCAGAAAGTTGTATGTTATACCTGAGAGAAGCTCGCCGGCGGCGGAGTCCTATTGGGTTTGATCGTCTCTGTTCGTCACTAAAAATGGTACGGCGCCTCCTTAATCCTCTGCTTCTTCTTGCTCCGTGGTTCGGCAATGTGGGGAATGCTTTGGTGATATGAACAAGAAGAGAAATGGAAGGAGTAAGACAGAGTTGGGATGAGAGAACAGAGACTGGGAGAGAGAGAGAGAGAGAGAGAGAGAGAGAGGGAGAAGAGGAAGAGAACGGAGACAGAGATTTTTGGATTTTTGCAGATTTATATATATGGATCCGATTTGGTCTGGCTGGGTGACGAAAGCAATTAACTTGGTCGAGCCCAGTTCATTATTTTAATGTCAAAAACACTTGATCCAGACCATTTACAACTGTGGATTGTGAAATGGAGTGCCGGAGGAGAAACCAAACGAGTATATTGTAGAAAACAGAGAAAACAGGGGACAGAATGGGTGTTTCTTGGATGTGTACTTATTTATTAGCCCACTTTAATCTTTTCCCTTTTACATCACTACAAGCAAACTTGACCACTTCTCTTAACACCGAGGACGAAGTTTCATAAATGATGGAGTTAGTAGTATAGTGAAAAATGTAGAAATTATGTAGGGAAGTCCTCGAGCACGTTATCGTTGCAGTTGCACATGTGATCGAATCGATTATTGTAATTGGGTTTCGACAAATTTATTAGTATTAATTTGCTCGAAAGTTTAGGTAAGTTGAATCAATGAATCAGCCTCTATAATAGCGTCGTACACGTACCTATGATGAAAAATTAGATTGAATGGTAAAAGTAAAAACGACCAACAAATCATCTTCATCGCATATGGAAATTTAACTACAAAGAGCATATCTCTCTCAGTAAAAATTGACATGCATGAATTATGTTAGATTTTGACCATTCTATTTCACAAGTCTCATAGCAATGCCAAGTCCAACGTAGTAGTCAATTTTACTTACTATTCACATGTTGAGGAGATGAAACCGCCTAAAATTTGTGATTACGTGGCCTTTCGATTCTCAGAAGTTGTTGGCAGAGAAGAAGAAACGGTCTGATCTGCCAAACGCGTCCCAAGCGAGCTGAAGGCTGCTTGGTAAAGCCGTTACAGGCTTACAGCTAACTAACAGCTTAGAAGTTCATTCATTCCCGCCACGTTACGGGGGAAACAACGTTTCCATATAAAGCATTGTTTGGCAGTTGTCATTTGATCACAGCATGGAAAACGAAATCTCATTTTCCCCCGTTTTTTCGTGTATGAAATCCGCATCAATCAACTTCAACTGTAACTCTAGCAGAATCGTTCCTCAGAAGGGAATCAAAATGGCATGCTTAAAGAAGAAACAAAAGTTTTGACAGAAACTAAAAGGAGCTAAACTTGGATTGTATGAACAAAGTATCCTGCAATGAGAGGTAGTAATAAACAAAGGGCTAGTAGCAGTAGAACAAGGAATAATGATATCTACTCAACCAGCAAATCCCAAGAGAAAAACTTCTTAATTTCTCTACCACACAAAACCAGAACCCAGAAAGGAAGAAATAATCAAAACCAAACTATTCACAGCCAACAAACAAACAAGCAGCTGTACTGCTAGTTCACAAACAATCATATGCCTGCCTCTTAAAGCAAATCAAATGAAGCTAAGGAAGAAAGAACATGGTGGTGCAAAACCAATAAGTTTGGTGAGGTTAGCAACAATGGAGGGGCGAAAATGGGGTCAGAGTGATCATGCTTACTTCCGAAGGATGGGGGGCGGCGGTTTCACGAAGCTATGGCTGACAGATCTTCAAAAACTGTTTTCATGTCAGGCCTTTCTGCTGCAGATGCGACACATCTCAGTCCGATGCTTAACATCCGGTTGGCGACTCTGAGTGACTCCTCTCTATGAGGCGTGTCGATTAGCTGCTTATCAAAGCACTCGTTACCACGGCTCTCTTCAGCTAATACCCTTACCCAATCTGTCAAATCAACTACTCCGTGTTCCCATGGGACTATATCAGCAGAGCTTTTACCGGCTAGCAGCTCCAGCAGAATGACCCCAAATGCATACACATCACTGTTCAGCGAAGGGCAGGGTTTGCTCGAACTAGCAAACTCGGGTGGTCTGTATCCGAGAGCACCGGCGTTCAGAACTTGCTCTGCTGTTCCTGCTGATGTCATTATCCGGTGGAGGCCGTAGTCGGTCAGCATGGGTTCCAAGTGTGGAGGTTGTAATAAAATGTTTGTTGATTTGAGGTTGCCATGAGGTATTGCTTTCTGGTTGTGGATATAGCTCAAGCATCGACTGACACTAATCGCCACCCTCAGCCTTTCGGTTAGTGATAAAAATGGCAGCTTTCTTTGCTCTGCATCAGAAGCTACACCATGGGGGGAAAATGACATATTTTTCAGAAAAGGCTAACTCCAAAAACTTGAACAACGAAAAAGTGCAGAACTTTTTAATACAGTAAATGAGGAATGCGAACTTACTCTGAAGATAAAGACCTAAACTTTGTGCATCGAAGTAGCTATATATGATCATCCTCTCATGATCTTTCGGACCCCAATAGTAACCGACTAGAGGGACAAAATTCGGGTGTCTGATGCTCCCGAGTTTCTTAACTTCCCTCCCAAATTCCTTCCTTCCTTTGGATATCCCTTCCTTTAACCACTTCACAGCCAGCACATCACCAGAATCAAGTGTCGCTTTATACAGAGTTCCGTGGCAACTCCTGCCAATAACTTCTGCTGGGGCACGAGAAAGTTCCTCCGCTGTGAATGCTAATGAGCTATCGAATAAGTGAAGATCCCCTGCCAATTTATCAGGAGAGTACACCTTCAGCATACCAGGACTCTCAGGAGAAAGGTGGCCTTTAGAAGGGGACGGATGAGAAGAAGAACAAACAGAAATTGGAGAAGATAATCCTTCCTCTTTTCTGAAATGTTGAGGACTATCTCTTGGCTTCTCAAGGGTCGATGATGTGTCACTATTGTCATATGCAGTGGATTGCAGCTTGGATGTAGTAGGCAGCAATGAGGACCGACTTTGTACACCATGTTCATTTCTGACAATACCTTTTGAAGTTCCCATCCTAAGATTCTGCAACTGGGTCTTGGAATGGAAAGCTACGCACAAGACGAATAAAATTGCACATGTACCTACGATTCCAGCAATAATTGCAGCTTTGATACCCGGCTTTAGTCGTGATCGGTGACTTGGAAGAGTCACACCTTGAGAATCACCCTTTGGTGACATTGGAGAGATGGAAATTGACAACAAGGAGTTCCCTGGGAGAAAAGACGATTCAGGGAAGCGCTTCAAGTTGTCAGGAATAACACCAGACAGGTTGTTGGAAGAAATGTCAAGCCCTTTTAATCCATCTGGAAGTTCCGATGGGATGTCGCCATTCAGATCGTTATGAGAAAGGTTCAGATACAGCAACTTATGAAATTGACCAATTTCTGGAGGAATACCACCGTCTAATGAGTTACGAGACAGATCAAGAGAAGTCAAGCTGACATTACGGCTTCCTTGAACCAGTATTGGACCGGTCAGATTGTTGGATGACAGGTTGAGATCAGTTAACACATTTGAAGTAAACAAATCAGGGAGGATGGACCCAGAGAGAGAATTGAGGCTGAGGTCGATTTCTTTGAGCCCCGGGTATGTCCCCAGGACTGATGGGAGTTCACCATGTATTGAGTTGTTTGATATCTTGAGTGAAGTCAGGTTCGAGAATTGAGAGGTTTGATTCGGCAAAGTTCCTGTTAGTGAGTTTGAGCTCAGGTGAATGATCTCCACGTTGTTTCCCCAATTCTGGATTCTTGACACGTTCCCCGAGAACATGTTGTTGCTCAGGTCTATGATAGAACAATGTGCAACAACTGCAGGTAAGACACCTGAGAGGGAATTTGAAGACAGGTTAAGGTTCCTCAGAGTTGTAGAGCTAATGCCTCCTATTGTACCTGCCACGAGAAACATAACATGTCTGAGTTAAGAGGTAAGGAAGTGAATCACAGTCGATAAGATGTGATTGGTGTGATATGGAGAACCAAGTGGCATCTGGAGCAGATTATGCAACATATATAGCAGCAAAACTGAAATAAGGAAAGCGTAAAGACCCTACATCAACATTACATGAATTAAAATTCGATGGATAATACCATAAGTTTAGACATCTCTTAGCCCTACCACATATATTGTTACCGGTTCTATGGATATGTACATAGATTTACAGTTTCTGCAGAAGCATGTGATAAAGGAGATCTGCCTCACTTGCAAAGGGTAAATCAATCAATGGCCACTTTTATCAACTAGAGTACATTTGCAATTCAGGAAACAAAAGTACAGCAAGCAAGTTCTCAGTGCCCGCTCTGAATATAGTTGTCAGCATGTACATTGTAGTTATGACATAGGACCTAAGAGGACAAGGTTTCGGTTAAAATGTACCTTCTAGCTTATTATTGCTGAGATCCAGTTCAGACAGTAACATCGAACTTTGTTGCAAAAGACCTCCTGGTACAGTTCCTGAGAACTTATTTCCTCCAAGCCTAAGCCTTTGAAGAGAGATAATGAGTTTGAATGGAGGTATTGTACCAACCAACCCATTGTTGGTGGCATCAAAAACCTCCAGACTACCAAAAGATGGTATTCCATGAGCAAACAACTCACCATTTAAAGCATTATAGCTTATATTTAGATGTTGGATGGACGACACAAAACTAGGACTCCCGAGTTCCAAATCCAATGAACCCAAAAATTGATTGCTGCTCAAATCAACATGAACTAAGTTACCCAATTCATAGAACAGATTCATGATGTCCCCAGAGAGGCTATTACCATGCAGATCCAAGTACTTCAAAGCCTCAAGATTGCGGAAACCAGAAGGAACCATTCCTTCAAAGTTGTTGGCAGAAAGATTAAGCATTACCAGATTCTTCAAATTCACGATGTTAAAAGGAACAACACCTTCAAACAAATTGTTGGAGAGATCCAAGAACTGAAGGGACTGGAATGAGCCAACATCCGAGATAGTACCGCTGAAATGATTGCTAGAAATGGACAAGTTGCTCAGCATTTTAAGACCGGAGATCACCGGGAAACTGAAATTCCCACCTAAGCCCATTCCATTCAGATTGATGGAAGCCACACTACCATCATTGCACACAATTCCATACCAATCCTTGGGACAACCATTGGAAGCCACAGATGTAGAATCCCAGGACTCGAGCACTCTTCCCGATGAATCATCCACAATACCCTTCCGAAGCTCCAGGAGTGCATCGAAATCCGATTGGCTAAATGCAGTCACCACCAGTGAGAACAGTACCACCAAACAGACCACCTGCATTTTGCCTTCAGCACCACTATAAAGTACAAACCCTCACCCAGTCTTCCACCAGTTCCCCTATTGTTGTAGCAGAACTGCTACTTGAGAGGAAACCTTAAATAACCAACACAGCATCTGGAGGGACTACCACGTAAAGGAAATCAGACACCGCCAGCAGTCGCCTAAATCGTTTAGGGAAGAAATAGCAAGATTCAAGGTGTACATTTGGGGAGCTAAAAGATGGCAAACGCAGCAAACTTGGTTAATGTCTAGATGCTACAGCTCAAAAGACTTTCCAAAACCAGGCCTTTTTTTCTCCTGCTGGTAAGCACAGTGAAATCAATCCTAAACCAACCTCAAATAAACCAATGCAGAGAAAGGGCAAGAGGCATATACACACACGACTTCTTCACAAGACCTCACAGAACAGAGTATCTTTCAGCATCTGAAACAGCACAAAAAATGAATCGAACCCAAGTACAAACCAGTGGCGAGAAGACCAAAAAGCAGGTCAAACCCAAATCTTCCTCTATCTTCCAGCAATGCCCCGTAGAAAATTGAAGAACCTGAGCGAAGCTGGTGGACCAAAATGGCAAATGGAGATGGTGGGTTTGTAACTGGAAGAAAGGAAGTGGCAGTGGGAAGGGGCGGTAAAAAGGTGAAGCAGATAGCAAGTGAATTGAAGAGAAATTTTGGGGCGAGAGGAAAGTCTGGAGGAAGACGGGAGTGAACGGAAGGGGAAGCAGCCGAGTACAAATCAGAGAGAGGGAGAGAGTAAAGTGGGTGGAATGGTGGTGGGGTTGTACAAATTTTAATTGAATAGATTTTGGCTGATTGTGAGCACTGCGGGGAAAAAGAAAACACAGTGCAGTGCAATAACTCGGTTGGAAAATGACGACGGGAGCCGGCCTGGTTCGGTTCCCTTTTCCTCGCCGGTAAAACTGTGAAAGATTCACTCTCTGGCCTCTGCTCAGTAACAATATACAGTTTGATTGAGCAAATAGGAAAAAGATATCGTCTGAATAAGTTAGAGTAACCAATTCAGAATCTAAATCGAGCCATGGTTAACAATAAGAAATCACAATAGGTTATCAGGATTGAACCTGAAACTTCCGAATTGCGGTGGATTTAATATACTTAATTAATTAATAGCTCTCGTTCTCATACATATCGATATTTTTTTTTCGAAATATAAATACACAGTACGCTCATTATCAGCTCATACCAATTATCGAGTTGGAAAGAAGGATTGTACCCCCCTCTTGAAACAACATGTAGTTCGCCACTTCCCAAAATGAAAATACGATAGTAGAAGATTTTGATTAAATTCATACATGAATCAAAAAATTATGAGTATTTTCAACAATGATTCTGTAAACCGCACCAAATGTAACAGACAAATTACATGATCCATCACAATGAATTCTCCGATTAAAAAACACCTAGCGATAGACGAACAAATACAGAGTCGAAAGATCAATTAACCCTAATCAATATTTCCCAAAGTATACCACACTTTCCTCCAGGGGCGGACCCAGAGGGTTTTAGGGGTGTCCCCGGACACCCCTAAATTTCGGGAAAATGATTATCCAACCCCCGGTGGTAATTTACGTATAGACAAAAAAAAAATGATAGTGAGAGGGACACCCATGAAATTTGAAAAAATGATTATCCTACTGTCATTTGTGTATAAAAATATAAATGGTAGGTTGGGTAATTCAAATTTAGAACACTATTATTATCAATAAACTTAATTTCTGTTGAACTACAACTCATTTGTTGTTCGATTTTGAACAATGTGTAATAGTAAAAAGTCATTCTCTATCTCTAATTATTTCAATCTAAACTAATTTCAATCTACCCTTAATTTGTGTTGATTTTATAATTGTACGGCAAGTGTTGAAGAGTCTTTCAGCTTTGGGTTACATTAAGAACAAGTTTACAACTCGAATATGCGATAAGTTCCTGAATGATTGTCTAAAGACCACAACTTTCCACTTCACTAACCATCATTCATATCAAACTTCTCTACAAATTATGCTTCTTTCACTTCCCATGAGTACTTCATTTGTGCTTTAGCTGGTAGCTACGCCGACAGCGAAGAAGGGGGAATGAGAACAGAGATGAAGACAGTCGTGGAAGGGGCAGCGTAATGAATTCAAAACGATCCAGACAAAATACAGGCAATTAATTAACGTGATGACGGGAGTCTGGAGGGCTTTTTGTTTTACTGTGTGTTTTGTTCTGTGACCGTATACACACAATACGACGACGTCTCAGCTTTGGAGTTCTCTGTCAATCGGTTGCCGCCGGCGGAGAAGATAAAAAAGGGACTGACGGTGGCCAGATCGGAAACGAGCTGAATCGGCAAAACATGGCACGTGTGTGCTCCTGCCGATCGGAAAAAAGGTTTGGCCAGAAAGGATATTACCAGTGTAATTGGTTTGGGGCTTTGGGCTTATCACAGTGTAAGCCTCTGGGCTCGACAACTTTTGATGGGCTCTCATCTTCTTGTATCATATTAAATGGACCTAGGTGAGTCCAGCCTCTTCATTATGTTGGAGTTGGACATTTATGGCCCAAGTTACAAGTTTACGGCTTTCTTCGGCGTGATCCAGATGGACCAGATTCCAGATAGAAGCCCAAGGAGTCTTGGGAAAGTTCTCAGTATAGTACTCTAATCAATTGCTTGACAAAGTATACTCTAGAATGTATTTCCATCACATTGTGATTTTTAGGCTACGCAAAACGCCACACACACAGTCACAAAGACGTAGATTCAGATTTCAGAAAAACCCAATCCTCGCGCGCGAGAGTAACTAATTCATCCATTCAACATGTACATTTTTTTTTCTCCCTTATTCTAACAACCTAAGAAGTATCGGAACGATATAAAAGTACTAGAATTATTGATTCCCGTTAGAAACGTGCCGCGGCCTACAACAAGACGGAAAAACATTTCCATCAATCGTACCCACATTTCAGAAGTGATCGCATGCATAGATTACTAAAAAACTTTGATTAACTAAGTCCAAAAAAGGTCATCTATCAACCCATCATTATGACCACTAATCTTTTAGTATAACTTCAAGGACCACAAACACTTTGAACTAAAGTATGCTTTTGTGTTTTCAGATCTTGATGAACTCCAAACCCTTCTTATAATCTTATGTAGCTTAATGACACAGTCTGAGCCAGTACTGTAGCATGAGAAAGGAGAATCAACCCAAAACATGACAACTAATAATAATATAATTATAACTATTATGAATAGTTATAATTATTATTATTGTTTCATGATCAGTGGATGAAGTCGATTGCAAAAGAGTGGGAAGAAAGGTCGGCTGTAGGCTGCTACGTGGCTGCAACCCATTTAGTGATTTGCCACAAATTTTGGAGGCATTGCTTAGCTCTGTTGATCTGTCATAGTGTATATTAAGAGTAATTAATAGATATAATTAATTTATATTTATATATATGACAATTTTATTATAAAATTTATGTTTGTTCTGATTACAACTGTTGTGTTCATGAATGTCAAACAGTTCTATGTATTCTCTATATAGAAACAGTTTCTTGCAAGCTCATGCAAGTACATATATATGTAAAATAATCAGTTAACAGAAAATTGAAACATTAAAAAAAACAATATTAATCATGTTTGCTTAATCCTGATCTTGCTTGTGTTTGTTGCTCCTAATGTAGTTATGAGGGTATTTAGGTTTCGGAATTAAATAGGATGGATGTACGACAACAATGGTTTACATTAATATCTTTGTATCAGCAACATCAAACTATGTCACTTGAATATCGTTCCGTTTGAAGAGGTAGGTATAGCAACAATCTTCGTTGTGTTCGAAACTCCGGTTTAGTTATTTTCAAAAACTTGTCAATCTCGCTTTTGATATGTGTAGGAGCACCAACAACTAGTAGCCTCACTGGCACAACCTAAATAACGGATGATATGATCAGATAGACTTCCACAAAGAGAGGTCTGGTTAACATATCAGTGCTGACAAGTTGTTCAAACCTTCTAAGTAAAGTAGGAGTAGTATTCAAGGATGATGGAGGAAGTGGGCAATTTACGAGAACATTTAACACTAATAATAAAGATGACACAATCACTGGAACATAGTTATAGATTGTATACCAATGAGGCCTTAAACTTTTTGGACCGAACGTGAACTTAATAAATGTTCCACTATCCGAACAAGTTTTTCGGTGATCATGCACCTTATCAACACAACTGACAATCCATATTCCGGCCTATGGATTGTTCCCCATATCAATTGATGTATATTTCAAGAGTTACCAACTCATGGATATGATATTTTGCACAAAATCTTCACATAATTAACAACATTAAGGTGTGTTTTGTTGCACCTTCCCCCCCAAAAAAAGAGCATAGAGAGAGGGCAAGTCAACGGCTTCTGGATTAGAATAAAGTTGGCAATTTTTAATGATTGCAAATTTTCAAGAGCCAATTACAAAATAGAAGAGTCAAACTAGAGCTAGCTGTTAGATTCCTTATACCTTTTGCCCTTAAAACTGTAAATCTGTTATGAAGATACGCAGCAATATATATACTATTATAATTTTAATCAAGGATGTGATACAAAACTTGTGGCAACAATAGCCAATAAAAGAATAGGGCATGCAGTCTAATCCGATCCATTCTCGAGTTCAAGTTCCTGAACTTAAAATGTTCCCTCTTGTGTGTATTTTAAACATTGAAGAGCTAACTCAAAACGGTTGATCTAGTGGTACTTTAAGAGAATAAGATTCATCGTATTATATACCACAATAACACGTTTTCAGACAAAAAAATCATCCGAAAATAACAATCGAGGAGTTTAAACATGTAAATGAATAGCAACTTTATATGCTCAATTGGTGTGAAACAAAACATACAATTTCGTTTCGATAGAAAAGTTAACATACTTAAAGGTACATGTTAATCCAAACTACAGTATTCTAAAAAAAAAAACAACATAACAACGATTTCAACCCAAAATAAGGTAAGACAATTACATAAGGAGCAATGAATCCCCTTATCTAAGATCCTCATTTTGCCCAAACCCTTTCAGTCTCTCAGCATTCGATATTTTATGAACAAGAAGAATATAAATATAGTTGGATTAACGCTTCTATGCGTAGAGACCCCAAAGTTAAAAAATAAAAACAAATTTTTATCTTTATTTCTCTTCACGGATTTAGAATTTACTCGAAACCCTAAACTTTTAGAAGGTAACAATTGTTATTATTCTCGCATTATCACTGCTTACCAGTATAATTTTCTATATTTGTTTGAGCATATACAATCTGGTATCTGTCGATTCCTGTCCAACATTTACTCACAGGATTCATGCATGGGAACACAATTCAGCTAGCACTGACAGATGCTACATCTCCCAACATATACCCTTCTTCCATGGTTGTCCTCCCCCAAAAAAAAACCCTAGTTTTATATAGACAGAACACCAAAACTATCATTTTCTTGAGAGTTTATGCATGTTCATATGTTATTTATTCTTTTATATATATATATATATATATATATATATGATAACGATTAGTATACTTCTGGAGAATACTATATCCCAAACGATCTGATCGTTAGATATACTTTGTTAAACTTCGATAATTTGGCAAAATATCATCGTCAATTATTTCTATGATTACATTGATTTTTAGGCATGGGTTCAGAAAATTGGGGCATGAGTTTTATTTATTAGAGGCTGGAGTATAGTTTCATACCCCAAACTTGATATAATTCATAATCTGGATGGAAGTATGTCACTAGAAGTATTCGAGTATTGTATATCACAAGAGTATAGATCTGTATATAAATATATCCAAAAGAAAAATAATTGGTGTGTGCCCTTTAGAATTGAGCAGGAGGCAAGGGACAACTGTTGGCTGGCTAGCTTTGCCAACTTCTGAACCAACATTAGCTCCCAAATCCAGATCAGTAAAACTCAAGTAAACCCTAGCATGGCTATGTGGAACTAATTGTGTCCACACAAAACTAATAATTAATCAATGATTTAGGTTCATGTATGTTAACTAAGTTCATGGTGGATTAGGGTTCAGGTTCATGTATATATATATATATATATATATATATGTTCAAAGAGAAGATCTACAAATGCTTTGGATATGTTTTTTTTAACATGTTTATTTGTATTATTAGCAACATGCTTTCAGACATTTATTAAAGGAAAAAGAGCAAAATTTTGTAGAAAATGAAAGCAAACTAATTATTTGTTGTACTAATTTCTTCAACTTTTTTATATATGTTAGTGAGGTTGTTTATTCCATGCATTTATAGTTAATTGATAAAAGAGATAAGCCAAAATTTTCGTTCTTGAATATACATTATCATCTGGTGCTGAAGATTACTTAGAAGGCATGGCGTTTTTTGTCCTTATTTAATACATATGCTTGAAACTTAATTGGTTAGATTTTCACCTCGATTGCAAATTTGCAATCCACACAAGAAATTGACGATTAAGAATTTGGATTGGTGATTATATGAACAAATTCAACGTGGAATTGGATAATTGGAATTTGGAAGTGTATAAAGATCCAAAAATAGATTATGAAGAAACATATATATAGTTGGGGAAAATGGAAAGGTAAAAGAAGAATCATGTGATATGTTGAAATGTTGAAAAAAACAAGAAGAAGGGAAGGTGGGTGACGGTGGGAGGAAGAAAGTGAAAGTAATGGAGTTATGAATAAACTATGGTAATCCCTCACATGCTCTATACTCAAAAGCCCTAAAAAAAACTCAATAAACTACTTAGAAAAACACCATAGGAAAAGGGTCGTCCCTGTTATTTTGATAAATCACATTTCACCTCCAACACTATCTGAATTGGGTAGTGATGAGGTCTAAAAGAGTGTATCGACACGAAAAGTATTAGCGAGGTAGTTTACGTCTCCAAACAATCATATAGAAGTTGGGTATGCTAGTGACACATGCGTCACGACTATCAACAAGGCGAAAATCCTTTGAAAAATCGACCCTAATGGGTGTAGAGGTTGTGCGCTATAACTACCGTATTGTTTGTATGTATTGCCCCGATCATGATGTATACAGCAGTACTACGTATGTGTTTATTGTTGTCATGTGGATGCATCTTTAGAGTGTGATACCCGTGGTATGGATAAGTTGCATCATGATTAATGAAAGGGTCAATCTATATAATTGTATACCTCCATAAAACCCAACTGTCTGAAGAAATAGTTAAGAGACTCAATCTAATTAGACCTATTCTTGTCTTGGTTGTCTGAGTTGGATCTCTCGTATCGTACGTCCCTAAAATGAAAATGCATGAGATTGAATGATACGCACAGACTCATTATCATATATTGTAGAAGAGATTTTAACATTAATTCTTTTTTTTTAATAAGGGTGATATATGTTTCATTTTTGTATTTAAGGTACTACTTAAACGATTTGAACCTGGGACCTCCAGGTTCTAAGCTGGTAGTATTAACATTAATTCTTAAACAATCAATTTTTCTACAGATCAAACTGAAATAATACATAAGTTACTTCTCATTTATAAGTTTTTTTTAATACTTGAATGAAACATCCAAATGATCGAATCACTATATTTACCTGCACACAATAGTAGAAGAATAGACGAGTACCAATAAGGCAATAAGTAGCGAGGACAGACTCATTCTCTATACCAAACTATAGGTACTTTGGAGGAAACTATTGAAAAATGGATGGATTTAGATGAACTTCTCCAAACAAGTTGAGGGAATCCTAAAGTTTGCAAGTCCCTATCCAACTCCAAGAATCCACCCACCAATTATTAAATCTAGGATGAAATATTATTAATATTGTGGACAAAAGTTATATCTTCCACTTTCTCTCATTTATTCCTGGAATAAATAAATACATATTTAATCATCAGAATTCATTTTTAAAAAAGGATAAAATATCAAATTGTTGAGAGGATAAGTCATAAGTTACAGATATTTGCACCCAACTCCTTTTCACCTTTTTTTTTTTTGGTTAGATGGAGCATAGTGCCAAACACTTCCTTCGACAATTCGAGAGAGAGAGAGAGAGAGAGAAGTGACACCTAATGCACAGATTGATCCCAAAGTAATGCATCGCCATCACCAAAGAAGAAGTTGAGGGTAACACCCTGTTTGGGAAAGGGGTGAAAGTTTGAAAAGGAAAGATAATGAAATTAAAAGGGAGAGGAGAACAGAAGGCTGAAAGGGAAATCATCCACATCTCCTTAATACAGAAAGCCAGGCATAAGAAAAGTCAATTAAACCTGAGATATATATATAATCAATAGTATCGTAGTTGAGGTGGTTGATATGCTAGACTCGGAAAACATCTTAATGTTTTGAGTTAGTGATAATTTCGTTTTGTGAGGAAATATAACTTCATTGGTTAGTAATTGCTCCGATTGTAAAGAGAAAGTGATGTTGTAACGAAAGTAACGCTAGAAATATCCAACCGGTTTGTGTCGCGTGGTGGACATGCTAACCATCTCAACCTGGCGACCCCCAACTTATCATGCATGATGTGGAGTGACGACACGTCGACCTGACTTCACCAACCAACCTGACAGAGCGATATCTGTCCATTAAACTATCTCATTCAATGCTTTCTTTATCAAATTTATCTTTCTATCTTCTTCTTGACGTGACAACCCCAACTTAACTAATATGCATGGTGTCTCAACACGTCGACCTGACTTCAACAACCAATCTGACAGAGCGATATCCGTCTAATTAAAGTATCAAAATCAATGCCCATTGTTGTATCTTTCCTCTGCGAAATGAAACTCGGTCATATTAACCAACCCCCTTTTTTTTTTTATCTTTTTACTATTTCAACCTTTTTCTCATTGGTCATGTACAAAATAGAATGACTTGAAAGGGAGACAAAGAGATCTAGAAAAAGAACTAGATTAGATAGGAGTAGCTAAACACCAACAGATATCCCATTCCATTCCAGAGCTCTCTCTCTAGGAAGCCGTCTTTGAATATTTCTTCACTTCTCAGCCTCCCCAATTATTAAAAAGCTATTGAGTAGAACACTGAAAACGAAGTTAAGAAACGAATAAAGGTGGCTTGGTCAACTTCACATCTCCTATACTCGTGCAAAATCATGATGTGCTTTGTGGCTGAAGAAACTGAAATTGCTGCTCTATGTACTACCCCCTTCCAACAACATCCCAGAGCACACTTAAGCGATCGGATTCGATTGGGGTTTCGCTTTATCTGACTCGTGCGGTGAATGAATCATGATCCGCTTGGAAAGCAATGCTCTGCCCCCGAGCTACGATTGAGGATGAAACACACACTACTACGTACTTTGAGTCCTCAAATCGATACTAAGGAAAGTGAGAAACACAATTATAAGATCAAATATGGACTACCCAAGAGTCTAAGAAAGGATGTAGAGAAAATGTAGATGAACTACCCACAAAGTGTATTTATTGTAGATAGTAGAAAGGAAAGCTCACATGGGATGTGGGTATTAGGGTTACGACAAAGTCTTCTTGACAAATTTCGGGAACAAGACAACACTTGGAACAAGGCACAACATGGACCATTCTCCTCCTCAATTTCTTACATTACCGGACAAAATGGTCATTTAATACATAAAATCATCACAACCCAACAAAATGTAAAACAAAACAAAAAAAAATCAGAAAACAACCAAACCCATTAAAAAAGGGTAACTTATGGTTGCAGAGCAGACAGTAAAAAAACCCATAAAAATAACATAAGTTACAATCCAAGTAAGAAAAGGACTTATTTATTTCACACTCTGGAATTACTGTGTTCATTAGGTTCATATTTGATTCTTATTATTATATGATAGAATATATAATCATAGACACACAAGCTCCAAGGGTAAAAAGAAACTCAAACGGGGGAGAATCAATCACCAACATTTTAACCTTTTTTATTTATCTCCTCCCCCACGTCTAGTTTTTTTTTTTTCACCCTCTCCCCCATTGCTTGCTGCTGTGCTGTGTGGCCATTTACCCTAAATTTCTAGGCCCTAATGGTAAAAAAAAAGACACAAAAGAACTTACTGACTGACATCACAAAACACTGAACTATATAGTAAAAAAAACCCAGAAGAACAAAATGTACTTCTCCTCCATCCTCCTCCCCCTTTGCTTGAGATTCTTTACTGGAACCAGATCGACGAGACGTTCTGCTGTTGCGGCAGCTGATGATTGTCCACTCCCAGCCCTTGTAGATCGATGTCGAATGGCGAAGCAAACATCAGGTTGAAGTTGTTGTTGTTGCTGCTGCTGTTGTTGATGTTGTGGTTGTTGCTGCTGAGGCCCATGTTGGTGGACTGGATTTGATCGAAGCTGGTTGGGTTGGTGTCGAATGGAGAGCTGACCGGCTTGAACCGGTCGAGGAACTGGCTGCTGGTCTCCTGTGTGAAGATGGATTGCTGATTGCTGCTGTTGATGCTGATGTTGTTGTTTTGGAAGTTGGAATCGACGAACATGTTCTGGTGGAAGTAATTCTCAGCAGGCTGATGATGGATTTTCTGCTGGTGCTGCTGGTGCTGGAACAGACCGTTGATGGTAACTACACTGTTTGCCGAGCTAGTGGTGGGGGTGGTTCTGCTGCAGCTGCTGGTCTGAGTGCCGCTGGTATCGTAGTTCGACATCATGTCGCTGATCAGCTTCTGCCCGTCTTCAGGAACCCCTGTCAGATCGATTGGGGCTGCTGCAGTAGACACCGAGGTCACAGCAGGAGACAGGATTGGTTTGGCTTTCTGCTGTTGAGGGAAGATCACCGGCTTCACATCGTCGATATGGAAGTTCGAGCTGGTGTAACCGAGCTTGTAAGGGCAGGCCAGCTGATGGTTGTCCCTGGAGATCCGATCACAGAACCCTAGCCTCATCTGGCTGTAAGGACACTGCACGAATTCACAAGTGTACAGCTTCTGGTCCATCATCATGTTACCACCAATCTCGCCACCTGCAGGTTGCTTCCTCTTCAAGATACTGCTGCCAGTCATAACCTCACCCTTGATCCCCGGGAAACCCCCAAATCCAGCCAACCCTTGAGGCTTGATCTCGCGAACATCGAAGCTCGACTCATCGTCCCCTCCTTCCACATCATACTCATTGCAGTCATTGATCACCAGGGAACCACTCCCTCCTCCACCGTTGGAGGACAAGGGCGGGCAGAAGTCCGGATAAAGCTCCCGAGCCAGCTTCTCCTCCTCGTTGATGATGGCGAGCCACGTGGCGCTCTCCTTCGCCGTCATCTTGTCCTGCAGGCACTTGGACTGTCGGACCAGCTTCCTGATCTTGTTGATGTCAGGGGACATGTGCTTGATCACAGCGGTCAAAACACCGACCTTCCACGCCTTCTTCAAATCGTGAGGCTTCTTGTACGGCGGGGTCGAGCCTTGCTCTTTAGGAAGCCCCAACTGCGGCCACCATTCCTCGTTGCCGCTCGGCCACCACGGCGGCGGGACGCCCTTCTCGAGTGGGAACCGACGCTGCGGCGGATCGCAGTGCTGCATCAGGGCAGAGAGCAAGGACCCCAGAGTGGTGTCCTGAAGCTCCTGCAGAGTGTGGGGAGTCGGCCCCATGGAATTCGAACCGTCGTTTCTTCCGGGGACCGAATTGTCGGCCTGGTACTTGGCGATTGCGGCCGGGCCGTTTCGGTCGAACCGGACTTTGTCCTTCCACCATTCCCTCAGATTGTCCGAAGCTCCGGTCACCGGCTTGCCCTTCTCCGGGATGATTCCGTAGACGAAGCCCTGGGCCTTGCAGACCTCCATCATCTTCAGCATGTATTTCAGGATTCCGTCTTGAGCTCGGGACATTTTTTTCCGGCGAGCTTGCTCCTGGGACTGCCGCTGCTTGGCCACGTCGATTCCTTCCTTGGTCTTGCTCTGTTCTTTCAGCTTCTTCAGGCGCATCTTGTCCCTCCACATGCGGCGCTCCAGCTCGTCCACGTCGATCTCATCCTCGTCGCTGTAATCGTCGTCCGCGTTCGGATCTGTGTCGATTTGTGGGGCGACCAGATCTTCCGCGGTGGCGGCGGCGCCGCCCATGTAAGGCGCGGCGGAGAAAAACTCCATGTCGCTGCAGAATCCCAAGTCCTCAATGGTCATCATCTTGTTCTTTCCAATCAGGTGATTAATTTTCTTCAAACTGAAATTCACGAGAAACCCATCACCAACAAGTCAATTATTGACTGATTATAGCTAGATCCATAAAAGGAACAAATACAAAGATTGAGCCACAGATCGAAGCAAAACACAGAGTTTATGGAAAGGAAGGTTCATGTCAAATTGAATGAAATCTCAAAACGTAAGGCAGCAAGAAGGACGAAATCCAGAACAAAGCAAGAAGATCAATGGATCTACAGAACCCAATTGAAATTTCCTCCACAAAACAACGAACTAATCCAAACAATTCAAAGTCAAAGCAACAAAAACAGAGATTAAATAAACAATCTACAAGAAGAAGTAGCTGATCAGAGGAGGAACAGAGAAGAAGCAGAGAGATGGAAAAGCCAAAAAGAATCATACCAGAGAGAGAAGAGGTAGGCAGGTCCACGACTATTCTTCCTTTCGGTAACTCAGTTTTTCTTCAGCCGTCAACACAGAAACGAAAGGGGGGATGGATACGAAATGAAATGAAGAAGAGAGGAAACAGGTGAAAAAGAAAGACAAATATAAAAACCCAGTACTAACTATTAATAAAAAACACTCCGATGAAACTTTATCTGCTCTGCTCTGTTCTTTCTATCTCCTCTCCGGATTTTTTTGGCTGAAAGCGATGATTATGGTGGGGGTGGAAATGGATGAGAAGAAGAAAGAAAGAGAGAGATGGAGAGAAATGAAAGGGGTTATTGGGTAGTGTGGATTTGAAGAGTGGTGGTGGCGATGGCGGTGGTGGGCTTTTTGGGGAAAGGGGAGAGAGAGAAAAGAAAGGAAAATTTTTTGGGGAGGAAGAACCTTTGTAGTCGGGATGGTGGTGGTGGGGAAGAAGAAATATTAGTGCTGAAGCTGTTGCTGTTAATGGTGGCAAAATAAAACAAAAAAAAAAGTCTCAAACTTTCAAGCAATTAAAATAATGGGCAAGCAAAAGCCAGCCTACCCAAAAAGCCAGGGGGAAATCACTGCAACAGCAACCCAAAAACTATATATTTTTTTTCCTTTATAAAAACAGAGCATCCATGGAAGGAAGGAGAGAGGAAGAAGAAGAAGAAAGGTGAGGTAAGGTAAAACTGATGAATAATCCAAACCAAACCCAATATGCAAAAATGAAATATGAAAAGAAAAGGTGAAAGCTTTTTGGATTTTGGAGGGATGGGATAAGCTGTTTCTATCTCACTTCCATGGCGGCCCTCAGGGTTTTATATTGGGGATGGTGACGACAGAAATGGACAGTGTGAGGAAGGAAGACGATAAGCTCCAAAACGAGTTTTGGTAAAAATATGAAATTGAAAAAAAGGGGCTTATTATGGGGGTTTATTAATGTTGTCATTAAGGCTAAAACGAGAAGGGTAATGAATGAGGATGGGAAATTGGCCGTGTGTGGAGGTTTCCTTTCCTTTCATTTGCTGCAACATTAATTTTGTTCCCACTAGTATTTGGATAAACAAATCTCCGTGTGATATGATTTGGTTTTTCTCAAATTTCGTTGCCATATTTATGGATTTGGTATGAGAATTGTTATTAGTATGTTTCCTTTTGCGGGTTTTTGAAGTATCATGATAGTCAAGTGTTTGTACGATTTTCGATTGATCGACGTTCATAGCAACATGAGCATATCGATAAAGAAAAGTAGAACTATCGATGTCACTACCATCTGGGTTAAATAATTATGAGTGTGAATTGTTTTATGAACGTACGATGTTGTTATGTTATGTTCGTAGCGAGTTAATTAGTATCGAGACACTTGTTATCTTTAGTTTCCTATTGTTTTAGATATTAGGAGGTGTTCGAGTACAATAGTTGAATATTTGTGAGTTTATGTGGCTTAGAGTTAGCGCTTCATGTATTTGGGAATGGTAATAACGAGGGTGATCGATGAAAACAAAGAAAACAGTAAGCGTTATTGGGGGGAAACTTAGGGCTTGTTCCCACTATTATTTTGGCAAGCAATTACGTACGGGGATACTTGTTATGTTTTATTTTTCTATTTGTGTTAGATGTTTATCGGGTGTTCAGCCAAAATAGTGAAATGTTTGTGATTTTATGCGGCTTGGGGTCGATACCTCATACAATTTGGAAAGGAATAATGAGATGATCGACGAAACCAAAGAAAGTAGCCAGTGTAATCGGCGAAAAGAAACTTAGGGTTTGTTTAGGGACAATTATTTTTGGTGAGCAAGTACTATATAAAATCGTTTCTACCATGTCTATAGAGGATTAATTTCGCGTCGAGATTCTTATCTACAACTTGTTTTCGTGAGTGTTTTGTTAGCATCCGAGTATTGTAAATCAGGGGTCTACATAAGTTCATGTGCTTTAGTTCACACTTCGTAACTTCAAAAGATGGTAATAGTGATAAGATCGATGAAAACAAACTAAACGATGAATTATTAATAAGTTTCTAATTTTGTTTTTATTATCATAGTACATTAAGTTGTATGCATATTGGTTACATATACCGATCCATATATTATCCATCATGTCAAATTAACTAGTCCAAGAGAAGAGGTTGTGGTTTCTACTGTGTCAAATGTTTATTAGTGTTCAAGTAACTATATGGAAATGTTTGTATGAATTCATATGGTTTTGAGCTAACACTTCCATAACGAGATGATCGATAAAACAAAGAAAGCATCAAAATTGTTACAAACCACAAGGTGATTTTTGGTCATGATTTTATGTATACTAGTTTGTAAAAGATTAATATTGTCTTCATACTATAAATAGCGAATTAATTGATGTCGACATTCTATTATTTCATTTTCTTTTTGTGTTTGATGTTTATTGGGTGTTCAAGGATCATAATTGAATGTTTTGAAGAGTTAACACGGCTTCGAGTTAATACTTCATACCATCATAAACATCAATTGCAAAATGATTGATTTAAAACACGGTAAACGTTAATGAAAAAAAAAACTCAAAGTGGAGATTAATTTTGTTCCCGCTACAATTTGGTATATGATTTTGTGTATCATAATGCATTAATTTTAAGTAGTTTAATAACTTATATGGTCCAAATTAAATCAAATTTCAGGCATGCGAATATACATTGAAAACGTTGAAGAGTGTTTTTGCCGTGTTCCGTGGATGATGGGTAAGCCAACATCATTACACACGTCCTTTTTTAGCAACCTAAAAGCAGGTTGGAACTTGTAGTAACTTAAAATGGTAAACCTAACTTTGGGTAGTAAACTGATTGGTTGAACCGGTGGTTGAGATAGGTTTGTCTGTCATTTTTTATTTATTTTTATTTTTATCCAAGGTGATTTAATTTATAACTGTTACTAAAAAGCAAAATACTTAGTCAATATGACTAGGGGGTTAGAATATGATTTTTGGAATATCAGCAGATCGAGTTCGAATTATTAGCGGACAATATGAAGGTTTTCGGTACTGTGAGGAGAATGGGGAAGTACACCATGTGACATCGCCGAAGTTGACTTGGTACTCCGAATGTATTCCCCCCGCGGCATGTTACCTAAAGAGGGTCTCAGAGGGGAAGGAAAAGTCGACTATGTAACCAGTGAAGGGAGTAGAGACGGTTTACCGCTAACCAAAATCTTGTTTACAAAGATAAATAGTAATTTCTGTGTTTCGAATATCAGAACCGGTCTCTCGAACCGTGATCTTCTGGCTCGGAGTCCTTGCAGGCTGAACTTCAGGTTTACTATTGAAACCTGAAAACCTGGCGAATGTCTAGCTAGGGGGAGGCACCTGTCCTCCTTCCTCTTCATCCTCTTAACGGATTTAGAAATGACAGATATTTCACGGGGAAAGAAATTGGAGATAGTTAGCACAAATGAGGGAATGACGTCCTGAAATGGATCACCTATTGGGCTATGGTCCATTTTTTCTACACAGATGATGAACGGGTGACGTTTTCCTACCCAGAAATGGTTTCTATCACATAACCTTCCAGCAAGACCCTTTATACCAGGGACCTCTCGATCCATCCAAATAACGCAAATTCCTGACGAATGAAAAATCTCAATTATCGCAGATTCATTCGTCTCTTTTACCTCATTTGATGTTTGATTGTAAGGCACAAATTCCCATCTGCATGGCGGAAAACAGGGAAATTCATATCAGTGGGCCTGGTTTCCAACCTGTTCTTGAGTCATAACCAGGCAGCTCTCGGGATGGACCGGTTCTTTTCTCCACGGAGAGGACTGTAATGAATGTTCAGCAGTGCAAAGTTCCATAACTGATAAAGAAAGCTTCCTGCTTTGAATCTCTCTAGTCTTTGAATAGGGAAAGGTAATTGAAGGGTTAAAAATTGGAGCTCCTCTGGTTTCTAACAAAAGGGAAATGAAAAAGCTCATTCCTTCTGATGGGAGAACTTGATCAGGAGGGAGGGCAGAGTTTTTCACCTCCTCCCTCCTCAGTCGAACATATTGGGAAGTGGTCTCACTGCCATGAAAGCATCCACCATCTGGAAACAGAAATGTGATGTGGGCAATCAAACAAAAAAGTTGAAACCAAGTTTTAGGGAGATAGGAGGGTAGTTGAGGGGAGTGTGGAACTTACTTCTTCTGTGACAGCAGCTCGTGCTGCACGATGTCTATCTACCACTTCTGTCAGGACATCAGCAAGCCGCTTCTTCACCTCCCCAGTCAACATCCGTCCAGCGCCATATTCCTGGGCAGTAGGTACGGTAAGGAAACATGATTTCATTTTCAAGATGGAGAAGCTGGTAGGTTGTGCCGAATCAAAAGGGAAAGAGGTCTTACTGTCTTAATGTGCTCCAGCTCGGCATCATCTTCCAAGAAGAAACTCAGGTACTTCACTGGTATGTCCACCTGAAAGTTTGAGGACCAAACTATTATTAGTCATTGCTTAAGAGATTGTTGTTCGAGCAAAGACTAGTTTGATGTTTGAATCGGTTCTAGAGTTATTTATATATGTAATAACCAAGATAGAGTACCTCAAGATTGGCACCAAGTTCTCTGTGCTTCTCTACGGAGTCTTGTCCACCAGAGAATGCGTACTTATTGATCTGTCACCATCAACATATAATCAAAGGTTACCATTACCTTCATTTCACACAATGACAACAAATATGAAACATCATCATAGGCTACAATTAGTTACGTATCAAACAGAGGAGCAGGAAACAAAAATTATTATACTTTAGTAAGTTTATTATCCATTAGGCATACAAATGAAGTTACTGTAAGAATACCAGGTCATTAGTAAACCAAGCAAATTAACTGAGAAAAGGATCTTCTACCAAAAGAAGAAACTCAGAAATGGTAGAAGATAAACTTAGTTGCATATGTTGGAAGAAGGGGAAAAAAGAATCATATGCAGAATCCAGAACCTTACCTTATTTTTAATGACCTTGGCCGAATCTGTCACATATATAGCAGAATTTGGATCACTGGCAGACATTTTTCCTGTTTCACCCTACACATCATATTTACAATCAACAGTGCTGATTGTTAGTGCTGCAATCAGCTGCTAAAGAAGACACCAAAATTTTATAGAAACGAATAAAATCCATAAAAGAACTATGTTCATGCCAACAAAGAAACTGATTGAGCTGGCTGAAGTATATTATTCGAGGTCTGGTGGCAAATCTCTCGCAATGAAATCAAACAAGGTTACAGCATGGGGAATATGAGTTACACCAAGAACTTACTGGTAATAGTTCCTAGGGAATCCAATTCATCATAATTTAAAGTGATGCACTCATGGTATAATTTATTTTTCCCAAAATAAGAGGGGTATCATATGTTTGAAGTTTGAATACCAAGTTACCTGCAGGGCTGGGAAAAAAGACGACTCAATAAGAGAAGGTTTATGATATCCTAGTCTTGGTGCAACATCTCGGGTCATTCTGAAATATGGATCCTGTAATATTTAACAAGAGAGTAAAAGAGTTAAGAGGATATAAATGGCTATAAAAAGATGATTAGTTTCTTCTTATTTAAACGGTCGCACTTTTCTAAATAAAAAAGTAACAGAAAAATGAAACTAAATAGGGCCTGACCTGATCGATAGCGCAGGGAATCAAGCAACGGAGATCATCTTTCCCAGAGAACAAGTGTGGGAATGAACTAGGAAACGATGGTGCTGCCTGTACTACAGCAAAAGCGAAGTCTGTTTATGGTGGACACAAAGGACGGAACTGGAGAACATAGATCCATTAAACAAAAATCCAATCGCAATGCACGTCAAGTTTATGGTGGTAATCAGTAATAAAGAACTGACCTGAATAGGCGGAAAACCAACTTTACCAATGTGATCTTCACCACTGAAACCGAATATGCCGACAACCTGTATATCAGGGGAAATGTTGATATAATTGCCAAAGTAGCTATTCCACCAGAAGTATAGAACAGGGAAAAAAGCTTCAAGGAAACTAACCTTATTGTATGTGACACACTTTGCAATCCTCACCATGTTCTTGTAAAAGGATCTGTTGATATGATTCTCATGTCAAATTATAGTTCTGAAGATAATGATACACTAATATACGCAACATAATTCATAAGATCTATGTCCATACATGCTCAAATCACATCTTTGATAAAACAAAACCATCTCATAGTCATTCAACTGGCTTCTTACCCGCCAACATAATCAAAGTCTGAAAAGATGAATGTCTTTGTGATGTCAAAACCACATGCAATAATGTCTTTCGCATTTTCACGGGCAAGTCTCTGGCACTCCTCAACTGAGAGGTTTTTCCACATGCATTTCTCATCATCAGTAAGTTGAATAACAAGTGGCACCTTGAAGGCATCTTGCAAATACCTGCAAGCATGGTGATAACAGATTAACTGATAAATCTAGTTTACGTAGAAATCTCAATCTACAGACTTCCAGCAACATATCAGTAATGCTAGCAAACATATAAGATGATCTCACTTGGTAAACATAAAGGGAACAAGATGACCAAGATGCAAAGCTTCAGAGGATGGGCCTCTTCCAGTATAGAGGTAGAACTTTTTCCCTTTCTCATATGCATTAAGAATCTCATCAAAATCCCTATGGGCGAAGAAAACTCCCCGGCGGAGGAAGACATGAGGAGGTCTGCCAGTTAGTCGTTGGACACGGTCCACTAATGGCTCTTCAAGCCTTTGGCAACCAAATTTGTCTATAAGCTTATCATAGTCGATCTTTCCTCCATCTTTAGCCGTTACCTCCCATGGATTCACCACCTGATCCTGCTCTTCTTCATGCTTATCCTCTCCCTTCTCCATCTTCCCTACTATCACTTTGCACTCTCTCCTAAACCCTGAAGGGGAAACCACAGGAACTCGATTCAGTTCCAATGGCAAAATAATTAAGCACACATGCCTTTCCAATCACACTGCATTCAATCGCAATTTGTAAGAGCCCTAACCAAGTTATCACATCAAAGTTCAAAGCTTTCAGACTGAAGAGAGCGAGAAGCCGAGAAGGGCACTGTTGAACTACCTGGGAGAGCAGCTTGCTACAAGTAATTCAGCTGAGTGATAAAAAAATAATTTCCAAATCACCACGCTTGAATAGTTGAATTCATTGAAGATTATCGATTCATTCGAATTCCAACCAATTAGATCGCATTCGAGGAGAAAAATCATAGCTTTTAATTGCATTGAGACTTTGCAGCGATGGGGAACCTTCAAACTATGGATAACAGTACTGTCTTTTTGAACTGTCAATTACCTGGAACTAGGATTCCCTTGGCCGGACTGCAGTTGCCGCCTTGCGGAAGCCACCCAACCGGCAGGATAGGCAGAGAGTCAGAGGGCTTGAGGGAGAACCGCCGCCGCCGTCGACAAGAGCCCGCAACGAAGAGGGCTTGGTCTTTGCTCTTTTAGTCTTTAGGTAACCCGCGCGGAAAATGGAAAAACGGGAATAAGAACACGCTGAAACGTTTTTTTTTTTTTTGTAGCAACCCAAAATCGAAACACGAGAAAGAAAAGTGACTAGATATCGCAGTATTTATTATGTGAGAAAGACATGTACTTGAGAGTTCAATGCCGGCGGCTGTCTACATGGAGTTGCAGACTTGCAGATCTGCTAGGTTGTTTTGTTTGCAATCTTACACAAGGATCAATTCCCAATTTACACACTGTTCGTTTGGAGAAATGACCGACGCCGCCGCAAGGAAAGCATGTTATACAGTTCAAGATGGTGCAGCTTAGGGTAAATTATGTTCATTTCATTACCCATCTTCTCATCATCAACGATAGCTAACGGTCATTAGAGTTGCCGGAGTACATCAATCTTATGCTATCGAACTAACATTGCTTGTAACTTCACTTTCCTTGTTCAGAGATCATATTACTGACTACAACAACTACGTGACGAGTAACGGATGGCGCCGCCAGATTAAGCCTAGTTACAGAAAGCTTTTACGCTGCAGGAGTTCCATAACAGATATACCAGAATTGACTCGGCTGACTGTTTCGTCCAGCCCCAACAGAGGAACCTGATTAGTCCCCCCAACTGTATGCAACTCCTAAAGATGGCATTATCTGCATTCTTGGACAGAGAGCGGTCAAAGGGCTTAAAGAGCATCGTCTTGTGTCCTGGAAGCTGAATCATTACCGAATATGTTTCGACTCGAAAAAATGTGAGGTTCGCTGAGACAGCTAATAAGAGATCACCACAGCCACTTCCGCCTCTCTCTTTTTTCTCTGGTCTTTTTCTACTCCTGCTTCTATTCACCTCAGAACTATCAGAAGCGTTACTCCCCTGCAGATAGTCCCCAAAAACCAGCTTATAGATCAGCAACCCAGAAAATAAACATACACATCCCAAATTGTGGAGCAATGTAACGTAATGTAGTAATGAACTTGCTTATTTCTAATACTTTTATAATGAAATGGTCACACAGAGTGCAGGGACCTCGGAGAATATAAGGTAACAGAAGTGTTTAGTTTATTCAAAAGTTTGCCTAAAACTGGCTCTAGTGTTCCTTACAGAAGGTGCTCGACTGTGACAGGTTTGGAGAATATAGTGCAGTTGAAATTAGAAGGATCGTGATTTCTAGCAGCAGCGGTTAGTCACTCAAAAGTGAATCCATAACTGCAATAAACTTCCACCCTGTGATTGATTCAGACCCTATAAGAAGACAAGCCATAGACAGCTCAATTCCTTAGAGACTTCAACTTATTCAACCTAGAACTCGAGGTGGGACCTGTAGTTGTGAAAAGCTAGTTGAGATCAAACAAGATAACAATCCTTACCTTGCTCACAGAAGCCGCTTGGTTTATGTTTTTCTTTTTCAGGCATGACAGCGGGTTCGGCCCCTACAAAATTGTATGAGAAACAAATGAGCATCAAGATAATATTAACAGAAACAGAAAGCATATTTATTAATGATGTGACATGTAGCAATCGCAATCTGATGATGTCTTAAATAACATTAAGCAAGCCGAACTATTATTGCTATCAGTATCATGAAAGTCACAGCTCTGCAGTTTTTTCTGAATCGCAAAAGTTGATAGTGCAAAAGCAAGATTTCCCTCAACAATCCAAGTCACTTGCCCTAGCAGGGCTAAAGAAGTTATGGACTAAACTAGTACAGCACGTATAAAGTATGCTAAACAGGCAGCAGGGGAAAAGCTAAATGACTTTTTATCAGCTTTCAAGCAAGCAAGCATAGCTAACGCAATGGGGACAGGCCAACATCATATAAAGATAGCTGGATTCAACAATATCGGACTCAGGGGAAACCATAAGAACTGCAGACCTACGCAGGAGTTTATACATCCATTATCAACAACCGAACGATGATAGTGATGAAGAAAGTAAGCATGGTTTAAGGAATGAAAAGAATGTTGCCATCCAGCTTGAGGCAAGTAAAAACGGCAGCAAATAGAGAGGCGAAACATCACCTTGGCTCTCTTTCTCTTAAATTGAGGTCTATCTTTGACATTTAATCCTTTATTCCGGACGTCATGCTTTGGACCTTCAAGTTCATCTGCAGAAGCTACTTCTGCAGTTTCCAAGATGTGACCAGTCTCCTTTATTAAAGCCTCACGCTCTTGATCTGACAACTTAGAGCGACGTGCTTCAGAACTTTTGGCAAACTCATGCTGAAATGTTGATGGCTGCTCAAGGAAGAGTGCATTTCTCAGACCATAAACCAGCGGGACACCTGGTACCTGGAGATTATAATAATGTACACTGAGAAGCAATGTCTCCACCAAATTTCAATACCTTCAACAAAAAGTTCCAGACTTGCTAAGGGAAACTATAACACGAAGTTTCAACAAAAAATTCACTAAGGTGAGTGTATGCATATAAAGATTGTGCCTTGCAATATAATCATACATGCCTTTCATTCTCCAAGGCGTGTGTCTAGAACAATTTGTTTGATTTTTTAATTAAAGTTCACGTAAAGTACAACACTCTAACCTCCTGGAACTTCTTCCGCAAATCAGCATCCTGGGTAGCAACAAAGAAATGCTCTGGGTTATTTTCCCCAACTATATCTATTAGGCAAGCTTTTGCACTCTTCTTCCCCTCGTGATCGCACCTGCAATCAAAATTGAACTCCAGTAAGCTCCTTTAGGAAATTTCTAATCACTCAAAGAGGGAGAATCACAGTTCCCACAATGTCCAAATTGTTCAATTACCTTGCAGTCATGAGCTTCTGAGAAGCCTCGAGGGATTCAGAATAAGAATGGCCGAGCCGCTTAAGCTCCTCAACAACGCATCTGCAAATTCAGAGCTCCACAATGAAGTTAAAAAAAAAACGCCTCGTCAAAATTGCATGAAAGGAAGAAATCCAATTCAGGGGCAGAAGAAAAAACCTGGAAGTGAAGAGCTTCACTGGGCCGCCGAGGACAGTGGAGATGGCCGTGTCGGCCGGAACGACGCGATTCGCGATAAGGTGGTGGATGAACGTGCCGTCGCAGAAAACCTTGTACGGCTGCCGGAATCCGAAAACCGCGGTGAAGAAACGCACGGCTCGCCGGTGCCGCTTTTGCTTCTTCACCTTCATCACGCGCGACACCGATCAACTTCCGGTTGCTGCGAAAGAGGGGGAAAACGGCGACGGGTACGGAGGAATCCGCGGCGAGTTCAAGGGGTTAAGACGTCGTCTCAGGGGTTTTACAGTTTAGAACAGAGGAGGGAGAGAGATAGAGTAGAATTGGGCCTGGGCCCTAAATCCCGAATTCGGGCTGCCTAACATGGCCCAGAATTTTGCCAGCCTTTTGGGAAAGCTCAAACTCGCGCCGGAGGAACAAAATCAGGCAAAGACTTCGCGCCGTTTGCTTTACTCCGATTTCTCTCAAATGGCCGCCGACGGAACCAGAAGGCCTCAAACTTCAATCCTTCCGCCTCGTAAGCTCAATATCCAGAAATTCGCCGAATCGCGAGCTTCCGAGCTCGAAGCTCTTCACTCCATAGTATCGAAACGACTGAAGGAGGATTTTCGCTCGCAGAGGAACAAGCGGCGGAGGACGACCTCCTACGACAACCAAGCTGCTAAATGGAGATACAGAAAGAGTCAGAAATCTGATTCTTCCGACATTGCTGGTGTTTCCTCTGTGGATAATGAGAGAGGCAATGAAAGACGCGTCCCTCGCCGAGTTCGGCGGAGAGAGGAACTCCGGAAGAATCCTGAGCATGGTTTCATTACCTCCGGCGACGGGACCAAGAGGTTGAGGACGCATGTTTGGCTGGCTAAGAGGTTTACGATGACGAAGCTCTGGGGATTCCATCTTCCTCTAGGCTTGCACGGCAGGTGAGAACTGGCAAAAAGAGAACTTTACTTAATTCTGTTTTCAATTTTGTGCCTTTTTTGTTGACAAGAGTTTGGTTTTCAGAGGAAAGGGTTCTAGAGCGGCGTTGAGGTGGTTCAAGGAGGGAGCTGTTGTTCATGATGCAAGTTACCATTCAGCTGTCCAGCTGGAAGGTCCAGAGGTAGTAAAGCTATTTCCTTCTTCTGTCAATTTGGGTTTTGCATATGCTTATCCTACTGAACCAGAACCTTTGCTTCAGTTTATCAATATTGAGTGTTTGGTTCAAACCGATTTTAAGTCAAGTGATGATTTTTCTGTGATTAATGATTCAAAACATAAGACAAGTTTAATGCTGAATGTGTCAATTGCAACTTCTAGGATTCTTTGTTGTCGGTTCTGAGGATGGTGCTGGTGCCTTCTTTGTCAGTCTCCATCCGCGGATACTTTCAGCTCTGTTGTGTCTGGAGTTAGTTATGGAAATGCAATGGTATGTCGTCTATTGAGGTTGTTAATTTTGCCTTAGAGATGTAAGGGTGTGGGTCGTTAAATTCCTTTTCTTTTTGCAGCTTCATCATGTAGGACAGCCCACTTCTCAAGCAATAGCACCATTGAGTTACTTGTGGCGTCCCTCTCCTGTTGTGAGTGGGGGAAAAGGTGGCAATGAGCATAGTTCTATGGAAGGTGATATGCTTCAGAGCTCGGAGCCTTGTTGTTCCTCTCGTCAGCTATGGGTTTGGCTACATGCTTCAGCCTTTACTGAGGGATATGATGCCTTAAAATTTGCGTGTCAGAAACAGGTAGGGTGTCTCCCTGAAGTTCATGGATTGGACTTCTACTCTAGCTAACTCTATTTAGGACTTCCTGTCTTGTTATCTAGTTATGACTCTACTGATTGAATCAAATTTACCGTTCTGGTATAAAAAAAAAACTGTTATGATTATTGATTGCTGGAAGTCGTGACTTGGCTCTGTGAGGTTGCTGCTTTATGTTCTTAGTTTTTTGCTCTTTTCATTCAGATGAATGACGGAAATGTGTCAATTACATGTTGTTCACTTGAAGGTCAACTTGCTAAAATAGAAGTTATGGGGGCGAAAGCATCTCAGCTTCTTCAAAGGATATTGCATCCTATTTCTGGGTGAGTTTCCTATCGATAAAACATATTTTGCGCCAGAAGAGAAAAGTTGATAATTTATAAATGCCATGATGGATTTGCAGCACAAATTCAGAACCTCCTTGCTCCTTGAAGAATTGTTCTTTTGTGGAGGATCAGCATGACAGTCAACTATTTAAGTCTTCTACGCCTGAGCATGACATCCTCTCGGGTTCCTCTCTTTTATATCTTACTGTGAAGGATCCGCGTTGCCTCCACGACAACAGGACTGCAGATCCTTCAGAGTCATCTCCTCCCAACAATGTGGTTGATATTGAAGCTAAAGAAAATGCTGAAGAGCTATTTCTATTGCCCGACTCTAAACCCGAGGGAACTTCCCACATTTCAGAAAAGAATATCTGGGATGTTAGAGTTGGGGATACTATTCCTATTGATGAGCCTGTACTATGCTTGGAAAAACATCAAATGCGAAGGGATTATATTTGTGTCAACGATCCAAAGTTGGGAATGCCGAAAGCGTGCACTAAGGTGCAGGGTTCAAGATCATGTCCTACCATCGTTCTGAAAAACCATAACAAAAAGGGCCAACCCTTGGGGTATATTCCTTGCCTGTTCATTCTTCTCTTATGATGGATTACTCATTGGTTCATGCTAAGTTGATACCCGTCTATCTTCTGGCATGCAATACATCTCTTTTTTCTGACTTCATTTCAATTCAGGATTAAATGTTTTAGTATCTGAAGATGTTCTCGTTGTTTTTCCCCAGGTGGTCAATCATAGTTCCAGTAAGCTGGGCCCGGATCTTCTGGAATCAGTTTGTATCCAAGGACGCTCATGCAATAGGTCTGAGAGAGAAACAGTGGATAGCATGTGAAGTATGTGAATCAGTCAATGTCTCAGTTTCTCAATTTCATTTTCCAGACAAATATTAATACGTTATTGTCATTTTCAGGTCGGGTTGCCTTATTTTCCATCAGATTTTCCTGATTGTAATGCATACTGGTCTCTTAAGATTGCTGAGGGTACCAGTACAAGTAAGAAGGAAGAACTAAAACCTCTTGCTGTAAGGTCTTTCAAAGTTCCCATTCCACCACCATGGAAAACTGTTCGTGCTAGCCTTGGGGAAAAATTCAACTTATTGCAAGTAGCGGTTCACAGTGAGAAAGATACCGTTAGTAGCCAACTTAATGGATTCGTAGCAAGAACTTCAAATTTGATGATGGACATCTTGAAGGAAATCCAGGGTGATAACTTATTCCTGTTCCCTCAAGTCCCGAATTCAGACTCGAGGTTGTTGGCATCAATGAAGGATGAAATCGAAGTTGGCAATGGTGTGGATGGTTGTAGTAAGCCTAGAAACTATGATCATCATAAACTATGTTTCCTCAGAGTTCTCCTCAGTACATTCAAGGAAGGCGTCATTGAAGAAGGAGCTGTCGTGTGTGCCCCACTTGCTAGTGACATTTCTCTATGGACTAAAAGGTACTTCTCATTGTAGACTGAATAGTTTCCTCGATTTCAATCAACATTTGCTCTACTTGATTATCTTCATGATCATCCTGAGTTGATTACAACTTGTTCTTGGAATAGTTAATGAACTTGTGTGGTTGTTTCTTGCATGAAATTGTTCCCCACCCCTAACTGTGGTTACTATCATATGTGGAATGCAGGAAATCTTCATTCTCAAATGTTGCTTCCTATAGTGGCACTGGCAGGTTACAGAACCTTGACTTCAAACTTCAAGTCCCTGACTCTTCAGTGATTTCATACTTCCAAAAGCATTCTTCAGGAGATTGGGACCTGCAGATCCCACAAGATCCCGCTGTTATGGAATCTCATCGATGGCCTATCGGTTTCGTGACAACTGGATTCGTCAGAGGAAGGTCAGTATCTGGTCACTCTCTTTGCTTCGTTGCCAATCACTAACAACACAAAGATATTAACATTGTCAATCTCTGATGCAGCAAGAAGCCAACAGCAGAAGCATTCTGCGAGGCGATGCTACTCTCCTGTCTAAGGGAAGAACAGTGGAAGGAAATCCCTGTGGAGGAGAGGAGGAAAGAAATCTATGTCCTAGTCAGAAATCTCAGATCGTCGGCATATCGACTCGCTCTTGCTTCTGTAGTCCTTGAACAACAAGAACATGACATTGACTGCATGTAACTGCAGGTTGTACGTTTTCTTTTCCTCTTTTGGTTTACAATCTATCTAAACATGAGCCACTCACAATTAAAAAGTACAATTGAATCAAAGTTATAACTTATAACTCTAAAAAAACATTGTAATGGTCATTTTCATATTGAAACCATACAACACCACAAGGACCATAAAACAATCACGGCTAAAACGTTATAACTCTTACAATAAATTTTTCCGATCGGACCACTGATACGATTTTGCATACACGTTCTTCACAAAGTTTGTCCCAAGGATTCTTTCACAATTTCACCGGTTGTGCAAGCAATCCCAACCTTGCCAATCCTGAGGTAAACAGGAAACTTGACAACTTTCACCCGATCCTCTCCACCATCGTCATTCCAAGCTCGCCGGAACTTCTCCACCACGGCATCTCCCAAGAGCTCCACCCCTCTCTCCTTCGCCGTCTGATACGCCGACCAAGACCTCAAGTACGTGAAAAAGCCGTCCAAATCCATCCCCTGCTCCGTCACAAACTTAAACGGCCCCGTATTGTCCGCTCCGGCCACCGCCTCGAACGGGAAGTCAACTCCGCGGTACCGGTCGTCGACCAGCTTCCGCTGTGGGTCCCAGTACGGCGCCGAGTCGAACCTGTAGAACGAGTCGAAAACCGGGTCGACCGCCGAGTCGATCTCGGGTGTGCAGTAGCACCACGCGGCGATCACGCCGTTGGGCTTTTTGAGTACCCATTGGGCCTGCTTGTAGAACGACGGGAGGTCGAACCAGTGGAGGGCCTGCCCGACGGTGACGAGGTCGACGGTGGACTCGCCGGCGATGAGGTGCGGGAGGTCGGCGGTTGGGATGACCGGCGGAGTGCGGCGGTAGTGGACGTTTGGGAGCCTCGGGGCGTGGTCCAGCTGGGTGGAGCTTGTGTCGGTGGCGATGACGGTCTTGTAGATTCCGGCGAGCTGGAAGTGGAGGAAAAAAAAAAGGTTTCATGTGCTTCATCAGAAAATGCCCGACGATTGTGTCAATTGATCGGACGGGAAATGGAAATGGAGAAAGGGGGAACTCACGGATACGGCGGCCTGGCCGCTGCCGGTGCCGGCGTCCCAAACAAGGTCGTGGGAAGGAGTCTTGGAGGCTATGAAGTCGAAGAGTTGTTTTGGGTAGCTGGGCCTCGTCTTCGCGTACTCCGCTGCTTGCTTGATGAACAATTCCGCCATCGATTGATTCCCTATTTCTTCTGTTCTCTTTCTCTTCCTCTCCTCCAAATTTTGGTGAGGAGATAACGAATTTGATGAGAACAAAAGGAGCTGCAATGGCTGGCATTTATAGCATATCAAACGATAATGATGAGAGAGAGAGTCAGAAAGAGGAAAGCAGTGGGAAGCTGTCTATCGTGGAATAATATTGTTGGAGAAATCAAAGCATAGGTTCCATTTCAGTTGGAGTTGCCAAATTGGTTTGTGAGAGCTCTCAGTGACCATTCTGGCTTCCGGGGGAGGCCATCCGTCTATGATTGATACCATTTGAGCCACCTTAAAGCAAAGCAATCGACATGAAATCGTTTTAAGGTGGTACGATTTTACTACGATTCAGCAGCCAGTCGACTAAGCCACATGGCTAGTGTCACATATTCATAGTCACGAGCAGCATTCAATCGCGATCCAAAAGAAAAGAGCGAGCAAGAGAAGATTCATATACTTGAAGGTTCAACACCATTGCACAATTCAACTCGGTGTGAGATTAGCAGAAACTAATACCACAGCATTCGATTACTCGTAATTTGCAGCGACATATTACATTACATTATATTAACCACACAGATCATAACCAGCATACATATATAGTGAAGCTCTCTCTCCTCACTGCCACTATTAATACAACTTGACAAGACGATAGATGGAACATAGGCAAATGGAGCTATAGTAAGGTTACAAAGAAGCATTAAGCAACACGATTAGATATACATACAAATATTAGGGGGGCTGCAGTTACTAGCGCTCCCCCCATCCCCCACACTGAGATATTACAGTTTTACACGTCCGCTAAGGCCATTCCAGAACGGTCAGGGTTTTCTTACGAGCAATTTGTGTCGTAGCTTGCAAGTCCAAGCAATTCTGGACCTTCTAGTCGAGGGTTGTGCTCAAAGCTACACAAAGCGAGAGAAAAGAAATCTCGTCAATTCCTTGGCAAGAAAAAAAAATGTCGAGACTGAATTACAGAGAGCAAGCTCTTTGACAGCAAAGAATTACATCTCGCAGCAGCAAGGACCTTAAACCACTTGCTAGGGAAAAATGTGACACAGTTGAATATCGAGATATCAAGGAATCAAGAGGAACTTATCCACCTTATGAAACTAGCTTCCAGACAAGAACATACAAGATAGTTGTGGTCCCACAGGCTGACAGATCTAAGCAGGCTTCGGTAAGAATGAATGATACCATGGAGTTTTCATAGAGATAGTTACAATCAGATGGTATTTAATCTCAAGAATAGATTGCAAAGCTGAAAGGACTAAGGCAATGAAAATGCGATGCCCAAGCTGGGTCAGGGCAATTGTCCTACTCAGTTTTCAAGGTTTTCAAGCCAAGTTGTCATCTCACCCCCGAGTTAGACACCAAACCTCCAGCTAGACTGTCCAAGACTAACAGAATATTAATATCATCTAAGATCTATCTTCCATTAAAACAATTGCCCAGTAGGAGCATTAAGTTGGAGGACATTCTCAAAGAAGTAAGCACAGAATCTGAAGTTACCCACAATTCTCGTGTCTTTGTGTGTGTGTGTGTGTGTGTGTGTGTGTGTGTGTAAATACAAGAAATATGATAATATGGAGCTAGTTCACTTTCTCATCATTCTCACACTGTACACATCCAACTTCGTGATTCTGAATACCAAAGCTTACAAATCAAGAAGGAACTATGCAACTATTGTCTCAAGACTGTACAACTTAGCCCAACAACAAAAGGTTAGAACCGAACTAGACCACTCCCCCTACAGATTTGTGTAGTATGCTATAGTCAAAACTTCTAAGTAGAATACATAACATTTGTCTTCAGTGTGAATCAAGAAGTGAATATACTAAATTCACAGCTTATGCATATGAGATACTGAGAGTAAGAAGATTAGCTAATCCTGGAAGCTAGCATGAAGAGGTAGCGAGATAAGAGTGTATGACTTAAATGCACAATGCCCATTATCTACAATAACAGTATAACCCAACAAAGACAGAAAGTGAAGCTAATTGAAGAAGGCTCATTGACCAGAACTGATACAGAAATGCATAGTATAGCCAATAAACTGACAAATGCAGACACTATAGCATAACCAAGAGCAACATAGAAACAGAACACCGACTACAGAGAATATAAACAGAACGGGGGGAAAAGAGACACTCACTTGTTCAATGGAATATGCTCGAATGGTCCATTTGTTGGAATAGTTCCACACAAGTCATTGTTTGAAACGTCACTGAAAAAGAAAAGCAGTTCACCCAAGTCACCTTATAGAATTGCAGTATCATAAAACATGATGTAAGATGAGCAAGAAAAGAGGCCCAGCAATGTGAGAGAAAGTAACATGCAGTTGAGGAAAAAGCACTTACACTACTTTAAGGCTAGAAACAGCACCAAGCTCCCTTGGAATTGGTCCAGTTAATTGATTGTCATTAAGGCGTCTGCCAGAAGGAAAGAGTAGGATGAGCAATGAAAATGATGAACCAAGGCTCAACAACAGTACATGCTATACAGGAACTCAATAAAGTTTATACCCAAATACTTCAAATCCCAAGCCTCATTAAGTTCACTGCGAAAGAAGTTGAAGTATGAATTCATATTCAGAGACATGAAAGTTGCATCAACTTACAAGAACACGAGACTCTTCAATTTTCCCAGGGAAGAAGGAATTGTCCCTGTAATGTTGTTGTTGTACAGGTCCAAGCTGATCAGATTCTTCAACTTACCCAGCTCAGCAGGGATAGTCCCATGCAGGTTGTTCTTGTACAGCTCCCTACATCAAAAGTAATACATTTAGGCTGCAACCAAATGCTAAAGTACCAAATCAGGATCGAGCAGACCAGCATCAAATAACTTCCCCTAAGCCACCAACTGAAACCAGTTATAATAAATGACATTTAAACCGTCGAGCAGAGAGGAACGTAGCAGAAACGTACAAGTACTGTAAATGCTCGAGCTTCCCGAGTTCAGGCACTAGATGTCCAGACAAGTTTGAATTGCCTAAATCCCTGCATGAAACACCAGATTGACAACATGTTAGACCATGATTCAAATGACTTCCACCCAGAATAGCAACTTTTTAAGATAAACTATTCAACATAAACAATAGCTTCAGTGGACCTGACTAGATAAACAATTCTTAAACAAGACTTCTCCCAAGCAAAGACTATGCTCCATACAAAACTAACAAGTTCATTCACTAAATTGCTACAAATGCTCAGCAGCTAAAAATCCAGTCACCCAGATTAACAAAAACAACACAAACCCAACAGGCAAACAAAAATTCAAGCACTGGCCAACACGAAGGCTATTGGGAGGGAGACGCTTCCAGTCTGTTCCATTCATAATCGGACCACCAATCAGCAGTATTCAGCACCAAGACTTCGTAAAGCGAGCTACCAATCAACCAGGGCAACGAGACAGCAGCACCCAATTTCAGCAGCAACAAAACTAGAGCCGAAGCAGTAATAAACGAATAAGGAAGTCGGCGTGGGGTAAATGATTAGTTGATTACACTCGGGTAACGCGGTTATCCTGGTTGCAGGTGATGTGGAACCAGGTGCAAGGGTTGACGAGGGTGGGATCCCAGCTCTGGAGGACGTTATCCGGATCGGACAAGCTCCTCCGCAGCGTGTAGAGAGCGTCCCCTTCCGAATTGCCGAACGCGACGGGGAGAGCGAGCGCTGCGAAGAAGAGACTCCACAGTGAGAGAGCCGATGCCGCCATCCCGGTGACGGATGAGTTGAGAGATGGAAAGGGGCAGCGACTTTGAAGCGAGCTAGGGTTCCGGTGGTGCAGGTGGAGGAGGAAGAAGCAGGTTAGGGTGGGAAAGAGAGTCAGTCAACCGAACCACCAGACTGGAAATGGGAAATGGGGAAGGGAAGAGGAAAGAGGATCGGCTTTGGGAACGACAGAGTAAAACATGGGGCATATTTTCCATTTTACTTTTTCTTTTCTTTTCTTTTCGCTCCACTCGTACTGTCGTACATTATTGCCCGGGATGGCAATGGGTCGGTCGGGGAGGATAGTGCATATCCGTTACTCTACCCAAAAAGGTTCGAGTTTTACCCATACTCGTACCCACATATGAAACGGGTAGAAAATTAAAACAATGCTCATACCCGTTCGGGTTTCGGGTATCCACGGTTATCCATGTGTAATGATTTCTCTTCATAACTCCAACTAATATATTAACATTCACACGTATTCTCACATTACGCAAGAGGAAAAGTATGACAATAATTCACTAGAATGAAGAAAATTAATTAAAACAACACAATTTCATGAAAATATTATATTTATATGCTAAATATAAAATATGTTAGAGAAAAATAATGAATATTTCTAGACAAAATACATATGTATGTGTATAATCGGGCGGGTTCGGGTTGGATACTGAAAAACTCATGGCCACCCATTACCCGCAATATTCGGGTTCGGATTTTACCCGTACCCACTAAATGTCCTTCGGGTTCGGGTTTTACCCTATCCAATTAGGTCGGGTTCGGACGGATATCCACGGTTACGGATATTTTTGCCATCCATTATGGCAGTTGCTGAAGACTTATCTCCTCATTGTTGATGTTGGGCTCTTGTTGGGCTGGGAGCTTTTGTTAACAATCTATTGGGCTGGGAACTGCGGTAACAAGTAGGAGGGTCTTTTGTGTATCCATTTGGGCCTTTCGGCTTTTACCTTTCACATGTTGGTTTCATAACGTTTGTTTCAAAATCGAGTAATGTTAAAAACATAGGATGAAGATATACAACCAATAACATCTAAAAATATCGACAATACTATGCCGTATTAAAATATTTATTAGCACAATTGTCTGGTGCTTTTACAAATAGAAATTTCCAGTTTAAGCTTGAATATGATATCTTTTGCGGAAAGAGATACAAAATGTATGTCATTGTCAATGCATGTTTTAGAATTACTTGTGGATATTTGAATAGGGCAATTGGCATGTTACCTAAATCCGACTTATCAAACTTGAATTGATTACTGACATTTATGAAGTCACTCGAACAATAAAAGGCAAGCCACGCGGCCACACGCAAACTTACTTAAAGAATCTGAACTTTAAACAACCGATCAACCGCCTATACGTGGAAAGAGGATACAACCAACAACAACAAAATAACGGCAACCACATCCCATATTAAAAGATTTGTTACCGTGTTTTTTTCCAAGACATATACCGTTAGACAATCATTTAAAGCTCAACGATCAAATCTTCTGCCAACGGAAGTACAAAAACGCATATAACAGTTGCAAATGACGAGCTTTAAGATCACCACCAAATATTCAAATAGAACAATTTTGATACGTTACCTAATCCATACTCAACAACATACATTATGATACCATGATCATCTCAATGTCGTCATGCTAATTTTTTAGGTCAAATCAAATTTACTACGAGGTGAATTTAAACAATCGATCAACCACCCACACGTGGAAAGAAGATACAACCAACAACAACAACATAACGACAACCACATCCCATATTAAAAGATTCGTTACCATGTTTTTTTCCAAGACATATACCGTTAGACAATCATTTAAAGCTCAACTGTCAAATCCTCTGCCAACAGAACGTAAAAAAACGTGTATAACAGTCTCAATGACGAGCTTTAAGATCACCGCCAAATATTCAAATAGAACAATTATGATACGTTACCTAATCCATACGCAACAACAGACATTAATACCATGACCATCTCAATGTCGTCATGCTGATTTTTTTAGGTTAAAGCCATTTTACTATGAGGTGAATTTAAACAATCGATCAACCACCCACACGTGGAAAGAAGATACAACCAACAACAACAACATAACGACAACCACATCCCATATTAAAAGATTCGTTACCATGTTTTTTTCCAATACATATACCGTTAGACAATCATTTAAAGCTCAACTGTCAAATCCTCTGCCAACAGAACGTAAAAAAAACGTGTATAACAGTCTCAATGACGAGCTTTAAGATCACCGCCAAATATTCAAATAGAACAATTATGATACGTTACCTAATCCATACGCAACAATAGACATTAATACCATGACCATCTCAATGTCGTCATGCTGATTTTTTTAGGTTAAAGCAATTTTACTATGAGGTGAATTTAAACAATCGACCACCCACCCGCACGTGGAAAGAAGATACAACAAACAACAATAAAATAACGACAACCACATCAAATATTAAAAAATTCGTTACCATTATTTTTTTCAAGACATATACCGTTAGACAATCATTTAAAGCTCAACTGTCAAATTCTCTGCCAATAGAAAGTAAAAAAAACGCATATAACAGTTGCAAATGACGAGCTTTAAGATCACCACCAAATATTCAAATAGAACAATTATGATATGTTACCTAATCCATACTCAACAACAGACATTATGATACCATAACCATCTCAATGTCGTCATGCTAATTTTATAGGTTAAATCAAATTTACTACGAGGTGAATTTAAACAATCAATCAACCACCCGCACGTGGAAAGAAGATACAACCAATAACAACAAAATAACGGCAACCAGATCCCATATTAAAAGATTCGTTACCATGATTTTTCCAAGATATATACCGTTAGACAATCATTTAAATCTCAACCGTCAAATCTTCTGCCAACAAAAAGTATAAAAACGTGTATAACAGTCTCAATGACGAGCTTTAAGTTCCAACACCAAATATTCAAATAGAACAATTTTGATAGGTTACCTAATCATACTCAACAACACATATTTTATGATACCATGATGATCTCAATGTCGTCATGTTAATTTTTTTAGGTTAAATCAAATTTACAAAGTGGTTTGTAAAAAATTTTGGGCAGTTGAGGTAACAAAGTTAGTGCTACCACTATTGTTGCCTAATTACATGACAGCCCAACCGCACGCCCACACCCAGCCCACCCACAAACGCCATGCAGCCCATCAAATTAATATTAATTAATAAAACAAAGAATAAAATAATATTAAGGAACCAAAAAAGTAAATTGTCCGGATAAGCCCTCCACTAAGTGGAAAAAGAAAAATCCCCCCACCCGCTTTCCCCACTATACCCTCACTCCCTCCCAATTATTACAACCCGCACCACCTTGTTCCTCTGTCATTTTCACGGCCACCCGAGGTTAAGACCGTAAATGACCACTTTCGGGGAACCCGATATCTCCCCTTTTGATATAACCGCTGGTTCGTCGGTGCCGTGATCTCCTGCATACCCACCCCACCCACCACCGCCTGGACACCCGCGTGGATCAACCAGATTGCTGACGTGTTTGAATCTTTGACCGTTGGATTGATATCAAGCGGTGAGATTGATCGCAAGCCTGGTGGTCGTTGTAACACGCGATCAGGGGGATTCACCTGACGCTCGGGGGGGTTAAAAGTGGGGCCCGCATGCGTTCATCACACATACTGTTTTAAGCTGAGCGAGCGAGTTGGAGAACTGAGTGGAATTTCCAGTTTACTCTCTCTGGTTCGTGAGCGAGTTGGGGGGGAGAGGGAGAAGGAAGCCGAAGAAGCTTTTATTTCTGTTTCTTCTTCTCCTTTTGTCTGTATTTAAGGTACAATTTCTCTCCTCTCTCAACCGTTCCTGCTGTACTCTTGTTCTTCATAGCTAGGGTTTTTTTTCTTCTTCCTTCTCGCTCGCTGTGGCTCTCGCCGTTGTTTTACTGAGGTGAGTTAGAGGAAGACGACCGTGCTTCTCTATCTCGTTTTCTTGTAATGCAGCTGGTTTTTGGGTCTGGACGGGGGTGTGGAATTTTTTGTTGATATTTTGTCGCTGTTTTTAGAAATGTGTGGGCTTGTTTGTGTGTCGGTTTGATTTCGTGAGGTGTGGATGCTTGAGAATCGTTTGGTTTTTTTTAGGGTTTGGGTTGTGAGGCTGATGGTCTGTGCTGGTGTCTTGTGATGTGAACAGGTTGTAGCTAGGAAGGTCTGGTTCGGGAAGGCAGCACTGGTTCATACTCGTGTAGGTATGGTTTCTCCATTTCTCCTGTTTGAGTGATGTGTGTATGTGGTAGCTTTCTTTGTTGTTCGTAACAAGGTTGCATGTGGCTGCATCCTTCTGCTATGGGGGGGGGGGGGGGGGGGGGGGGGGGGTTCGTTTTCGTTGTGGATTTGTTGCATGCAAGGGAAATGGATTGTTTGGTTTTACTTTCGCTTTTTACCTCTTTCAAGTGGCTCTGGTTGTCGATGGGACGTACCCTATTTCTCTTCCAGTTCTGTTGTGGTTTTACGATTGGGGCTTACAATAAGGTTCTACAATCTGGGTTTACCCTGTACGTCAATTTGTCTGTTCCGATTGAGAGCTAAGTTTTCACCATCTAGTAAGCAAAATGACTTGGTACTGTACTGTGAGGAATTATTGTTCTTATTTCACGTTTCTCTTAACGATGTGCCTTTTTCTTGTTTTTATTTTGGTCGGTTCATAACAATGTTGCATGCCGGTTTTCTTCTACTACAGGTTCCTTCAGTTTTATTTCTATTGTATCATTTCCTGGATGGGCTGGGTTCTGTCTTCCGGGGTTCCCTTTGCTTCCACGTGTCTTTTTTTTTTTGGTGTGCTTGTGAGCTAGTTTTTGGTATTGGATAGGCAAAATTGTTTTGCTACACCGGCGATTTGAATTGATGATTGTGCATTAGCTCTGAGATGGACCATCTGACTGTGATGTGTCTTTTTTCAGACAATGGACTCGGTGGATCCTGATGGAAGTGGTCTTCAGGAGGCCTTGCCACCTCCCCCACCTGTTCTTCCTCCAGATGTGGTGCCGGTAAAACTTGAAGAACCGGCTAAGAAGAAGCCTGCGCGGCTTCCCATGGCTAGGCGGGGCATGGGATCCAAAGGACAGAAGATCCAGTTGCTGACCAATCACTTCAAAGTGAATGTGACCAATATGGAGGGTCAATTCTACCACTACAGTGTAAGTTCTGTATTCAATCGCTGATTTTTGTTGCTCACAGCTCAATGCAACACATTTAACTGGTTGCATTTGCTTTATATCAGGTTGCTCTCTTGTATGAAGATGGGCGTCCTGTGGAGGCCAAAGGTGTTGGTAGGAAGGTTCTTGACAAAGTGCAGCAAACATACAGTAGTGAATTGTCTGGAAAGGAGTTTGCATATGATGGTGAGAAGAGTTTGTTCACCATTGGACAACTGCCACTTAACAAGCATGAGTTCACTGTTGTTCTGGAAGAGGTCACGTCTAGCAGGTTGATTTGTCTTTATCGTGGTGTATTTCTGTCTATCAGCTTAATAATCCTGGGGCTCTATCTGTCTGGTCCTGTCTGTTTGTTTATTTTGATAACTTTGGTTTGCAGGAACAATGGAAATGCGAGCCCAGATGCTGGAGGAAGTCCAAATGACACCGATAGGAAGAGAATGCGGAGGCCTTATAACTCGAAGACTTTCATTGTGCAGATCAATTTTGCTGCCAAGATTCCCATGCAAGCCATTGCTAGTGCCCTGAAGGGGGTGGAAACTGAAAGCTCTCAAGAAGCATTGAGAGTATTGGATATCATACTACGGCAACATGCTGCAAAACAGTAAGTATTTGTGAATGCAATCTTTATTTTGCAAGAGTGTTATTTATTCCACTTTGTCTTATGTCTGTGTTTTTTTCGTGTTCAGGGGATGCCTCCTGGTACGCCAATCGTTCTTCCACAATGATCCGAAGAATTTTGTGGAACTGGGAAATGGTGTTCTAGGTTGCAGAGGCTTCCACTCCAGCTTTAGAACAACCCAAGGAGGATTGTCTCTGAACATTGGTTAGTGTACTTAAGTCAGTCTTTACCTTGCGATGTAATTTTGTAGAATTTTTCTCGTTTGGTTGGTGTGCTTACTTGCTTTGTTGCTTCAGATGTATCAACTACCATGATCATCCAGCCTGGACCTGTTGTAGATTTTCTGATTAACAACCAGAGCGCCAGAGATCCATTTTCTTTGGATTGGGCTAAGGTAGATATATGTGTGAGCATGTCTTTTCTTGTTACCTTTTCCCTTTGATTGTCTGGCTAATCTGTTTCTTTCTGTCCTTTTACAAGGCTAAAAGAGTGTTGAAAAATCTGAGGGTTAAAGTAAGCCCTACAAATCAGGAATACAAGATCACTGGTTTGAGTGATCAAAACTGCAAAGATCAGCTGTATGCTTTTCACATATTCTCTTCTCCTCTATTTTGTCCCCTGCTCCGGTCTCTCTTTCCCTATTTTGTTCATTGATCCATTTGGCACGTATTGGTATAAGTTGCCTCAAACTGAGGGTTATATATTTCTTGGTTTTAAGTGTTCCCTTTGTTTCTGTAGGTTCCAATTGAAACAGAAAGGTGATGCTGAACCATTGGAGATCACTGTGTATGACTACTTTGTCAATCACAGAAACATTGAGCTGCGGTATTCGGGAGATCTGCCTTGCATTAATGTAGGGAAGCCCAAGCGGCCGACTTATATTCCATTGGAGGTAAGCTGACAAGTATAATTTTATGTTCATCTTGTGACAATCTATATTTTCTCGTGGTACTCATTACTTTTGTCTTTTTGTAGCTATGCTCCTTGGTTTCCCTTCAACGTTACACCAAAGCGCTGACTTCTTTTCAGCGTTCTTCACTGGTGGAGAAGTCAAGGCAGAAGCCCCAGGAGAGGATGGCTGTTCTGGCGCACGTGTGTAATTTAAGTTTGTTAAACCTATCCATTTTTGAGTCGTGGAAGTTGGTTAACCCTTTCACTTTCTTATCTTGCAGTCTCTCAAAACAAGCCGCTATGACGAGGAACCCCTGTTGCGCGCATGTGGTCTCTCAATTAGCAATGGTTTCACCCAAGTGGAAGGTCGTGTGCTGCCAGCTCCAAAGGTACTAGTTTTTGTTAACTTATCAAATATAAAGTATTATTTCGGATCTAGCAAAGGTTTGTTTGCTTTGTGGGCTTGAATATATAGTTCCTCTGCTATCTCTTTCATTGCTAGTATGGCTGCTGCAGTAACCTGTTCCTTTTTTTTTTTTTTTTTTTTGTAACAGCTCAAAGTGGGCAACGGGGATGATCTATTTGCCAGAAATGGCCGTTGGAATTTTAACAATAAGGTGCTTGTCTCTATGTGCTCGCCATTTCTTTTATTTCCTTTCCTCTGATTCGTCATTAACCTTTGTCCCACTCTTCATTCCAGAAACTGGTTCAGCCTTGCAAAATTGAGAGATGGGCTCTTGTCAATTTCAATGCAAGGTCTGATATGCGCAGGCTTGTGAATGACTTGATGAGATGTGCAGAAGCAAAGGGAATTGTAAGTTTATCCCTTATATGAGTGCCAATTCATGTGTGTAGTGCAAATTATTTATTTCATTTACACTTATTGCTTCATAAAAAAAAAAATCATTTACACTTATGCACCTTGTAGGCCATTGAGGATCCTCATGCAGTTATTGAGGAAAACCGACAGATGGTTCGTGCTCCTCCTATAGTGAGAGTGGAGAAGATGTTTGAGGAAATCCAGTCTAAGCTTCCTGGCGCTCCAAAGTTTCTACTGTGTGTGCTTCCTGAGAGGAAAAACTGTCCTGTATACGGTATGGCTGTGAAGGAGTGCCCTTTGTTTAGGTTCTAGTGCATTTTTTTGTCCTAATGTATGTCTGATCTCTGCTGAAGGGCCTTGGAAGCGGAAGAATCTTGCTGAGTTTGGAATTGTAACACAGTGTATGGCTCCACAAAAGATGAACGATCAGTATCTTACAAATCTTCTCCTGAAGATCAATGCCAAGGTTGTTTGGAAGACTTATCTCTAGTATATATCAATAACAGTAATAAGATGTACTCTGTTTCAATTTCTCACTTCTGCATATTCTCTCTACTTGAAGCTTGGTGGTCTGAACTCTTTGCTCTCTGTGGAGCACTCTCCTTCCATACCTGTGGTATCCAAGGCTCCCACCATGATCCTTGGGATGGATGTATCTCATGGTTCTCCAGGACAGTCAGACATACCTTCAATTGCTGCGGTATCTATATTATTAACCTTGTAACTGTGCATCAATCCTACAGTTTACACTTTTTTTCTTCCCATTCAAGAAATCCTGAGGCACTTTGTTTCATGGAATATTTTAGGTGGTCAGCTCTCGACACTGGCCTTTGATTTCTCGCTATAGGGCTTCTGTACGGACTCAGTCTCCCAAAGTTGAAATGATTGATTCCTTGTACAAACGAGTGTCTGACACGGAGGATGATGGAATCATGAGGTTAGTATTAAGAATGGTTTATCACGTCATCTGTTTTTAGTATGTGTACTGACTTACACCCCCCTGTTATCAATCCAGGGAAGCACTTCTGGACTTCTACGTGAGCTCAGGGAAAAGGAAGCCTGATCAGATTATCATATTCAGGTATGCTTAATTGTATAAAGAACTGGTTTTTACTTGAATACTTACTAGCCTGAATGGTTGTTCACTGTGTCTTATTATTTTTATCATGTTGTCGACTTCCTGGAATGACTACTTATCCTTTGGTATTGTATTTCCAGGGATGGTGTTAGTGAGTCCCAATTCAACCAAGTGCTGAACATTGAGCTGGATCAAATCATTGAGGTTTGGATTCGATTCTCGCTCTTGGATTCTCTCCTTGTTTGATTGGCTTTTAAAACTGCATGCTAATTATTAGTTTTTTGTCAACATGTCAGGCTTGCAAGTTCCTGGATGAGAAATGGAACCCAAAGTTTGTCGTCATTGTGGCCCAGAAGAATCATCACACCAAGTTCTTCCAGCCTAATGGTCCTGACAATGTCCCACCTGGTACGTCTGTTCTCTGAAAAATTAGATAAAAGCAGTCTAGAATTGGTGCTGACACTCTGTACTTTTGTGTTGTGCAGGAACCATCATTGACAACAAAGTTGGTCACCCAAAGAACTATGATTTCTACCTCTGTGCTCATGCTGGAATGATTGTGAGTATCATTGCTTGAATTCACTTATTCTATGAATTAATTTTATTAGCACTCTTGCTATAGCCAGAAGATGTTGAATTTGAGATCCACTTAACCTCCTTTCTCAGGGAACTACAAGGCCCACCCACTACCATGTTCTGCTTGATCAAGTGGGTTTCCAGGCAGATGACCTTCAGGAGCTTGTCCACTCTTTATCATATGTGTAAGTTGTTTTTTTTCTCTTTTCTGAGCTTATTGCACAAAATTAAATTCCAATTTGTTAGTAACTTGACTGCATGTTTGGGCATTATCTTTTGCAGCTATCAGAGAAGCAGCACTGCAATTTCTGTTGGTAAGAAGACTGTTAGCTGTCGCTCTTTTCTGTAATCAGTTGGAACGGTTTTGAGTAATACAGATTAATACTAGTGATGGTCTAATTTTTTTGTTCTGTTTCCCCTTTCCTCCTCGGCCTCAGTTGCTCCTGTGTGCTACGCCCACTTGGCAGCCACCCAGATGAGCACATTCATGAAGTTTGAGGACACCTCAGAGACCTCGTCCAGCCGCGGCGGCGGGATGACTGCTGCAGGGCCTGCTCCAGTTCCTGCTCTCCCAAGGCTTGAAGAGAAGGTGGCCAACTCGATGTTCTTCTGCTGAGGTGGTCTTTGTTCATGTGCTGGAAGTACTGTGAAGTGGTAGTGAACTAGTAGTTTGTCCTTTTGGCTGTGTACATAAAGTGAACATCTGTAAGGTTGTTGTGAATTAGCCTTAGCCTTGCCTTTTCTCTTGATCTAAAAGGCTAAGGAGTATGGTAAGTTGAAACAGTGGTAGTAGTAAACTTTTGAGAGAGTGATGAACAATGTTAGGTGTAGTAGTGGTTAGTAGTATCTAGTGTCTTATGTCCTGTCTGGTCACTTTTGCAGTTGGATCCTTTTGGATTGTTAAGCTTGCTCTTATGCAAGCAATAACAATCAGTAAACAATCAAATCCCCAGTATCTATTTCGGAAGCAGAAAAGATAAGCGGTGTTGTCAGTTACAAGTTAGCAACACCAAACTCAGAGCAGCTTGAGACTAAAATCACCAAATCAAAAGTTCATGTCTCCAGTGGCCAATAAGTACAGAAGCAGTAACTTGGGATGCAAACAACCGCATTTTTGAAGTTGACAATGTGATCAACAAACCAAGTAAACACAAACTACCTACTTCTCCAGACAGAGACGGTATGTAGGGCTGACAATTTGGACCAGAACTGTTTGGTTTTACCCGAAACTGGACCGTATAACTCGGATCGGGACCAGACTGGGACCGGATAGCAAACGATCCAATCTCATATTCGGGCTTAGATTTGAGGTAAAAAAAATCCGGATAAAGACCGGATAAGAGACCCCAAACACCTAAAATCAAAATAAAATTGGGACCGGACCGGGTCAAGACCGGAGTGTATCCAATCCAATCTTTGGTCCTTATATTCCCGAAAAGACCGGACTGGGACCGGATCAATTTGATCCAATTTAACCGAACCGGACCGTATAGCCACCCCTAACTGTATGTATGTGTAACATTCTCCCATGCTGATTGGAAAGTCGTATTCATCAGCGGTAGGTAGTCTCAATTAATTAATTTCTCCATTTTGTTTTGGAGAATCAAATTATGTTTAGAGAGTAGTAATGTTGGTTGTGGGTTGTTTCACGTCGACTTCACAGTTCCAAATATACATGCGATTACCCTAATCGGGGAGAGCCAGCCTTAAAGAAGACGAGAGGAATCTGTTCAAGGCCAGAAAAGCCAAACCCTTTTAATTAAACCGTGTTTTCGTCCGTCGGTCGGTGTAGCCTTTTTCCCCCGTTTTACAGTCTCCCCCTTTACGCTTTTACTATCTCTGTTTCTACATACCCTTTTGCTGCGCAGCTTTGTCCTTGCCCTGTGTAAGAATGGAATGGCGCACTAACTAACTCTGAGAGAGAGAGAGAGATCGATAATGGAAAATGGAGGGAATCTGCGTAAGGCAGCTTATTGCGATTGCTTTGCTTAGCCAGGACGAGAGGAGAGTCTCTTTCCGTTGGCCATTTACGTCGAGATAATTAAGCTTGCATGTGCTCTCTACTATCTATATTAAGCTCCCCGACGGAACTCCTAAACCGTCATCTGATCATTTAACCACAACAACACTTCCTTCTTAATTTCTTTCCTCTCTCTCACCGACGTCTTCTTCTTCTTCTTCCTCTTCGTTCTGTTCGTCCAAAGTCGACATTTACAAGGTGATCAAGCGGCTTATTCGCATCTTGCTTAATTTGCGCGCATTCATAGTGAATCTCAAGGTACGTGCAGTGTTTTGCTAAGCTTTCGTTGTACTTGAAGAGAGTCTTTTAATCAAGGAGACGCCATTACTAATTAAGCTGTGTTTTTTTTATTTGTTGCAGTAACGTAAGTGGTTGTGTTTCTCTCCTTAATTGTCTTCCTCGGGATTAGCAAGCTAAGCTAGCTGTTGATCAAGCTCTGTAGAAGATCCTCCTCTCAGGCCGTCGGCGTAATATTATCTCTTGAGACTTGGATTCAGGTATATATTTGGGGACATTATGAGCCACCTCTTAACCATCTCTCCGGCGGCCGGCCCTCGATCTCTTTTGTACTGTGGCTTGCATGCATGTATAGCGAAATAATGTTCATTAATTCTAAAGTTCTAACTCGCTACCGTACTGGTTTAATTTACAGCTTGCTTGCGAACTTAGAATGGCAAGGGTTGTAAGATTTCGAGATGAGGTCGAGATTATACCGCCGTCGTCCTCGTCCTGTTTTCCGGCCGCCGCCTGCAACCTGCTGAAAATGGCCGGTACGTGACTCCACATTTCTTTTATACTACTACAGCTATAATGTTCTTAAAACTGCATGTCTAGTTATTTTCCTCGTAAATTGTTTACTTTTTTTTCTCTTCATAATATTAACACGAAAAAATATAGGGTCTATATGTATTCTGCCTCATATTTACGGTTTGTATTAATGGTTAACCTCGGTACTGAAAGTATCTGACTATATATACGTAATGTTATTTCGAAAGAGGCCGGGTTAAAAAGCTAGCTGAAATTCATGGTTGATGATAATTTATTCTTATTATTTTTTTTGACCATGTACCCAAAACGTAATTTATAGTTTAAATATGACACGTGTTTGACGTATGATTCTTGATCTTCCCTCAGTAATTAGAATCGCAAATTAGGATTAGTTCGTGTGGTTAACCAAAGCTCGGTTATGGGTAACATAGTTTTGCAACAATATGGTTGTGTAATGCTTCCTTTCCTTTTTCTTTTTCGTTTGAACGAGTATGGTTAGCCAAAGTTCGATTATGGCTAACATAGTTTCGCAACAAATAATATTGTATATAACCAACGTCGCTCCAAACTCCAATTTGTAACCGCATAATTTTCGATCTCATTCAATATTTTACTGCAAGTAAATTGAAACCAAATCATGTCAAGGATCGAGAGAATTCATAAAATCAAGAAGCTAGCTAGGTTGAGAAATCTCAATGACGGCGGAGGAATATAATAACGAATCAGAAACCTCCGATGTGATCAATACTTAAACACAATTGTTAATAATTAACGTATACCGGTAGTAGAAAAATCTCAATAAAACAAATGATCCCGAGAAACGTTTTTTGATTAAGACTATTTGTCACGTTCCGTGAAAGTCAGTTTAGTACACTGCTCACTCTTCCTGAACTCGATTATGTGACGTTGTATGTATTTTCCGGCCAGGAAACAAGATTACCGGCGCCGTCAGTCACCTACTCCACGGCGCCGCTCACTGCGTTCACTCGGTGGCCACCTTTAGCGGCAACGTTTGGTGGGTTTTCAAGGACGTGATCCGGCCGTCGCCGATGAGCTCGCTGGCGTGGACGGCCTCCTTCCCGTTCTTCCTCTACGGATACGGTAATCGTCAGATTAAGAAGTTAATTATGATTAGTTTTAATTAATTACTCACAATTATATTAATAAACTTTTTTTTTTTTTTTTTTGCAGACGTGGCGATTCAGGACTCCACGTTTTACCTTCGGCACGACCTTCACCTGAGTGGCAGTGAGCTCGCTGTCTACCTCACGTGTACAGGGAGGGTTGGGTACGCCGTGGGCGCCGTTGCCGCCGGCGTGGCCGCAAACTACTTCGGACGGCGGTATGTCCTCGCCGCCGGGGGGGTCCTCTACACCGCCGGGACTCTTGTCGTGACGTTCACCTCGGGCTACGTGGAGTCGACGGTTGGACGGGCGCTGGCCTGTTTCGGCGTGGGGATGGGCCTCCTCGTGGGACCCATTTTCATCGCCGAAACGGCGCCGTCCACGACACGTGGATACCACGGTACCTTCCCACAGGTAACCGAATCTAGCCTTTTGTTAATTTCAAAGTACTTACAAAGAGTAATGTTTTCCACTGTCGCTACTTGCGTATTATTAATGCTCTGTGACAGTGGTAGAGGTAAAAACTCTTAGAGTCATTTACCGAACCGAATCAAGAATTTGGTTTTTTTCGAAAGGAATTGATATGCTACTCGATTCGGAAATCGGTTGGGTGGTGGTCAATACTCGAGTATTGGTTCGGAACGAACCGAATTGATCACCAGAACCAACTAACCTTGGCCCAATTATCCTATAGGCCCAGACCCAGAAAAACCATTCCCCCTAGCCCAATACACGCGGGCCAACTCATAGTACAGCCAGTAGGATAACGCACTGTCAGGTGAGGTAATAACATGGGAACCTATAGGATGAGAATGGCCTAAATTAGCTAGAAAATCAGCTACAAAGTTTGCCTCTCTATAGATATGCATTAAAATAACCTGCCAATCTCGTTCAAGCCATCGACAAATCTCTGCTACACACGAGTAGTGAAGGTGACGCGGAGTAGACTTCTCGATAAGGGACAAAGCAGTAGTCGAGTCAGTTTGTAGAATTACCTTCTTAGCTCCTGTATACCAAGTGAATTTCAGTCCGTGCAAGATCCCAACTAACTCTGCATTAGTAATCGAACCCTCTCCAAGGTTCGTCGTGAGAGCTGCAATGAAAAGGCCGCCATCTCCCCGCACGACTCCGCCAGCTGCGGTGCTAGAAGAAGAAGGCACCACCGAATCCATCTGTGTTTAGGCATGTCCAACCTGGATCCGGTGGCTTCCAACTAATGTATATCAGTCTACGGAGTCCCCCAGCTTCGGTGACATGGTTTTCCTTCTCCGAACCCTTCATAATTTGTTGCCTCAACTGAGCAGAGTTAAACTGGATTCTTGCATATGACTCCGACGGGAAGTTCGTCAAGGGGTAAGAAATAGTTTATGTAATCTCGATTCCACTCACCATTAAGAACCAACTCGGCGACGGGAAGTTCTAGAGCTGCCGGCGAAACATCAGGAGCAAAGTGAGATAGCGGCTCTCCATCATTCAGCCACCGATCGCTCCAAAATCGCGCACGATTTCCACTACGGACATTCCAAATAGTAGCCTCCTCTAGCCGATGCCAAACGCGTAAGAATCCTCTCCACAAATTTGACATACGCCCATTCCTCCTTGGGATAAGCCATGTGGTCGTTTGAGTGGTATACTTATGCAGTATCACCCTTGCCTATAACTCTCCAGGATTAGTGATAAGTCTCCAAGCAATCTTCATCATGTATGCTTCATTCGACCTTGTCGCCGTACGTAAGCCCAGACCTCCATCCTCCTTAGGTCGACACACCGTGACCCAATCAACCAAATGAACTTTCCTTCCTCCCTCCGTACTCCCCCAAACAAACGCTCGATTTTTTATTATCAAAGTAGTCCCAGACGCTTGCAGGTAAGTAGGAAGTCTGCATAGTGTAGGACGGGAGAGAGGATAAAACCGATTGAGCAAGGGTAACTCTCGCTGCCAGGCTCATGGTATTGGCATTCTATCCTGCAAGTCTAGCATCAATCTTGTCAATGAGCTCGTTATAAGTAGCTTTGGAAACCCGATCATGGATGACTGGAACTCCCAAGTAGCGTCCTAGATTCTCCGTCTCTGGGATCCCCAACTGTGTACTTAACTCAACTCTACAAGTAGTGCTGACATTGTTGGAGAAAAAGACTATGGACTTAGGCTTGCTTATTTTCTAGCCCGATGCCGCTCCAAATGTGTCAAAGCATTGCGCAATAGTTTGGACTTGCCGGCTCGAAGTCTCACTTAACAGAATGAGGTCATCTGCAAAAAAGATGTGAGAGAGGGTTGGTCCAGTTCTGGTCAGTCTAATAGGCTGCCAATGGACTTCCCTCACTGAAGCATTGATCAGATGGCTTAATCGCTCCATACATAACGTAAAGATGTAAGGTGAGAGAGGACATCCCTGTCTAAGGCCACGAGAGGGTGAGAAAGGGCTTGTTAGGCCTCCGTTCCACTAAATATGCATGGTAGCTGAGGTAATACACGCCATGGTAACTGCGACAAAGCTTGATGGGGCTCCTACTGCTTCCAAAGTGTCCCGAACAAAGTCCCAACGGATCCGGTCATAAGCTTTGGCCAAATCAATTTTAAGCACCATCCAACCCCACCTTCCCTTTTTGGCACGCATGGAGTGGACAACTTCCTGCAGGATGCAGATGTTATCAGTAATATGCCTACCTGGCACAAAGCTAGTTTGTATTTCATGGACCAAATAAGGCATAAGTGGCTTCAATTTTTCTGCAATACACTTTGTTAAAGCCTTATAAGCCACGTTGCAGAAGCTAATCAGACGGAGTTGCTCGATCAGTTTGCAACTCTCGATTTTAATGGCGAGAAAATATGTTTGGTCTCCATGGAGAAATTGGACCTTGTGCATGTCTAGTGTGTTTGAAGTGTTATTAAGGAAGAAGGAAGGTTTTTTTTTTTTGGCCGTTTTCTATATAAGGAAAATCTAACGCATAAGATGGGAGGCATGAGATCATGGAGGGTGTCTGCGAATGGAATGGTTGGGCTATGGGGTCAGTTTGTTCGGCTAAAATCAAGCCAAGTCGACTGTTTTGAAACGATCAAAAACTCGAATAGTAGTTCGGTTTGAAGTCGATTAGGTTTTTGTGCACTTTCCGATTAAGTTTTAATTGGGTTTGGTTTTGACCAAACTGACTGAATGCTCGCCCCTACTCCCTGACAGCCTCATGTTTGGAGTATATCTTTTATTACGCCTTACAAAATAATTTCAATTCTTGATGGGAGAAACACTTAGTGGTCTATGTAATTACAGATTTAAGATAGATTGAATTGTAGGCTCAATAGTACGTCACATTAATTTCACACTTAAAATTGTAATTTTGTTTATGTATACGTGTGTAAGAATATGTAAGTAGGTAAAAAACAATCTAAGAGTTGATTTAAATTGGATCAACCGTTTTTTATCATTGCAGGTATTGATGGTTGTGGGGACCATAACGGTCCACGTCCTCGACCTAGCGTTTTTACGAGTTCCCAGGCATCTGGCCTGGAGGCTGATGCTTGGGGTCTCTGCGCTACCGACCGCGTACTTCACCTACGCGGTCATCTCGAGACGTTTCACGGACACACCATCCTGGATGGCGATGCGTGGTCAGGTGCGGGCCGCAGAGGTACTGATGGAGCGCTGCGGGGCTAGCGGCACAGAGTCGTACGACCGGGGATACCATCTGGAGAGGCTTGCGAGGTTTTTGACCTGCCACGTACCCGACCCCCACGCTGATCGGTTCCCTGGACGGATCACAGGGTTCTGGGGAGACGTCTTTCACTACGCAGACGATTACCCCCGTGACGCCTTCGCGGCCGCTGTTCTGTACGTCGCCCAAGAGGCGATGTTCGAACAGATGGCCCTGCGACTTGTCCCTACTGTCCTCACTCGACACACACTAGTGTCGAGGTGGTCCTTCCCAATCGCAGGGCTCGTGCTAGCCCTCGTCAGGCTGGCCGCGACGTCGATCTCCATGCACGTTGCAGGGAGATCGATGGCGCGACGTAGGGGACTCCTGCTCGTGGGCCTCGGGGTGTCAGCCTGCTTGTTGGGACTTCTGAGCGGTACGGCCTTCGTCGACGCACACGAGCACCTCAGTAGTGAGATGGCCTTTGCGTTGACGAGCGTCGGGTTGCTAGCGCTCGAGGCGGCAGTTGGCGTTGGACCGGGGCCCGTCCCATGGACGTACGGGCCCGAGGTGCTCCCTCTCACTGTACGCGCACCCACTCTAGGTCTTTGTCTTACGTTCAAGTTTGCTAGCGGTGTACTGTTAGGTTGGACTTTTCCTCAGCTGTTCTTCACTTTTCACCGAGCGTGGTTGGTTTTCCTCGGTGCAGCTGCGGTCACGTCACTTTTTTTCCTTTTCTGTTGTAGGTTTGTTAGGATGACTACCTGTAGACTACTTATGGACGAGTCAGATTAGATGATTGTTGTTGTTTTTTTTTTGTACCAAATAATGTAATGAACTGGTGGTTAAAAATAAAACATTTCTTCGTTTCCTACTAATGGGTTGAATTAGTTTTGTTTTAGAGATTATTTCTTCTTCAATTTAAATTTTGGTGATATGGTAATGTTGCAAAAGTCTCTCGGGTCAAGTCGCGTTCGCTTTTGTCCATATTACTTGGAGTGAATCGAACACTCTTCGATCGGCTCTAACCTTAGGGTCAGAATCGAGACTTGATCTGCAATTAGGAGATAGTGTCGGGAGTATATTACGTATTGGGAAGTTAATCACACACCCACAACACCCTAAATTGGTACTATTTAAGTTGATAAATTTTATACGGATTGATTGTTTTTAGTAATTATTGTGTATTTTTAATATCCCAGTCCCACTGGATCATTAATATATTGCTAATTTATTAGTTATGATTTAACTAAACGTCTACTGACGAATCTTAGAATATATTAAAGCGGTTTGAGAAATAGGCACTATCCACGTAAGCCTTGAATTTCTCCCCGCGTTTTTCGGAATTAGATATTTTTTTTGCTTTTTGTAATTTTTTTCCGCGCGTTTTTAACTGAGAAGCAGTTACCCACTATTTGTATTTTACTCAAAGTTAACCTTCTACACTTCAAATCGGTGTGTTTGATAATAAATTAAAAATAAATTGGAAAAGGGAAAATCACCCATACTTTATCACGGATATTTTGGGAATGTGTGGATAACTAGGCTTTTCATTTAAAAAAAACTTTAGATGGCTTCTTCCACAATTTTTAACTCGGTGTTTTGCCATGATGTTCAATATGTTCTTTTTAATTTTTAATAAGAAATTAAGAGATATATAGTATACATATGTTTTTGTTGCATAAATAGATTTCAATTATGCGTGAAATATTACAAATTTGATCAATACATAATAAATCTCTTTAAAAAGTATATATAAGTAAGGAAGACGTGACATTTATTATAGATTTCAACAGAATAAATTATTTAAATAAATGAGTGTCAATACTCCAGAATTACAATGATATCCAATGTTACTTTTTTAGGCGTTAAATCAGAGAACCAAAAAAAAAAAAAAACACACACACGATGGAATGAAAATGAGCAAAATACATAAGTACATCGAGATCACAAGTGACTGGAAGCCAGTTTTTGCTAATCATACTCCAAAACCATCAATTATCAAAACGGGTAGTTTACGAAAATAGAGATGTATGTTTTTCCTTTCTTTCTTGAATGTCTCTAGGAGGTGAATTTTGTGTTGTAATTTACCAGGAGGGAGTAAAACTTTTAATGACTCTATTTGATATTTTTTACAAAATCTATCTACGTGATTCTAGAAATTTTGTTAATTTAATTCATAAAATATATTATAGGATTTCTCAATAAACCCTTCTCCATTTCAAATTTTCTCGCATGTCATGTGTCCACGTCAACACTATTTTTTTTCTCTCTCTCCTTTTACCACGGATAAACATCCTGTTTGTTTCTACGAACCGCAATTTTTTTTTTTTTAACTTCTTACAATTTTTAAAATTTTCCCTCTATACATCCGGCGTTAAAGGAGTTTACCAAAAAAACTAATAAATATATTAAAATAATTAAATCACTCCCCTTTTCCTTTTTTCTCTCGCACCAGATGTGTAGAAACCTTTTTTTACTAGAAATCATCATGCATAACTTAGTAATTATCCTTTAAAAAACAGAATAACAATTTAACTTATTAATTACCAGTAATTGTGGCATGCTATAAAATATTAAGGTGTTCTATTCTCATGGTCATGAAAAAGTGCACAATTAGTCCATAGAATCGTGTTATTATTTTATTCTCAAACTAATAATTTGTGTCTCACCACGTCAATCCTAATTATTATTTTTTAGAAGAGATATACTATAAAACTCATCCCTATAAAACCACTATAATATCCTATCTTCTATCATCCATCCCTTTCCTCATCAAGGCTAGGGGTTCAAAGCCAATTATGGTTTTATTTACTTTTATTTCAAACTGATTTTTCTGCATCGTAAATATGCTTCTTTCTCATCATTTTGCCTATTTCAGTATTTTGCCTGTATGGGTGATAGTTTAAGATGTGACCAAAATAACAAAAGTTTAGTGATTCAAACGTGATTTAAGTTTAATTAGTGTTAACAATTACATTATGCTATTCATACAAATATTAAGGTACTAAGAATATGTGTGCCTAAGAATCTATAATTTGTTGAAGGATTATAAAGACGTCATAAATTCCCATGACATGACTTAACGCTTTGAGAATTGAATCATAGCAAGAAATTATGCTAAATGTTCTAAATTTTTGTTATAAACATAATAAATCACCATGGCATGAGTTAATGATTTGAGAATTAAATCATTGTAAGAGATTATGCTAAATGTTCGAAATTTTTTATAAAGGGCATAATCACTTATGAATTGACAAATGAACCAAGATCCAAGAATCATAATCTCTTATCAATTGTCAATTCTCGACCTAGCCACTTCTTGTAAGAGATTTGAATTGACAATTTGAACATTTTATTTAAGAAACATGTGAAATTAACATACTTTTAAGGTAGTTAAAAATATCAAAAGAAACTTAGGAGATAGAAAATATTTGAACATCCCAATATAAATGATAAAAAGAAACTGTTGGGACAAAGCTAGTACTTTAAACATAAATTTAATTAGGACCCCACCGGACCGCTAAAGGGCTTAAATGTATTAGTTGTAATTTAAAACCTATCGCAAATTTCTGTCTCTGTCTCTCTCGATCCTTCTGTTTCTCGCCTCTGCTTCCAGAAAACGAAAACCTAAAACATATCGCAAACCGCCGCCATCTCGATCTTCCTCGTTGAAATGATGGAGACGATGAGTAGTCTTACCCTCTGGTAAGTCCTTTTTGGACATGCAAGCTTATTTAGGGTTTAAATTTTGAGTCTAGGTGGATTCTGATTCTATGGTATCTTTTTGCTTCTGGTCTCTACCGAGAGAAAGAAAAGAGAAATGGGGTCGCCGGCGACGTGGTCTGCGCCGGCATTCGACAGCGGGGAGGATGATTACGGTGAGTTTTTATTATTATTAATATCGATGTTTTAGGTTTTGGTTTATTATCACTATCCTTGGACTCTGATCTTTCTTGTTTTTGCAGGTCTCTACGATTTGAAGAGGCTCTAGGTGATATCTTTCTAAACTCGGACTAGATTGTTGATTATCGTGGTTAGGATTTTGTCTATTATTCTCTTTGGTGTTAAGAAACCAGATATTTGGTTTCGAACCCCTGCTAGGCTTGTTTGCTTTAAATATTGGATTTGGATCTGTTAAAAAAACGGATACTTGCTTTATTATAATTTAAATTTCTAAAATGATCCTAAGGTAATCCAAGGCCATAGCCACTGCTTATGACCATCAGATGGATGGGAAGCTCCATTCCAATTTTGGATTTTGATAAAAATGGTTGATTAAAAAAAGAAACTGTTATGAGTTTGATAAATCTGAAAGTTATGTGCAGTAGTGTCGGGCTTTTGTCAGATCAGGGTTTAGGCTTGATCATGAAAAATGTTTAATAAACTAGATTAGTTTTTAATGATCACAGCGACTGTTTGTGATCTATATAACTAAAAGAAAGAGCTAAAGTTTTAGTAAAGTTCGGAACAATCATTGATCATTAAAACAGACCTAAGGACCTGATTGAGAATGCGTGAGAACGGATGGGCTTGAATTGGGCTCTTATTAGGTCAAATTAAGTCCGTGTTTTAAGTTGGGCTGAAGAAACTGACTGATTTTCCTTCTTTTTGCAGATCCTCCAACTTTGTTTTAGCCTCCAAACCAGAGCTAATAACCTACTGAAATGAAGTTGGGTCTGAACCGAATTGGTGACTCAAGCCCATTTCTTATTTTATTGTAATCACATTGTAAACCTTGTTTTGGGAATTTGCAATTATGATTTTATTTTGAATTTGAGAATGTAACTCTTGGGCATGTGTTATGATGTAGAGATTCGTCATTAGATTTGTATGTTCTTATCTTAATTGGTCATACTTTCCCTCGTCTAACCTTTGTGTAAATCCCCAACGTCAAAACCTTGATCACTATAACCAAAATATTAGCTCTAAACAATTTTAGCTACTGCAAATCCAAGAATAAAATAAACTAATCTGATCTAAGTGAACATGGTATTATTGGTGCTTATTGACTCGCCATTGCTAAGGGAGCAAAGGGAATTTTAAAATTATTGGTACTTATTGACTTGCCACTGCTAGTCTCAATAAATTCTTTCAAAATTTTGTTTTGTTCGATTTATCGTTACATTTTTCTTTTGGGTTTGGAGTAGATTGTTTGCCCTCGACAATATGTGGTGTCTACGTAGTAACTCCTAAACATAAATGATATTTTATGTTATTGCTCCGAAACTGAGTCATTCACCGCTTGTATTAGATTCATTATTCACAAAAAAAAAAATTTAAAACTTTATCTCAATTTAATGTTTAAAATCATTAATAGTTCTCTGATTCTACGAATACGTATAATTACAGAAAGTGATAAATGTTTTTTTTTTATTTTCCAAAAACCACCATTATTATTAACTTCCCACTAATAAGTAATAATTCCTTGAGAATGAGGTATACACTGAATAGTGACTAATATTTATTCTCAATTCAATGCGAATGAATTCTGAGATTCTACGAATAGATATAGTTATAGAAAGTGACAAAAAGAATGGATTTCCCCCCATTACTACCGTTATTATTAACTTGCCACATAACAATTCATCGAGATTTGAGAATCTGACATTACCATCTTTAACAGAGATTGCAATGCATGTATAAATATGTAAGAACGACGAGTTGATGATGATTGGATGAGTACCCTTCGATTTCAATCAAACCGAAGCAAAAGAGAGTTAGAATTTTCCAGAGACGTTTGAGTCCGTTCGTTCGTTCGTTGATACATCATGGAGGCCAAGTTTGTGGCGGCGGTTCTGGCGGTGCTGTTGCTGACCACCGGCGACATGATGTGCTCTGCCTCTCCGCCGAACAGAAAGTTCACGAAATGCTACGATGATTGCATGAAGGACTGCGGCAAGAGCGGAAGCTTGGAAGTTTGTATAACGTATTGCACGCAAAAGTGTACACAATCTAGTCGTCGATTCCACAGCCAAAAGCCGCCGGCCGGCGACAATAATCAATAAACTAGCTTATAGCTCAAGGGTCTTTTCTTAAGTATGTTGCTGTTTCAGTATGTTGTTGTTTAATTTTGTCGAAGAAGAATAAAAATGCATAATGGATCTCTGTTACGTATTTTGCTTCTCACTATATATATATTTCATGCATATATGTGATGTTGGTTGTGAAGCTGATGGAAGTAGTTGTCTTTCATATTCTCCGGCGGGGGTGTGGTCTAATTTCTTGCCGGCGGCGGCTGATATGAATGACTGATAAGAAACATCCGGCACCTTTTATGTTTTTTATTTATTTATTCTCAGTGATGCTAATTAATTCTCTTATTTATACGAATATATATAATTATAGAAAGTGATACAAATTATGATTTCCCCATTACCATCACATTATTGACTTCCCGCTAATAATTGATCGAGAATCAAGCATTTCCATCTTTATCTTTTGGCAGATTGCATATTTCCATCTTTTGGTAGATTGCTAGACTGTGCTCAGGAAAGTATAACATGTTACCATCAGAGACTGAAATTCACGTCGGGGTTGAGAGTCAATTAAATCATTTAAATCCATAATAGACCATAGTTAATAAAATACGGTACATGTAAGTTACGTATAAAATATGTACGGATATTTTATTTCGTCTCTAAATTAATGATACGTATTGTACACCAATAGTTATATAATATAACAAATAAATTATTTTAAAAATAAATTTAAATATAAATAATAGTTACATTAGCACCTTAAATAATTATATTAAATATGTTGTATGAGTTTTATATAAGTGAATGCGCCATTATGGAGGGGACTTTGCCATGACACGTGGCAAGCCAACTTAGCTTGAACACACTTTCTCTCTCAGAAGATAAATGGATTTCGAGGCCCTAAGGAGTGACATATTTGATTTGTGGCGATCACTGAACGGGTTTGCTATGTGTTATGGTAAATTGCGATTTCATACTCGATGGGTACAACCAGAAATCAAATTAGGTGATTTATGTGTAATTATTAAATATTAAGTGGTCAGCAGTCAATTAACTCAAGAGTTAAATACTACTAGGTCCAATCAACCCTAGGTCCAATTGTATGTAACCTTTTTTTACTCCCAATCGTCTAACATTAACATCACACTTGAAAACTGTAATCTATTTCTTATGTAAGTGTATAACAATATGTAAAAAGGTAATGAATAATTCAAAAAGTTAACTAAAATTCGTTCCATTTTCATCATTTTAGGTACTGTTGGTTGTGGGGACCATAGTGGCCCACGTTCTGGAGCTGGCACTCTTTTGGCTCACCAGGCATATAGTCTAGAGGGTGATGGTCGGGGTTGACACGCTATCGACCACCTACTTCACCTACACTGTCGTCTCCAGGCGGTTCACCGATACACCTTGCTGGCTGGCGATGCGCGGCCAGGCTCGGGACGCGGAGCTGCTGATTGAGTGTTGCGGCGCCACGACACGGAAGCATACGATCGGATGGCACGGCTGGAGCGCCTCTCCAGGTTTCTGATCACCGGCTACATCCTAGACCCCCCGAAGAGGTCAGTTCCACGGACGTATCACCGGCTTCTAGGGAGACTTGATGTACTATCTAGATTCCTACCCCTGAGACGTCTTCATCGCCACTGTTGTGTACGTCACCGAGGAGGCGACGTACGAACATATGGCTCTCATGTTAGTCCGTGTTGTCCTTAGACCGCACATACTAGGTCTAGGCGACTTTCCCGTCGTGGGGCTCGTGCTTGCCAGCGCAAGGCTGGTCGCGACGTCGATCTCCATGCACGCGACAAGGAGGTCGATGGCGCGACGCCGATGACTGCTGCTCGTATGGGCCTCGGGGCAGCCATGGGCTGGCTAGGACTCATGAGCGCCATGACTTTTGTCGGCGCACAGGACCACGCTGGGCACATCGGTCGGGGGACCGCCTTAGCGGTGTTGTGCATCGGGATGCTTGCCCTCGAGGCGATGATCGGGCTTGGGCCAGGCCCCATCTTGTGGATGCATTGCCTCAAGGTGCTACCTCTCGTAGTAAGAGCACCTAGTTTAGGTTTTTGTGTTTTGTCTAGGTTTGGTTGCAGCATACAGTTAGGTTGGACTTTTCCTCAATTGTACTTCACTTTTGACAGAGCCTGGTTGGGCTTCCTCGTAGCAGCTAAGTCGCGACCTTTTTTTCTTTGTTCTCTTGTAGGTTTGTTAGGAGGACTACCTGTAGACTGCTTATGGATGAGCCTGATTAGGTGACTTTTTTTTGCTAAATTTATGTCATATGTAAATATATATTTTATGGTGACTATTTCGGTGAACTCACAAAAATGAGTGCGTTCAATGCACCCAACTCAACAATTAGTTTTAAGGTACTAGATTTTGAATTTGAATTTGTAGAATTAGTATAACATATTATAACAACTAATTACCGAATTAACCTAAGCCCTAGACCTCCAATTTTGAGTTCTATCCCTAAACATCAAATTGTAAACCCTAACCCTAAATCTCTAAACTTTAAATCATTCAAATTAATGTAAATCTTTGGAGGTATTTGTGAAAATTCATGTGCGTTATTGTTCATCACATCATAAGCGATGATTGAGGGTCAACATAAATCGTATGTTTAAAATGACGGTTATGAAGCGAGTGCACTGAATGCACCCAAAAAATTGAGTGCATCAAAGACGCCACCTATATTTTATATTATAATCATTTAGTAATTAATTCATTTTATTCTCCATTTTATGCTAGTTATTTCTCTCATTCCACGAATACCTATATAATTATAGAAAGCGATAAAAATTTGATTTCCCCATTATTATCTCGACTATTAACTTCCCCATTGGGCTTATTATTCATAGAAAAACATAAACTTTCTCAATTGTATAGTAATAGTTAATTCTAAGATTATGAGAACACATATATAATTATAGAAAGGGGTCAAATTTTAGATTTTCCCATTAGGCCATTACTATCAATTTTGATTCAGTTTCCCGTTAATAATTTATTGAGAATCAGGCATTACTATCTTTGAGCAGATTGCATTGGTAGCGCCACTGCAGCTTTAGCGGAGCTCTGGGCCATTTTTTATGGCTTAGAACTGACTTGGAAACTTGGTTTTCGGGTGGTGAAGATAGCCACCGACTCGCAGCTTGCTATTCAGTTGATTCAGGATCGTCATGATCCCATCCACCCCTATGCCACTTTGTTGAGTCTCATTCGGCGGAAGATGGGTCAAGATTGGTTGGTTAGTCTGACGCATACATACCGAGAAGGGAATAGAGTCGCGGACTGGCTCTCGAAGCACAGTCTCGTCTATCCCTACGGTATGTATGAGTTGGCTGATCTACCTATGGACATGGTCGCGATTCTCCAGGATGATGCTAGAGGCACTACTTTTGATCGCCGTATAGTGGTCAATCATCCCCCTCCTTTTTAGCCTCCCCTGTAACCCCTCTTTTTCTTTGGCCTTCGGCCTCCCCTGTATGCAAAAAAAAAATCTGCACTTATAAATATGCAAGCTCTATCGTGCTTTACCCCCATCGGGCAAACCGAAGCAAATTAAAGAGTTAGGAATTTTCCGACGACGTTTGAGTCTGTTCTTTTGTTGATATATATATATTATATTATGGAGCGTAAGTTTTTGACGGCATTGCTGGCGGTGCTATTGCTGACCACCGCCGGGATGATGGGCTCTGCTTCGGCGGCTGACAATTTCAAACAATGCTACAACGCGTGCATGAAGGAATGCGGCCATAACGGTAGCTTGGAAGTTTGTGAGAGGTTGTGCGCGGACAGTTGTACGCCGCCGACTAGTAGCGGTGAATGGCATGCATCCATCGACGCCGGCCGGCGAGTATAATAAAACAGAGCGCCCAGGGGTTTATTTTAGTTATGCCTTAGCTAATATAATTTTAATTGATTGAAATAAAATGATAAACGTAGTGACGCTTTTGTTGTAGTTATGACTTATATATATATATATAATTTTAATTTATTGAACTATTCGAAGTAGTTGTTTTTCATTTATTCCGGCCGGCAGCTCACCGGGTGTGGTTTTCTAGGTTGAATAAGAAGAAGAAAAAAAAAAGAGTGAATATGATGAATGTATTATACGTAAAATTTCGCGCTAGTTTGTTGCACTACATTTTCACGTAATGTCCATTATGACATTCACTCAATCGAAAGAGAAATACGACTGTACGAGAGAAAATCATGACTCAGGGGATGGTTGTGATTGGTGCAATACATATTACAATTACAAGTACTTAGACGACAATTAAGTGTAGTTATTTGAAGAAAATGTAAGACAAACTCTAACACCCTACCCTGTATTCTTGTTCTTACTATGTTCCTTAACCAATTTATGTTTGGTTTAGCTACTATCTTTATATAAAGCGCATAGAAAAATGAAGTTGTATTTAAAATCGGTATTGTCTGAAATCTTTGCTTGCGAAAACTTTACATATTTCTAAGTTTTATTTAGAAGATTTGTGGAGAGTTCAGTTCCACCCAAGATTGTCAAACCGGTTTATGCCAGTGTGCCGGTTTAGCAAGTGAAATGGTTCGACCGGTGGCACATACCGGCTTGTGCATGTTCATGCCGGTCAATAATAAAATTATAAATACTCATATTTAAACATGACATTTAACGTCAATACCCAAAAATTTATATTTGAATTCAACAAATAACATCAATATTTAACTTTTATACTCATAAAATAAATAATAAAATCATTTTTATCAATTAAATTCACTAAAATAATGCCATTTTATTTAGAGATTCATATATCGATCATGCCGGTCATACCGGTGGTGTCACGTCGATTTTATAAGCGGTACCGGTTGAACCAGGTTCAACCGGTGGCACGTCGACCGACATGACAACCATGGTTCCACCGCCCACCTCTTAGCCATTTGGCCGACATGATTCATCCATCTCGATCAACTGATGTCTTTCTAACCCTGTGAGGGAAAATATTGATGGGGTGAAACGTCACTCAATGAGTAAATAATAACCTTATATAAATATTAATACAAAAATGATATCAGGCTATGTTGTGACTCAGAGTGTAGTTCGTCCATTATACTCTGTGTATATTTAATCGCTTAATCACTCTACTTAATTTTCACCTATGTACAGTTATACGAAATTTCTTCCCTCGTCCAATTGATCTTTCACATATACGTTATGGGTCATTCATTCGAGCTTTTACATACATGCCATACATGGTTCGTTTAGGGTTTCACATTTACTTTACCCCACGTGGTGTGGCAAATAGTTCATATTTATTCTTATACACCATATAGAGTTTTCCATCATATCCTTGCACTTCTATCAACACCGCGTTATGGAATGTATTATAGACACATAACATTATACAAATCAAAATATCGTGGAAGTATCATAATTAAATCAACATATCATCACTGTTTATAGAACAGTTTCCCGATTAATCATTGTACCACTCGTCATAGGAGATTATCACAAAATATACCTAATATAGCCTGATATCACATATAAAACACATCGACCTTCACATATTTCATATTCCGTGTAGGGGTTCACATTCTATATATCCGATATGGCAAAATACGAAGATTTGCCATCTCTATCACATATCTCACAAATATGGCAAATACCAAGATTGGCATTCAAGTACTCATTTTGCAACCAAAATCACCCGTGTATCAGCATCCAATCACACACATACATATAGTTAGTTGGACTCAGTAGCTTTTATTCTTTAATTTGCCAAGTCATGCACTCCCCAGGATCTCGTGAAATCGTAATCTCATATGCACAAAGTGCCAATATTCATAAACTCGTGGGCGCAGAGTGCCATATCTCATGAGCTCGTAGGCTCGTGGGCACACGGTGCCATATCTCATACAAGGAGTTCTCGTATATAACTCTTTTTTCTCTTAGACTTGAAGCCTCTTTTCACTTATAATGAGTGCATGACAGGGCGCCATTAGGTTTTATTTAGGTGTTCACACAATTCTTATAGTTAGTCACAACTCAACATATCACTTGTGTGACGCAAAGGTCATTTCATATCACATTCACTTGCATGACTCATAGGTCATTTTATCTCATCTCGTATAATTCACAATAGGCAACCTTTCTTGCCATTCTTTTCACTTGACTGCCTCAAAAGGCATTTCACATATCATATACTCATCACATAATATCGTTTAGCACACACATAACAACATGTATTATGACCTTCTGGTCACACCATCATACAATCATTTCATCATATCATAACATTATCATGCATCCGTGATTCGGTAACCTCATCAAACCATTTCGTCATCATTCAATCGTGTAACCATGCCACATTTCGATATTCACTCACATTTGGTTTAAGTCTTACCAAGACATCACATACCTTGTACTCGAGCCGCTTCATGACCCGAACACCATAACCATATTAAGATAAACATTATGTTAGAATTTACTCGCAAATATATGTTATTCAGCTATGCCCTTTTGTCGTGAAGATTCCCCCGGCTTGTTCTTTTCCTTGGAACAAAGTCATGTAGATACATTTAGTATACTAGCAATCGGACCATGGTTTGAAACCATGCATTCAATCCAGGTTACCGATTCAAATTAAGGAGCCAACACGCTATATAACTGTATCAAATTTAGTTTTGCCCGCATCATGTGAGCCATATTGCCAATCATGAATTCTAGGCCCACTTTACCACCCCCACACCCTACGTCTATAGCATGCATAGTAATAGCTTTATTTTATAATCACTTAACCTCACAGCACCGGGGAAAGCACTCAAAACCCACTTTAAATTTATAACACTTCAACTTCCCCATTAGTTATCCTAAAACCATCATCAATCCTATTATACACACAACTCACGTGCGTTAATTTACTCTCAACATTTGGGGACGTTTAGATCACCATTTTCCCCAACCACTATAGATCACCCTGACAAAGTTACCTAACTATAGCTCCTCATTCGAAAGTCGTATTCATCAAGGGTAGGTAGGTAGTTTGAATGAATGAACGCGGCTTGTTCATTAATTGATTTCAACTATTTGGAGAGTAATGTTGGTTGTGGTTTGTTTCACGTCGACTTCATAGTTCCATATATATAAACATGCATTGCCCTAACAAGGGAGAGCCAGCCTTAAAGCAGAAGAGTGGAATCTGTCCAACCCAGAAAAAAAGCCAAAAAGCTCTTAAGCCGTACGTGTTTTCGTCCATTGATTTACGTAGCCTTTTCCCCCGTTTTAATTACAGTCTCCCCCTTTACGCTTTTACTATCTCTGTTTCTACATACCCTTTTGCTGCGCAGCTTTGTCCTTGCCCTGTGTAAGAATGGAATGGCGCACTAACTAACTGAGAGAGAGAGAGAGAGATAATGGAAATTGAGAGGGAATCTGCATAAGGCAGCTTATTGCGATTGCTTTGCTTAGCCATGTGCTCAACTATCTATATTAAACCGTCATCTCAATTATCAACAACGACAACAAACACTACCCTCTTTCCTCTCTCTCTCTCTCTCTCTCTCTCTCTCTCCGACGTCTTCACTCTTCTTCTTCTTCTTCTTCTTCTTCTTCTTCTTCTTCTCCCGCAGGGATGACGGGCTCTCCTTCTCCGGCCGAAGATTTCATCAGCTGCTACGACGGTTGCATGACCGGGTGCGGCCGCCGCCACGGGAGCTTTGAGGTTTGTATAACATTGTGCATGGACAGGTGTACACCGCCTGACGGCGAGGGCGACAGCCGAGAAGAATGGACATTTATCTTTGCATGTCTCACAATCATAGGTCTTCTCTTCGGCACTATGTTGCTGTTTTTCCTAGGTAAAATAATCAACAAGGCAATTAGCGGCAAGCATGCATAGATCGATCAATAGAGATCATGACGGCAATCAATAGTAAGCTATAGCTTAATTAAGCTAAGGGCCGGCCGGGTCTCTTTAATTTCTTCAGTATGCTTGTTGTTTAACTCTCCATGACTGCACCCATCAATAAATAAATTGTGTTAATTATGTGAGTATCTTTCGTTTAGTCAATTGCACTTGGTAAATGACCCGTCCATCCATTGCACCTAATAGGGTTGGTTGGGTGATTTGATTTGTTGCACTAAACTAACCATTGCACATTAGGTTGGTGGTGAGTTCAAAGTATTTTTTATATATCATTTGTCAGAAGTAGGAGGCACCTATTTTGACCCTCATTTATGCTTTCTGAAGAGTTCATTTTTCGGGTTGAACTTCTAAATCTCTTTCAAGAGCTAGCTCAATACGCCGCTCCCGATTACTCTCTTCTCAAATAATGACTTGAGCTTCGGAGCAGGTCCCCACCAACCACCGCCGGTGGGGTTCCTCTTTTGCAGGTGTCCATCTCGAAGGCTGGTGGTGGCGGACGCTGGCCAGGAGGACGACGCTCACCGGACCTCAAACACATTGAAGCAGGCTCCTCGAAGCTTGGCATCAACAGGCCCGCATAAAAATGTAACTGACGTAAGTAAAGCTAAAGCAACCGTGGTATTTATATCATTCATGGGTGTGACTAACTCCCTATGAGATAGCTATATGATTTTCCCGGGTAAAAGCGCCCCAAACCAATTAGAAACAAAAATACTACTACTAATTAAGCCACTAAGACTCGGCGACCACGATAATAAACATGTTTCCCGCTTTCCTAGAAAGTCTTCGCCATATAAAAAACCAAAAAGCACCCATTGACACCTGTAATTACTATCTTAACCTTCCTAAAAAACTATAAACTGATTTAACGACGCCGTTTTAAATCCTTCTTGTACTATCTAGAACATTGCCGTCGAGAGGGCGGACGCCGCAAGAGCTGCCGTGAGAAGACCGAGACCGATGAAACGGGCGGCGGAGGGCGGCGGCGGCGTCGACGACGCAGCGGAGTTCTTGTTCGCCGGAGAAGGAGCCGGGGAAGCAGCCGGAGGGATGTTTTCGACGGGGATGGCGACCTTCAAACCGCCGTAGCAGAAGCCTCTGCCGGAGAGGAAGTAGTAAGTCTTGGCCTCCGTCAGCTGGTAGACGTCGCGGCCGCCTCTCGTGATGTTCTTTATGAATCCGACGTCGTTGCACGTCTCGTAGCTCGTTTTGTTCACTTCCAGCACGTTGTAGGTGTGCTTGTCGAACCCAAAATCTGCGTACATTTTAATACATCACGTGGAAAAAATAAGAATACTTATTTTTTTAGATTTCGTGAATTCGAGTTATTAAGATGAGTTGATTTTATACCAAATAGATTACTACGGTGATTGATGAAATCCAAATATGAAAAATTGAGTATGAACATTTTAAGTCGATGAGAGTACATGTACCTATCTTGTATTTGTTCGAAACAGGTCGAGTAAAATGGATCAATTCAAAATTAATTATCACCCGTAAAATTGAGATAATGGTACACATTAAATGTGAAGGTTAATTACTAGTTTTTGAAGGACTGTGGTATAAGCTATTATAAGACTATAATTATTCTTGAACAAGTAAATGATTTCTAAACCCTTAAAGGCTCACTAGGTAACAAGACTAAAGATGAATGCAAAAGCTAAGTCTGCAGGCTATGTTTTGTTCCATTTTCTGACTGATAAGATCTAAGGCAGTGATGGCTAATTAATTAGGTAAACAATTAGTTTAGAGAGTCTTGGCCGGCCGTCTAATCTAGGGACGATTTGTACAAAGAGTTACGTATTAATTTGTTCAAGGAATCTCAAAATTATAATGTTAAAAAACCCAGAAACAAGTGTAATAAATACATACAAGAGATTGTGAATTTAAATACAAATGAATTCGTTATGTTTAGATTCAAGATTAATTAGCATTCTTTGTTATCGTAAAACAATATGCTCTGTTGAACATTTTTTTTTTCAATCTAGCAAATATCGTAAATTTATCGAGTATTCATATGAGTCGAGATTTACGATGTCAAGTTCGTCGTTAAAAAAGTAATACGCAATCGTGGGTGAGACTTGAGAGTGTGAAAGGAGAGAAAGAACTCACAAATCCAGTCACCGACGTAGAAGTGTTGGTGAGACGACCACTCGGTGAAGTTAACGTTGGCCGCCCACGTCGTCTTCCCGCCTCCGACGTAAACCAGCCTCCCTTCCGCCGCCGTCGCCGCCGCCAATACAACAGCCGCCGCTACAATCAGTAGCTTTCTCAAACCCTCCATTGTTCCGCTATGCTATGAACGTTTCTTTCTTTCAGAGAAAAGCTTTATATCGAAGCCGCGCTTTACTGAGTTGGAATGGAGGTGGTGGAGGATCCTATATATGGGGGAATTAGGATATTTAAAGGGGTGTATTTAATTAATTTCCATATGTTCATTACACAATATATATGTTTAGTTTTTTTTTCAATGTAAATTATTTTGAGTTCTTTAATTTGTAATGAATTTTGGTTGGGCTGGCAACAGAGAACAAGAAAAAAAATTAGAATGGTCAAAATTTAACGGAATAGATTGATGAGTAGTATAAAAAAGGGACATTTAATTTACTTCAAAGATGACCATTATTTCCCGGCGGTTTCTCTTTATAGGCATTTTTATGTCGAGTACTATTAACAATTTAACACCAAAGTTTTTACTTTTTAACCGGTGGTAAATAAGCTAAGTATTTTCATTGGAAAATGGTAAGTAAGATTACATTAAGGAAAAGAGTATGGTAAATAGATATTTCCTTTACTAATTACAAAAAGAATCAGGGAATTGGGAAATGGAAAGAAGGATTTACGATTTTGCGCGTTAAACTATAAATAAAACTTCAAGAATTATTTAGGATTTTGTGCGTCAAAATTAGCGGTTTTATCTTTTTTTTGTGTTAACTAATAATTTGGGCCCGGATTGCTCCACAAGGTTTAGACTTTGGGCCCATTCAGAATTATTGAGACTGTTCCGTGGAGTAGTGGGCTTATGTATGGGCCTCTTGTTGTTGACCAGGTTCATAATAAGATAGTTCATACAACGAGTTTTACGCTACATAACTTCTTACAACTCCAAACTTACATTACAAACATCATCAACAACACAGACCACCATAACCTTAAAAGCTCAAATCATAAGCAATGCTAATCCAACTAGTCAACTAGACCATTTTACCACTAAAACGTCATTAACTCCAATAACCCACTAACCAGTTACGAATTAATCACCCTACAGTTCCTCCTAATCTCCCCATTAGACCCGGTAAGAGGCCCAATATTCCCCATCCTGACCATGGAATTAGCAAAGTCAAAGAAGAATCTCCCCGGGTTGACGCTGTAAATCTGGACGAGGCTCCTCGCCGCGGCGGTGGCAGCCTCGCTGCCGGTGAACAGGATCTGGTCGGAGCTGAGAAGCCCTTTGTTGTTGACCAGGTTCTGGAAGTAATGAGTGTCGAACAAGTCCGTCGATCCCCTGTCCAAAGCGGTGGTCGGGTTGCCGTTGACATTCGCCGGGCACAAGCTTTGGAGGTCGGACAGCATAGTGGACTCCAACGTTGGGTCCGGAGCTCCAGTGCCGGAGAAGTTCGTCAGCCTGTTGCTGAACGTCGCACATGATGCTTGTCCGATCGTGTGACTACCTGCAATTGATCAAGTAAGTTAGCGTGCCGAGGTCGTTGGATTGAATCGTTTTTTCTGCTGCAGTTTAATCGTGTGACGTTTAACTATTTAATTTAATGGAGAAGACAAACACATGATACATGATGAACGCCTCATATCAGAGCATAATATAACGTGACGTGATCGATGTGAAATATATTGGATGGCTCAGAGTTATATAGTAATTATTAATCATTTTAGGCACCTTAAGCAAACAAATGTAATTAAACTTTGTGTATATATAGAATTTACCTGACAAGGAGACGACGTCAACGAGACTATCAAGGCCAACTGCAGCAAATTTGGTGATGATCAAGGTGAGGTTATCGAATGGGCCTGGAAGATCACCGGCTCCGGTCTGATTAGCCACCAGCCCATCTCTTCTCCCAAGCGGGACTTTCCACGACGGCCCACCACTCTGTTTGACAGGTCAGATCCCAAACAGTTAGAAGTTGTTGTGATTAACTGATTCTTGATACGCTATTAGAACATAATCAAGATTGTTTTTTCGGATAACTCGAGTTGATAGAACGAAGTGGTAGGTTATCTATAATACTTCACCAAACATAGAGGTAGGGAAAAGCCTGTTTTTTACCAAGAGGGTCGAATCGCGGGCAGCTAAAGCAAGAATATCAGCACAGGATACAACTCCACTGCACTGGCTTTCCACTGCCCTTTTGATGGAGTCCACTACTTCAAATCCTCTAGCTGAGTTCAAGTTAGGCCTGGCAAACTTCTCACCATCAGTCCCATCCAGCAGCAAAGATCCATCGCATCCCTGCAAAACAAGTTTCCTCATCATTTTACATCATTCCTAGATCTGCTGGGATTATAGTAGGATGATCAGACCTTAATTAATTTCATAAATATGGTTATGGACTATACACAAAGTATAACATGCATGCAGAGTTGGCCTAGCGATAATGAGAACGACAAACATTTCCACGACCTACCACGAGGTCGAACAACATCTTAAGAACCATGTCATCATGTAAGGTAGTTAGTTGGGCAGCTTAAGGGTAGGTATACATTACATTGACAAAGCAATCATGGAAATGCAGGCGCAACAATGAGGCAGCCATCCGCATCTCAGCCTTGACTGCATTCACCACTTCCTTGCGCACGATTTGGGCCAACTTCGGGCACGTCGATGCATAGAAATCAACACTTAGCTGGGATTTAACATCAACCACACAAAGCATCAACAGTAAAATGGTGACAAACTGAAAAAGTGAACCAGATCGGCCCAACAACAGTGCTGAACTCTTCTCCATTACTGGTATATCTGTCTATCTAGGCTAGATATGTAGGTAAGTTTGTCACTCTTATCAATTGCAACTTCAATATGCTTTTAGCTTGACCCCATTGAGCCCTATTTATAGGCAGATGGGTGTGTTCTAATCTATATCTATATGCGCACATGTATGGCGGCTTGATGATCAGCCAGTGAGTGATCAATTAGTTAATCTGGGCGGTTCAAAAAGCTTTTTTGTTACCAATTAACTACTCATATAACCTCTGCATTTTGGGTATGTGGTTATACCTAACCATATACGTTAAGAGGATAAGTTAAATTCTCCGGCCACATTAGACCATGCTGAAATCAAGCAAATACAGAGGCTCTGCTGTACTTATCTGCTACATACCATTAACTCAAGCTTTCGTATCCAACTTGGTTAAGGGTTTAGTGGGCACTAGTTGCAAAAGGCACTCAACTTTATGAAGTCACTTGGCTGCAAATTGAGACTAATGGTGTTCTTGTTCTGCTGCATTAAGGAAGATGAGGTCATGAGGTTTGTCAGTATAAGGTGCTAATTTGAGGTGGGATTTATATAGGGGTGGAAATTGGTATGGGATCAGTATTCAAATAACAAATACTGAAATGCCTAATAGTATCCTAAATTCAATTACAAACATAATTTCAAAATAAATTTGGTATCTCAATCCCTAATATTTTGTTCGGTATCATTATATACCAAATAACAAATTTATTCCTTTCAAAATTACAAATAAACTATATATAAGCAAATACTTCTCAGCATTCTCAAAATATATAAAAACAAATAAAGATGTCTAGTGCAAAGCAAATTAAAAAATAAAAAATCTCAATTACAAAAGCAACAAACCATGCAAGTATTGTGCCTAAGAAGCACATAAACAAACTAAAGTAACAAACGTAAACATACTACAAATAACGAAATGGTGGACTGGGTTGTCAAATAGTAAGGGAATGGGCTATGTGTAATTAAGTGGCCATTTTGGTGGTTGAGGATTTGGTGGCAGTAGTGGGGAAGCCTAGTTGGGCGAGTTACAAATTAAAATAAACACTAGCATATATTTCGGTATTCATCGATATATACTGATCTCACTCACGTAATCCTTAATATCAAATAACACTTGAGATTCAATCTCAATTCTAATCTCATAAAATAATAAATGTATTCAATAATATCAAATATCAACAAATTCGACATGATATTCGGTATATACCCAAATACCGATCCCAAACTACCCACCCTAGATGTATATGGTAAACACAAAGGCACACACTTGAAACCACACAGCTTAAGGATTGATTCATAGCTGGATTCCATCTAATTCTATCGTGGGGAATCGGGTCGTCGCAATAGTATTTTAGTTTAGCCTTGTTCTTCCACTAATCACATTAAGCTGTAGTTAATTAGCATATCTCTTCTGTCGTATTTACCCAACTTACATTGTATAGAATCATTTCTTATTCAATACGACTTAGAGCAATTTCCACACAGTTAGTGGTTCTGACTTGTGAGTGCTGCAAATGTGCAATCACAGTAAACTTAAGTGCAACCATCAAATAGAAAAGAAACTGAAATAGGGAACCAAAAACTTTAAAGAGACACCCTTAAAATTAATCAATTAGAGTACAGCAATGCCACGATATGTACCGTTTCTGAGAACAACAAGAGATTTGTGCATTACAAATGGAAGATCAGTTTACCTAACAGTTGCTGGAGGGTTACATGGTGAGGAGAGACTGTACTAGATGATGAGCAGGTACTTGTTAGTAATGCGTATTAGCTATTTTCCTGTCCCAGCCAGCTTTTTCCTGCTGAAAGGCTTGCAAACTGGATAGAAGAATAGCAGAGGTTCGTCATTTACTTCATGATGAGGAAGATCCGACGATTTGAAGAAGAAGAGGTAACTTTACAAAAGAGCACTATAGACCCATTAGCATGAACAAAATGGAAGCCGATGAAGGAGGCCGGGACAGAGTGAACAGAGGAAACCAAAGCCATAACTGATGGAGGCATTTCTGCAGATAAGTGGAATGAAGAATCAAATTATAGAATTACGGAAAAGCTCTGCACGTGCTCTTTGATAAGGGCAGAAGAACATAACCATATTGAAACACTCATTCAACTCATATGAGAAATTTCGATCATTCAGCATTCTCAGAACAACGTTGAAACAGTCACGCTTACCTCTTTCAATCTCCCGTCCAGTCTATCAATTCACTGCTAGGCGCAGAAAGCTTTGCCATGTGCTCCTCAGCTTCAATGTCATTAACCACACCACGGCATCGTGGGAAACCACAGTAGCATGGTAGTTGTTCGTCGATTGACAAAAACCTAATGATAAGTGACAGTGAGGTACTGGCAAGTACAATTTAGAGGAAGAGGGAGAAGTTGAAAACTAAAATAGTTTAAGAGAGTTGAGGAGAACCTATAATCATAGGTAAGTTCTTCCCATCTTTTAATATCTCGCTTTGCATAGATAATGATATGCTCATCACCATTCACGCTTATGACTCTGGAGTAGCAATTGGGCTGTTGAAAACAGATACCGAAAATCAGTATCCTGCATTTTGATGGGTTTGAGTATCTAAAAACATGCCACCTTACATTAACTTAGAAATTGCCCAAAGCTTAGGTCATATATATTTGACATCATCCAAACAAAAGAAAAGGATGGGAAAGTAAGATGTGTACCTCGCATGAGTGATTAATCAGATGAGCAATGCTTCCTGCCCTTGTAGCATCAATAACTCGTTCATTATCAATTCGAAACATGTAAGTACCCGCACCCTGCATAAACAACCGAATCAGCATGTCATAAGAGTTGACGAATTAAGGGGAAACCAATAGTCCAAGAAAACTTACCACCAATGAATTGTATATTAGATGTTCTCTCCTATCAGCTATAGGAGGTCGAACAAGTTCACCCGTGTACTCAATCACCTTAAAAGTTGAAATTTAGAAAAATTCATTAGTCCCCGTTTGATGAAATAAATAACTATCAACATTATAGACAGAGGTTACCATGTCTCCCGCCCTATGCGGATGCTTTGCAAAGATGCCAAATCCATGGATTGCTGATTTGCCTAGAATAGAAGTATTGGCAACAATCAGACATCAAAATGTGACATATCACCTACGTCTCAATGTCAAAGCTCGTCAACAGTAGAAACAAAGCCAGCTAGTGTAGCTATACATAAGACGACTGCTGGTAACATTCAGCATCTAAATTCAAATGACGTACCAAATGCCAGTCTCTTTCGAAAGGTTTGCCTCATGTAATTATATTTCTCAGCCATAGAAAGAATGTTGTTTGGAACAGAAAAGTGAGAGGCTCTTAGCCTTTGTAGGGTAGAAGAGAATCGAGTGCCAGCACCACCACTTGACGGAAGTGAAACCCGCGATGATTCATTCGGACAATAACCACCAACAAGGTAAGGCTGGTTCTCCACAAACAGGCGCTTCATGGATACAGCAGCAAGGGCATCAGGTTCCTTGCGTCCTCTTCGTCCAGAATGATTGTAAGGCTCTGTCAGGGGAGAAAAAAGTTAAGATTTGTCAGCAGTCTGCCACAACTTGCAACGAGAAACAAGCAAACGATGTAAACTATAGTTGGAAAACGGGTCAAGGTTGGTGGATTTATGGGTTGATTAAATGGATTTGTCATTTTAAAGCCTTTTGTGTCGGTGGATCGTATGAGGCAATGACATTCTACTGAAAACTTTATGTAGTTTGGCGGTAATTTGGTCATTCGACAGTTCAACGGGCTTTTGGGTAAAATTGTACAAGTGTGATACTAAATTGTATTAGGTACTAAAGGATATGTTTACAGAAACCCATAAAAAGATACAATTCACGAGATATGGAAGAGAGTAAAGCAGCCAGATTAATAGCAAGTGCGTAGACAAACACACACCTGTGCGAGCGCAACCAGATTGATTAGATGATGGAACATAGTCAGAGCAACGATGAGAAACTCGACCAATACGTTCATCTCCAATTTGACGGTCATTAGTTGGCTGTTTATGCCTTTTGCAGAAGGAAATTAAACGAATGCATTGCTCTTCTTCATCATCTTCCATAGAAAGCAGATATAATCTTTCCTCATCCTCTAACTATGATATGAAAGAGAAAATTCAAAAGGACCTAATTAGTTACCAGCAAAGACAACCAGAACATAGAAATGATTTCTCTGTTCAACAATATAGACACAGTTTACCCCCTCGAGAAACTTCATTATCAGTTTACAATGCCACTGTTTCAAAGCCATGTAACAGAAACTCACCTCAACGCAAAGGCCAGCAGCACGTGCACAAAGTGGATGATATGATGCACAGCAATTATAATTTGAACACTGTGATAAAACATTCATCAGAGTCAGCCAACTAAAAGCTGAGAACGGAGAAAAATAAAGAATAAAGGACTTGTACGCTCAAATATCTTGGTACATACAGACAACTCTACAACAGAAAAAGGAATATGACCATTCAGGTTAGAAGCTTACCTGAATACAAGCACCATATGATACACCACAGATACTACATAGAAGTTTCCATCGATCCTGTTCAAGTACAAAATGCTGGTTGAGAAACATGTGACGTATAGTGCCATGATAAGACAATGTGTTGCTAATAGTCGACACATAGCTACCGCCTCACAAAGTCAGTAAAATTCTCTGACATAATAGAACAGTATAAAGAATGATCCAGAGAACCAGAAAATGAGCAACTGATAATATACCTTGTTTATTCTATTTAGACCATCAATGGGCTCCATTCTCTTCACATCCGACAAACAAGTTTCTGTCCGTACAAAGCTATGTCAACAAATCTGATAATTAACTTAATGGCAAACCACCAAAAATGAAGGTTTAAGATCACAGATATAGACCAGGTATCCAAATGGCACAAGCAAGATGAGCCCATCGCCCATCTGTTGTAGGCTTCATGGCACCCCCTGGAAGAAAATTCAACATGCCATTATTACAGTATATTTTTATCAAAGCAGAACACATTAGTTGAAACATCAGGCAGTATCATACCTATAACAGGACAAAGGCAACAAGGGGGTGGAAACTCGGGAGCTCCAAGACGGCACAAGTTACATAACCACAGTACACCATCGACAGGTTCTAATTCCCCATAGCACCTAGCATGGACCTGAAGAAACACCAATTTATGTTGAGATTCATTCTAATAGAGGCAAAAGTTGCCAGAAAACAAGACTCCTGAGTATGCATATTACCAGGACATTGCCAAAATAACTGCACTAAGAGCTGCAGAATGAAAATAGTAATAGAAATAATCATATGATTCAAGGTGTCTGATAACCGAATCATGAATAGAAAAGCTCACCATCATTCTACACTTATCACACTGCAAGAAGAGATTGTTTTCATATTCCTGTGACCAAAAAGACAAAGGAAGCTTAAATAACGAAATATTGAACCAACATCAATAGATGAGCAGGAGAAAAATGAGC